ATAGAAGCGCTGAAAATAACAGATTCTTGTCTTCTCAAAATATTCCTTAAGCATGGTTCTAATTGGTTGTTGTTCTATTGTCAGTTCCCGACACCCTTGCATTGACGCCGTATCTTCGTTGCTGAGAACTAAGAGAAACAGTCACGGCAAACCACCGAGCATAAATTTGTTACAACATAAAGGTTGATTTATTTGCAATCATTAGCTTTTGCTATGAACAAAACGAATAGAATTGGGTTTTGAAAACAGGGGCCATGATCAAATTTATGTTTTGACACTTGTACTGTATGCACAAAATAAGGTACAACCATTAAAAGGTACAACCATAAGGTACAACCATTAAAAGAATATTGATGCAATACCAGCTACTCTGAATACTAGAGCCAAACTAGAGTCAACAGCAAAGGAGTGCTATCTAGAAGCTTTGAGCTAAAACTTGACCGTCACCTTTATCATTAGGCTCTGACACAAAATTGAAATGGTAGGAGAAAACAGGGCAATTTGTAAAAACTGAATAGTGGACAATCGTATCTTAACATCGCTTAGATTATGACAATGAAATACTGTTCACTTTCTCAAAAAAGAGCTCGACTCTTCACTCGAATTCAAGCGACTTTGAGACACAAGAGGGAAGTTTATCGCCGTTGAAATATCCTTCAATTTCAAATCTGATTTTCGAACCGAAGGCTCCGTGATTGCCAGAACAGTCGGTGATTACGAACGGATACTTAAAATGAGCCTTTCACTGTTTTCACAAATCTAGAACAGTGACAGTAATTCCCGGCGTCGAACATAAAGTGGGGATTAGAAGGAGAAGGACACCATGCTTCAAATACGTCCCTTCTCAGCAAGTGACTCCACGTAAATTAGAGTGAAACCCCACCACAATGCCGGGAAATTTCCTTGAAAGTTTAATAAAACGAACCTACTTCTTCATGACCGCACTGAAAACCAAAGCTAAACTTCAACAACATTAAAGACGGATTTGGAAGAATTACGTTGACCATAAGAGACATCACTCCTGGAAGTGACCACATATAAGATTACAAGGCTGCCTTTGATAAAGCAATGGTAATATTCGAGACATATCTTCGAAAATCAAATATCATTAGATAGGCAAAGGAATGCCAAGTAAGATGTACCACCGACAAATCCACTCACCTCGTCTTTTGTTCAATATGTACTTTTATCTTGAGGTGAAGAGGACAGCTAGGGCTTAGCTAGGCCATTTTGGGTTGAATGTCGAACAGCTGAAAAACATTGAAAATGTCAACTTTTGATAATTGTATCCTTTGCATAGAAGGCAGTGGTACCTAATGATTAAAGATCAACTTTATTGAAGCCTAACGTGAGTGGGCTAAGGGCGATAATAGTTTATGAAAAGAATAAAATGATTTTATATTCAGCATATCTTTTTGTGATGGATTAAACAGTTACAAAATCATTACGCAAAAGTGTCTACTCTCTTATTAACGTGATTTTACAAAATAAAAATGTTTAAAGCAGCTTCAATTCATCAGTGTAAATGAAACTAAGTATGAAAATTATTTTACAATTTACAAAAGATAATATTCATCAGTGGCCAGGAAAAGCGGCGTCATAAAAGATGGGAACAATTAGAAAGAGCATAAAGGAGAGGATTTTTTCATTACTTGAACGTAAATGAAACGATCTAAAGAGCTTGTTTCTTTAATATTTCATTTTCTTCAATTACGTTTATAAGTTAAGCCAAACCATAAAAAATAAGTTGATTTTGAAGATTAAGAGAAAAATGTATGGAATGAACAAGTAGACTGAGAGCTAAACGTAAAATTTTAAAGTAAAATTTCCCACAGGATCGTGAATAATTTCTGTTGTCTCTAAGCTTGTTTAGTATCTTTAAGTTATATATTGCCTTAAAAGCAAGATAAGATCCATGGAAAAGGAACAGAGCAACATTGAACTTGTTATCGTTCTCGTATTAACAAACAGCATGATGATCTGTTCTTCTGGGAGAGTGTTTTGATACAAAGCACGTTTTGTTAAACCATTACACTGGAAACACAGAATTGTTGCAAAAATTTTGGATGTGGTTTTATGGAAGCAATACTGCAATATTAACCTTATAAAACGAGATTTACCTGTTGGAAAACGACCTTGAATAACTTTTCACTCAGATGAGTTGGAAACTTTAAATGATTGCTAAACGATTTCTGTCGCTCCAAAATAAAGCTCGTTTTGTTTAGCCTGTTTAGCAGACAGAAGGTGGCTGGTTTTGTTAGTAACCAAAGTCTTTCACAATGATTTCTCTCAGAAGCCTCTTAAAATTTCCATACTAAATTTTATCAGAGGCAAAGCCCTAAAATAACTTTGCAATTTGCTAAGCAGTTCTCGACAGATAAAAATGTGTAGACGACATCACCAAAACAATGTAATCTTCCAAATATAAGATTTTATCGGAATATATTTCCGAAATCGATTGCTGCTCTAAAAAAAGGAATAATGTATATCCACAATAGAAAGCAATTTAGGACCGTCATTCTTTCATAATACACACTTTATGTTAGGATATTAAAAGTCGTGAACAGCGATTGATATATTTAGTTTTAAATTCGCTATTCGATATCCCTCATACAAAATGCTCACAGAATTTGTTTAAGTAACTGTTGATGGAGCCTTTCTGGTACTTTAACCAGTAGAGTTAATCCTTACTCGACTGAATTACCTGGTTACTTATGACTCAGCAGAAATTGCATCATTACTTTGTAACCGAAGCTTTCTATACTATTTTTAATCTCTGCCGTTGCACTCAATCAATCATTATCATAAAGAACAAGTAAATCAGCTTTAGTACTTTAACACAGCGTTGAACAACTAAAGGTTTATCCGTTTTAGCAACAAGAGTTAATTTCAGGGCTTTTATCGATATTGTGCCGCTGCTTCAGAAGTACATTAAAATAAGAAGCTCCGGCAAGAAACGAAGGACTTTCGAAGAGTTTATTAAACACAGAGATCACAAAACCATTAACAAATGCTTACGTTTCTACGACCTCGTAATATAGTTATGGTTGTAAATGTTTTAAACTATAACAAGCTCAAACAAACTCCGCCTGAATCGATAAGTGTTATGAAAAAAAGATAGCAAGAAAGCGGAAACATAGCAAACAAAATTACTCTTTGCCTGACACTCCTTGGCTTAAATGACATTATCCGACGTTTATGCCTTTAGGAGTGTCGGAGACAAGACACTTTTAAGCATGCAATGTTTCCGCTTATCCATGAATTTCGCGATACAAGAGGTTTGTGTTGTTTGCTAGAATAAGATGTATGAAACAGAATAGTAGTAGATACTGAATTTCATCTTATGAAAAAGGTATTATAAAAAAGCTGATATCACTGAAATAAATTTATCATTTCGTAGAAGAAATGAAACTCACCTGATTAGAGCATAAATTTACACGATGTTTAAAGGCCATTTCATGCAGGCTCAAAAGGGTTTAAGGGTAAAACGTTCAAAACAAGCCTCTGCTCTTTTTCAAGAAAATGCATTATAAACAAAGTATCTCAGTTGTTCCTGGCTCGTCACTCAAAGCTGTATTCTTCTTGATGGCAAAATTAAAAGCAAACCCTAAAAACATGGAAACATAAGAAAAGAATTTTGCAAATTCTCGCTGTCTGAAGCTATTTATAAATATCAAAGCAATTCCTTTGATGCTTTTCATTGCTTCTTCGTGTTTGGCCTGCCCAAGGGTAATTTTGGAGCTCTCGGATTCGTGCGCTAATTTCTTTGTTTTCATTTTAAAAACGGGGTTGAGATTTCTCTTGAGAGACAACTTTGCAAAAACTTGGTTTTGAGAGTGCCTGCTTGCATATGCAGAATTCAACGGGGAGTGCTGTTGCGTCATTAGCAAGAAGTCTGTGGTTCTGTGGGCAAAACCACTTTGATACTGAGATCGAAACGGATTTGTATAAACGATAAGAATAAATTAAACAAAATAATAAGCATGAACTTAACAAACCTGTTAATAATTTAATTAGTGCTGCTTAAGAGCTTAAGTATGTTTTACCATACAAAGTTCCTATAAGCTCAGTTACCCGTCGTAAAATATTGTTGCTGGCGTGAAGGATAAGTGAATTAGTTCTTTGCCACTTATTCTGTATTGGTTAACATATTTCTACCCTGGGTACCAGAGCCTCAGAGAGTCAAAGGATGAAGAACGGGGAAAGAGGGTTACGCACTCTCCTTCGTAGCATATTTCATGCACCCAAGTCCGACTGAAAACATGAAAAAGAAAAATCGATTGCACTCATTTTTATCTTTTACGTAAAAATACCGTTAAGGTACAGGGAAATTCAGTTGGCTTTACTGATCGTGCTTCTCCAGTTCTACAGCCTCAGACCTACTGCCAGTGGCGGTTTTAAGGGGGCTTCAGGGGGGCCATGGCCCCAGGCCCCGCGCTTATGATAGCCAAGAGGGGGCCCCACACCTAAGAAAAAAGATAGAAATTGTAAAGAACAAGGGCCCCGCAGATGTTTTTGGCCCCGGGCCCCGCAGTCCCTAATAGATACCCCTTAAAAAAAAGAAAAAATGGTAAATTTCAAATTTTTCATTGGTGCATTGTTTCCAGCTCAACTTTATCAGACATCAAATTAGGTTCACAACAAGAAGTGCTAAAAGCAGAGAGAACGCGATGACACATCTTCGGAAGACCTTTACGAACGTTTTTGATAACGAATAATTTTTATTCTCTGCATGCTTACCCATTCTCCTTCGCAACCTTTTCAGGTACACCAGAATATGAATATAGCTTGTCTTGTTAATGCCCCGGTGTTCGAGCAACCTGTCTATTCTGTTAAATGGAAGACTCTACTTTTCAGACCAGGCATAGATTCAAGTACAACGACATCAGTGTCAGCCCCTTTGTCAGACAACTTCATTCCGCCCTTCTTGCACCCTTCCACTAATTTCTTTAATATGCAGATCAATAATCTAAGCTTCATCTTGAAATATCTCTTTATAGCAGGTTATACGACGTTCGATATAATCAGAGATGACCCATCGAGCAGATGGTTCTACTATACTGGTATGCAACTACGGATGGAGGAAGTACTTGTGACACGCAGATTGACAGTCTTTGTGCCAAATGATCAAGCCTTCATGGGACTTTCGGAAAACCGACGGTTCCGACTCAGAAACTACCTCAACAGGCTCTACTACGTGTTCCTACAGCATGTTGTTATTGACAAAGCAATAACTAGTGATAAACTGAAAGATGGGATGGTATTAGAAGCAGGCATTGGCAGTCACTTGTTCATAAATGTCAGAAAAAATAGAAAAACCGGAGTAAGTTTATAACTTTAGATTCACTTTTGGTGCATAGGACAGAGTGGCTCTAATTTGTCTTTTTTTGTTTCACACTTAATGCGATCATCAATCAACTATTGTCTATACGGCATCGAGCACTTCATGACAAACCAGTTAATTCACGCGAATATAAACATAAACAGTAGTTTCAGTTTATGCAAAGCCCTTCCATCATCGTGTAGGCTAACAACACAGCTTTTAGTATAGCATGTGTCTTAAAGAGTGAATAGCGAAATATAATTAATTTATAGTTCTGATGCAATTGCCCCCCCCCCCCCCAAATATGGGCCATGATAACGACATAGCCTTGAAACGAGAACTGCTCTCCAGTGGCTCCTAATTTTGAGAGGTCTTCAGAGGGGGGGGGGGGGCTTCAATGAAAGATTCTTTGGGAGTTGGGACGCCTTTCTTTGAAGGGGGCGGGGCTATAACCCAACCGATTTATACTCTACTGTATCACCTTTGTCCTTCACAATTGCAAATTAAGATATTACCGTTTTGTTTATTTGAACAAAATACAAGTATATCGTTTTTTGATAGAAAGACGTCATATGGGTGAATGGTGCCAGAGTTATGCATAAAGACAGGCTTGGGCTAAACGGGGTCGTTCACTTCATAGACAAAATTCTTTTCCCCGCTACATATTCTTTGGATCAACTTATGCAAAGAGACAGTCAACTTAGTAGCATGAAATCGCTTCTTAGTGAATCAGCAATCAATCTGCCGACTGGTTTCACCCTGTTTCTTCCAATCAACAAAGGATTCGACATTTTGAAAGGAGAGGTCTTAGAGGAATTACGTGGAAACCTTCTCAGAGTTGAGGTAAGCTTCTATAATTATCATTAATCCAAAAAGGTACTTCTTATGATGCCTTACTAGGTAAATTTTTAAGTAGAAGATACTGAGGATCGAAACACACAAGTAAACAGCCGGGTAAAAATGCTAACAAACAGATGCCTATAGTAATTAAATGTGCCTATAGTTACGCTTTGGTGTTTAAAACCTGAAGGTTCTAAATTGCAATCAGAGTTTCACAGTTAATGCGATCATCAGGAATAGTTCCCTGGTATCGCATAAATCGTGAAACTCCGTCCTGTTGCAACTTGCAGAGTTGCAACTTAGAACCGTCCTGTTCTTTACACCAAATGGCGTGTACATTTCTAGCATCGAACATTGGCTGGGTAAAATAGTAATCTTTACATGTACATACCCATCTGTGGACGCGTCGGACATATTTATGTATTCAACAAAACTATATAAAGCCAGTTGCGTAACGTAGCAGTGTTGGGCCCTTAGTGAAAGTCGTGTTTTTGGGTCCCTATACTTAACTAAATTTGAATCAAGTTTTAAAGCATTAGTGTTCGACCTTTGGGGTTCTTCTGAAAAACCCAAAGAAATAGCATACAACAATACATGAAGAGATTTCTACTCCCTAAGATATCTTTTATTCTCTCTAATGGTGGCACATGAAATGAAATAACAACTCCTCTCATCCCTCAACACTTGAAATGTGAAACTTTATCAAAATATTAAAGAAATATGTACTGGTGTGAATAATAAATGTTTGCTTAAGCATCATTCACACTGACACAGTTAAACCGGCTGTATTTATACTAGGTTAAATTTCAACCAATCAAATGCATCCGATTTGTTGGATCGACCAATTGGAAGGCCTCGCTCAATAACTGGACTTGGTTAAAGCATAGTTTATGGTTAAAGCTGGTTTGAAAATGTGGATGGGGTATTAGATGTCGATAGATATTGACAAAATTCGAATAACTTGACTTCTCTTTTACAACAACTGCCCACATAATTTTGAACTTTCTGTCCTAGTGTGGTCCTTATGAATAATGAAGAATATTATAAGACATAGATGATGAAATTTAATCAATTCTTAAAATTCTGTGGCAGTTTGTTCACAAATGTATATACATAAACAATTTCAAACTGCTTCATTAAGAAAATCAATTAGATTTTAAAATCTGTAATATCCTCGTAAACTAGATATAAAATTTTATAACGGACATAGATGTGAATAAAAAAGAAACCTTATTGACATGTCATATCTTAAATCATAATTATATGGTTGCCTACATTCATAAATTAACCCCAGTACAGTCTTAGGCTTATTTTGATGATGCTGTGAATGCTATTTAGAAACATATGCTTTCACCCAAAACCCGTTTTTTAAAAATTTCTTGTGTCCCTTAGTTTTGTGCTTAAAGATGCATACTGTGCGTTACGAAACTGAAAACGTAAACACATTAATATCACCCAATTTTTCTGATTTTATTCAGGAATTCATACAGCAGCACTTAGTAACAAGCCCTGTTTTCCTGAGGCCGTTGAGCAAGGGTGACCAAATGACTGTCTCTACAATGGGAAAGACGAAACTAATAATTACCGCTGATAACAAGGGCTTCTTAGTCGAAGTTTTTGGCAGGAAAAATATTAGAAGAGGGAGGATACTACGATGGGATCGCACAGTTAAGAACGGTCTTGTTCATTATATAGACCTCCCGTTATCAGACGACGAAGGTAAGTTTGGTAGCAAAATAAATTTATTTTCCAAACTTGCCGTTTTACCGCAATGATTATCATGAATGACTGAAAAGCACAATAAAAGAGTGTAATTATTGAAGCATGAGAAAAAAAGATTGCATGAAAACTTTGTTTGAATAAAAATGGGGAATATGGTTAACAAATTATTTGTGCTTAGTGTTGTATGTATCTTACAATTCGTCTTAGAATTATACAAACCAAATGAGAATTCAAAACAATTTCCTGAAACAACAAAACCAGACGAAAATGATCTCAATGAAGAAAAGAGGCGAGCACATCCGGAAAGACTTGCACCAAAGAAGAAAGATGAAAAAAAGGAACCATACGAGAAAGCGAGTGAAGACAAAAGCGCAGAGAAACCTGAACCAAAAGAAGAAGTTGAACAAAAGGAGAAACCCGATTCACACGAGAAAGCAAGTGAAGACAAAAGCGCAGAGAAACCTGAACCAAAAGAAGAAGTTGAACAAAAGGAGAAACCTGATTCACACGAGAAAGCAAGTGAAGACAAAAGCGCAGAGAAACCTGAACCAAAAGAAGAAGTTGAACAAAAGGAGAAACCCGATTCACACGAGAAAGCAAGTGAAGACAAAAGCGCAGAGAAACCTGAACCAAAAGAAGAAGTTGAACAAAAGGAGAAACCCGATTCACACGAGAAAGCAAGCGAAGACAAAAGCGCAGAGAAACCTGAACCAAAAGAAGAAGTTGAACAAAAGGAGAAACCCGATTCACACGAGAAAGCAAGTGAAGGCAAAAGCATAGAAAAACCTGAACCAAAAGTAGAAGTTGAAGAAAAGGAGAAACCCGATTCACACGAGAAAGCAAGTGAAGACAAAAGCGCAGAGAAACCTGAACCAAAAGAAGAAGTTGAGCAAAAGGAGAAACCTGATTCACATGAGAAAGCAAGTGAAGACAAAAGCGCAGAGAAACCTGAACCAAAAGAAGAAGTTGAACAAAAGGAGAAACCCGATTCACATGAGAAAGCAAGCGAAGACAAAAGCGCAGAGAAACCTGAACCAAAGGAAGAAGTTCAAGAAAAGGAGAAACCCGATTCACACGAGAAAGCAAATGAAGACAAAAGCGCAGAGAAACCTGAACCAAAAGAAGAAGTTCAAGAAAAGGAGAAACCCGATTCACACGAGAAAGCAAGTGAAGACAAAAGCGCAGAGAAACCTGAACCAAAAGAAGAAGTTCAAGAAAAGGAGAAACCCGATTCACACGAGAAAGCAAGTGAAGGCAAAAGCGCAGAGAAACCTGAACCAAAAGAAGAAGTTGAACAAAAGGAGAAACCCGATTCACACGAGAAAGCAAGTGAAGACAAAAGCGCAAAGAAACCTGAACCAAAAGAAGAAGTTCAAGAAAAGGAGAAACCCGATTCACACGAGAAAGCAAGTGAAGACAAAAGCGCAGAGAAACCTGAACCAAAAGAAGAAGTTCAACAAAAGGAGAAACCTGATTCACACGAGAAAGCAAGTGAAGACAAAAGCGCAGAGAAACCTGAACCAAAGGAAGGAGTTGAACAAAAGGAGAAACCCGATTCACACGAGAAAGCAAGTGAAGACAAAAGCGCAGAGAAACCTGAACCAAAGGAAGAAGTTGAACAAAAGGAGAAACCCAATTCACACGAGAAAGCAAGTGAAGACAAAAGCGCAGAGAAACCTGAACCAAAGGAAGAGGTTGAACAAAAGGAGAAACCCGATTCACATCAGAAAGCAAGTGAAGAGAAAAGCGCAGAGAAACCTGAACCAAAGGAAGAAGTTGAAGAAAAGGAGAAACCCGATTCACACGAGAAAGCAAGTGAAGACAAAAGCGCAGAGAAACCTGAACCAAAGGAAGAAGTTGAAGAAAAGGAGAAACCCGATTCACACGAGAAAGCAAGTGAAGACAAAAGCGCAGAGAAACCTGAACCAAAAGAAGGAGTTGAACAAAAGGAGAAACCCGATTCACATGAGAAAGCAAGTGAAGACAAAAGCGCAGAGAAACCTGAACCAAAAGTAGAAGTTGAAGAAAAGGAGAAACCCGATTCACACGAGAAAGCAAGTGAAGACAAAAGCGCAGAGAAACCTGAACCAAAAGAAGAACTTCAAGAAAAGGAGAAACCCGATTCACACGAGAAAGCAAGTGAAGACAAAAGCGCAGAGAAACCTGAACCAAAAGAAGAAGTTCAAGAAAAGGAGAAACCCGATTCACACGAGAAAGCAAGTGAAGACAAAAGCGCAGAGAAACCTGAACCAAAAGAAGAAGTTGAAGAAAAGGAGAAACCCGATTCACACGAGAAAGCAAGTGAAGGCAAAAGCGCAGAGAAACCTGAACCAAAGGAAGAAGTTGAACAAAAGGAGAAACCCGATTCACACGAGAAAGCAAGTGAAGACAAAAGCGCAGAGAAACCTGAACCAAAGGAAGAAGTTGAACAAAAGGAGAAACCCGATTCACACGAGAAAGCAAGTGAAGACAAAAGCGCAGAGAAACCTGAACCAAAGGAAGGAGTTGAACAAAAGGAGAAACCCGATTCACACGAGAAAGCAAGTGAAGACAAAAGCGCAGAGAAACCTGAACCAAAAGAAGAAGTTGAACAAAAGGAGAAACCCGATTCACATGAAAAAAGAAGTAGAGAAGCTGCTGCAAAGAATCTTGAAGTCACTGAAGCTGGAAAAAGGAAAAAGCAGATGCCAGATATAAAAGAAAAGAAAAAGCTGATAAGGAAAGCTCAGAGAAACCAAAATTGAAAGAAAAAGTTGAAGAGAAGATACCAGCAGAAAAGGCTTCCAATGAGGAGGATGGAATGGCAAAACCAACAGCTGCAATTACATACACTTCAACTCAAGGTATGATAACTTGCTGCTTATTTTGTCTCTGTGCAATAAGAAATCATTTACTGAATTTGCTTAAAAATATGCCAACTGGCAAAGGTCTGTGTCGAAGTTAAAACTTGTGCTATGTCTAGATCTTAAAGTGAGGTAAATGTGATTGCGTATTTTCTAAAGCGACAGTAGAAAAGACAATCACTTACGGAGTTATTGATAGCTATTTGGTTGAAATTTGCAAAAAGGTGTTGTTGGCACTGCATAAATGTGCGTTGTTTGTAATTTATTTTGTTTTTGTTGGCATTAGCAGGTGAAGTTGCAACTACCAGAGGACCCACACTGGCAACAGAGAGTGTTATAATGAGAGACTATCTCGGTAAGATTCATACATTTCTCTATATTTAAGGGGAGTACGATTGATAAAGTTGTCTTATTGCGCACGAGGCAAATTGCCAAGGCGACGATCCAAATAATGGCAGTAGACTTCTACGGATTAACCAAAATTGACTTTAAAACTGTCTTAGAATAAATTATGGAATACTTGCGCGATGCAATGGGTCACTGTTTGCAACGAGTCTTCAAGGTTTGCACATCAACTTTGTCGGCAAATCAGACTTGAGCAACCCCCCTTCCCCCTCGAGAACAATAGTTACTGATGGCCCTGCTATTCCACAGTTGGTATGTGGAGCAGACGGCAGAAAAATCTAACCAAAAAACAGTCAAAAGGCGATTGCTAACTCATTTACCATTATTTTACTTAAAATCTTCTAAATTAGATGCAGATTTTTGAAAGAACTACCAATTTATTCAGCGTTGATCCATTCGCTGTGGTCAGTATTCTCAAGAACAATTGCACGTATCCAAAAGTTACTGCCCTGAGAAAAAAACACTGAATCCACAAGAAACGAATTTATTCAAAAACCTAGCTTATTCAATGTAATTCAGTTAATTTGTTAAATAAAGATATTTCCCACCTTAGGACCACCAAGAACTATTTTTGAGCTGCTGACAGAGAATGGCCTAACAGTGTTTGCTTCACACATAAGCAAATACCCAGCTCTAAAAAAAATGCTGGATTCTGATGCAAAAGGGGTGACAGTGTTTGCTCCAACAAACTCTGCATTCGATGAAATGATAGTGGAAGAAAAAGAAAAAATCGCAAATGGAAGAAACCTCTTGCATCTTGTATTGAGCCATCACATTGTTGGAGGTAATCTTCAGATCAATGGCTTAAGATTCAAGGAGCTGACAAGTTTTGCCGATTATCCTCTCATTATTCGATCATTTGAAAGGGTAAGCACATTTCCTTTTCCATCCATTATGATACACCTCTAAATAACGGACATCTTCAAAAATCAGCCTCCTCCCAAAAACGGACATTTCCTATTTACGGACACCTGCTAATAATGGACATCTTCGACAAATAGGAAAATAGCTATTTCCTACATTCAACATGTCTTTCCAGATATGAAAGCCACCAAGCGATGAATGACGGCCACCCCATCACCTCAAAAAACAGTAACTGTGGTCCCCCGCATGTCCTATGCACGGATGTTTTACATGTATTGCGATAAATGCTCGCAGCTATTCCCTTCAGCCGGACAAATTTTCTGACATGGTCACGTACAAGTTTTGGATTCTAGCAAATGCGAATTGCAATTTTGAGTATTCTTGCAGACAGCTATTTCGTCATCCGGGGTATTCCAAATCGAATACCGTTTGTAGCAAGCCCCAGAAAATCACTTGCAAATATGAGAACACGATTTTAAATGTGTGACGTAATCTTTAGATGAAGGTAACATGCAAATAAACATGATTTCTTTGGTCATCTTATAAAGCATGTCCGTTTTCCTTTCAAAAAACTGACCATTGTAAAGTGTTAACATATTTTTCTTTCCGTAGCGATTAATGATCGACAAGGCAACGATTATAGAAAAAGACATAGTTGCCTCCAACGGACACCTCAACATCATTGATAATGTCATTGTCCCTATCGACAACACGATGTTCGGAGTACTTAGGCAGCTCGACCGACCCAAAATCACAATATTCCTAAAGCTTATCGAATCAGCTGGGATGAACGATGTTCTTGAGAATTTCACAAGGGCCCGACTAATGCTCTGGATACCCACGGATGAAGCATTCCAGAAACTCGGCTCGCGTACATTGAAAGCTTTGTTTTTACAGAAAGAAAAACTACGACAACTTCTCAATTATCACATGACGCCTGGGTATTTTAGCACAAAACTGATGACTACACGATGGGTATATGTCTTCATAACTCGCCACAACAAAAGCCGGCTGCGTGCCCGTAAGTTCAACGACAAGCCCACCGGACTGATGTTATTTGGTTCACAAAACAGCCAAGCTCGCAGTGTAAAATTAAACGTTGTGGCCACAAATGGCCTAATTCACTTCATTGACTCCGTGCTTAATCCACCGAACTTTAGTGTATTCGATTAGACAATTTTACCTTAAAGGATCAAATAAAACAATTTTAGGGCTCATAGTAGTTAAAAGGGCAACAATGACCCCCATTCAGCGCCATCAGAAGTAGGGTAAAAGAGGTTCGTTGCAGATTGCTAAAAAATCCAACAATCAAACTGCAAGAAAATTTCTGCAAATCGCTTTCACTTGAAGTAAAATACCTTTTGTCTGTAAAGCAATCATGCTTACTACGGATCAGTTAGCTATAATATATTCTTGTCACTATAAAAACCTTCTATAAAATTAGACTTGGGCAGTAAGTCTCTTCATACTTTTGAGAGTACCAACATGTCGTCAGCCCTTGCTGTAAGACTTTCTAATTATCGGATCACTTCTCATTGTTCGCAATACTGGGTATTCTATATAGAGAGTGACAGTCAAGATAAAACAACAATCGATGACTCAAAAACAACTTTTTCAGTACGAATTTGTAAAATAACCAAAAGATACAACATACTGGAGTGCTAAAATTAACACTAGACTTGATAAAAAACATAGTTTTTGATGAAGTCATTGTTCGTTATAAGAGAGAATACAAGGAATTTTTAAACTAAAATGTGCCTCCTAAAATGTAGTTCTAGACACTCATTTAGAGCTCTTAACAAAGCCCGCCACATGCCTTAGCAGGAAAACAGTTCAAGTTTAGCGACAAAGAAAAATAAGTACTTAATTACTTTGTTGCCTGAGGTGGCTAGACAAGAATGGTTTCTAATTAGAAGAATGGCTTCTATATATTCAAAAGTCTCTGTTATGTTAGATGTGGTACAGATGACACAAGATAAATATTGAGGCAGAGTAAAACATACTAATTTTCTGATTGACATAAAGTTTTATGTCAATTAAACCCTGAAACTAGAGAGAAACTGCAAACAAATATGACTTAGATAAGGGTCACGGCACCACAATGAAATTGAACCAACGCTATGAATTCTGGCATTTCTCTAGTCAAATAAGTTATTCAAATCCCATCCGGTGCTTTATACCATCTGCAGTCCCAGTTGCATTTTTTACCAATTTCTACAATTACATGTTTACTTATTATCAGCTCGTTTAAAATTATCAGTAAATTAAAAAGAAATACCAGTTAATTACGAAAAAGCGGTGGAGCAAGTTCTTATGTCTGGGAACGTTGTATATCCTGACTTTTTCAGCAAGATTTTTGTAGCAACTGTTTGGCCTAATGTATTAATCGAATAGAGTAACTCGCGAAGTCACTTTGCACCACAATTGTATTAAAAGAATTTTTTTAAAAGTACTGTTTAATCGTCGTTTTTCTTTTTGTCCTTCTTCTTTTTCTTTTTTGGTGCTTCAGCATCAGCTGTTGTATCTAAGCTATCTGTGGCATTCAGGCTTACATCAGCACCATTTAACTTTCTCTTCTTCTCTGTCTTTGCTTCATCGCCTTCTTCATCTTCCGTTCGCTTCTTCTTCTTTTTCTTCTTCTTCTCCGGCTCTTCATTCTCTACTTCAGCTGGCTTCTCCTCAGGTTCCTTTTCATCTGAAACAATTACCAATTGTTTACTGTAAACTTCTGTCAAAAGTTCACTTTTCCCAGCGATTATACCACCGCTTTTTATAAGATATCCCGAACCTACATCGACTTGAGACACACTGACAAAAAGTCTCAAAAAGAGCAAGCAGTAGTGTCCAAAATCCTACTAGGTTAAAAAGCTTTAACATGTCAGACGCTATAAAAAATCTTTTACTATCAGCACATGTCATGACGTTGCCTAGAGATACCCATTAGCCGCAGGAGCGTGGTGGCCCACCGGCTCCTTAAAACTTTTCGTGTGGGCCCCTTGGATTTTTCTTCCTCTTAAGCACTTATAATTTGTAACATCAGATTTGTGAGAAAAAAAAGTGAAGTAAGGCCCAATGCTGCCTCCGCGACGCCTTTAAAAATTAAAAAAAAAAAATTCCCACCACGCCCTTGATTAGCCGACAAGGTTGTATCTTATCAAATAACCGCAACAGAAAAGCCATAGAACTCAAATTGATGGTTAAATTTCCCATCAGCTGTGGCCTCCTCTTTGTATCATGATAACATGTACTGTTACAGAATTGTCAAAATAGATGATTGTGGCGTCATCACTTGACCATTCTATTACACTCACGGTCCTTGTTCCACTTAAGCACACAAACACAAGCCAAAAACATTCCTTTTAACTTTAAAACATTATGAATTTAAAAATGGCTTTGAAAAAAGCAAACATTTTACAACATACTTAAAGCTTTTTCGTCTGACACTCCTCAGAGCATAAATTTTTTGAGAGTTGAGAATCCCGATAAAGAAACAAAATGGCAGGGACGTTTATAGAGTAATCTAAATTGTAATTCTAACATTGCTACTCTTTCAGCAACATTTTTAGTCCTTTTTCTTCTTCCAACAAAATATATATGGCAAATTTTTCCAGTGGGCTGAATAGCGTAAGGCAACTAAGCTGTTGGTCAAATTAAACTTTAATCAAGTTTTTGTAATGATGAAAAATATTTCGCTCCTGAAAACTGGCCGGGAACGTCAACGCTCTTGCTAGATGATGACGTTAAGAAGTGGATGGAAAAGGCAATAGCAGATTGGAAAAGAACAGTTTTAACATCGGCATTGACAGCTTTAACTGACGTACGAGTCCGGGGTCCCTGTCTCTCGATACCCACGGTGGTGCTAGACAAGAGAGAACAAGAAGAGACCTAATACCGCCCGATTAGGAGAACAATCCTTTTTACTTATGTTTTATCTTTTTTAATTGAACAAATGTATTTATACTTAATTAATATTGTACTAGGGTAGCTGAAAGGTTGAATCGAGGTACTATTAACCATAGATACATGATAGAACATTGTGAAGGACTGGAGACTTTTTAGAAAATAATAAAAATATGTATTCGAATGAACACATGAGTTTCAACCTGTGTCCCTCTTCCGAAAAAGAGGGATGAACTTTATCAGTTACGTTCATGTGACCTCGCCTGATGTGAAGTGCCATGTGATTCTGTTCTGAGCTAGGAAATTGAAAAAAGGTCGTCGCACATTTTGCTGTAAAATGGAAGCTACCGTTGAAGATGTATCATATTGTCTTCCACTGCACTTTTGTCTTAATAATATTGTAAAGAGCTGCCAAACTCAATCATGGTTGTAACATCATTGTTATACATGGAACAGAATTGTTATACTCGGGGCACAAAGGTCTTTCGAAACCAAAAAATTTTTTGAAGGAGAAGCAAATAAAAAGGCAAACATATCTATACTCGGACATGGTTTATTTTGACTAAACTTTCTCTTCGTGTCTAGAATCCATTAAAGCAGAAGCTTTGAAGGCCTTCATTACTAAAGTTTATTTCATGAAAACGCATTTAAAGTTCTTTTGAGCTTCGTCTTAAAATAAGTTCTTAGTCCTTATCTTCAAATAAAACACACCGGGTTTTCCAATTAACGGTTTTAGAACTTCAAAGTACATTTCTAGCGATAAGGAACAACATTTTCTGTATTTTTCGTAGAAACTAGAGATCGAAAATCGGCTATGCACACCACAAGATTCGTCTTCTTAAAAACAGATTGTCCTAAGCTCTTAACTAACACCCTTGACTAAAATTCTTCACATTCATTACAACCATACCAGGGGTTAAGCCATACCACGAATGCGTTAAACCTATGATCTTGAGTAAAACTCTCATAAAGGGATTTCTAAAGCAGGCAGACAAATGAAAAATGAAAAGACACTGGGTTAATTACAACTTGCTGCTAGTATCGTAATCTCTCTTGTATTCCTACCCTCTACTATTCCCGCCATTTTTCTATGCTTTGAAAAATTAATCCCGCCTCTCCGATAATCCCGCATGCGGGTTTAATTAAACAAATCAATGGATTGCAAAAATGATTTGCGGTAATTCAACGTAGTGTATTGTCGTTCTTATTTGATGACAGTAAGGGTGAATAATGTTTTAGCCAATCAGCGTCGTTTCTCCAACCAAGTTTCCGCGCAAAAACACAGGAGAACATGATGAAAATTTAAGCCCGCTTTTTAAAAGCACGTTGAAAAATAAATCCCGCTTCTCAGATAATCCTGCATCCCTAATAATCCCGAATTAAACTAGGAAGTTTAATCAATAAACCCGCAGTGGGAATAAGATTTTGAAGATAGAGGGAGTTATGTGATGATACAGCACAAAAGTACGTGATGATATCTAAGCATAAACAGAGCCCCTAATTAAAGACAGTGAGAGAGTAAAAGGTCAACCACATATGACGGAAAAGGAGAGTAGACTTGGTCTATAGCCAATACCTTTAGGGAAATGCCATTAAAACAGAGTTATACAATAAATATTTGAAAAACACAGACATACTTGGGCAAAAGGGCAGGATGAGTCTAGCTGTCAAATGGAGAAAATATTTCAACAATACTGTCACTATTCATTGAAAACTTTTGAAAACAGAGACAGACAAATATACCCTTTATGATCAGGGAGCTTTGAGAAACTCGTTTTGTAGTAAGCTTCAACTGCCAGAGAAGAAGGTTTAACAGGTTACACTGCTTTGTTCAACATCGATTTAAGAATTGTGTAGGAAGACTAGTTGATGTGATGGGTACAAACCTTCAGCATTGTTTTTCTTCTTTTTCTTCTTCTTCTGGCTGGAGCTTACACTGTCACTTGCTTCTAATTTCGGCTTCTCTTCATCTTCAACTTCGACTTGCATTGACTTTCTGTCCTTCTTCTTCTTCTTCTTTTTACCTTCCTGGTTATCTTCTTCCACAACCGATCTGCTCAACTCTTCTATCGCTTCCTTCATAACATCCAAGTTCTTCTTTGGGGTTTTGCCAGCATTGTAGAACTCAAGACGATCCTCAACTTGCTCGTGCAACTTTTTCCCGAAAACAGAACTTGGGTTGTCTGTAAATGTACGGAAAAGCATTAATTTGCAGGAAGTATAGGACATGGCTATGGTTTCTGTTTGATACAAAGAAAATATGGACAGCGAAAGATTTAATACTCATTACAGATAGGCAAAAATAATGTCAGCATCATAGATAGGCAAAAATAATATCAGCCATCTTGTATATCCGTTTCCTCGAGCATTCGCTATCTCGTCACCATAACTAAAATTCGTATATGCAAATTAACCCCGAACAAAAGGTCCCCACCGCCCGGCGATTAAGAGGGATTCCAGCCAAAACCGCTCGGCCGATTTTCAAAATTACTTTTTCCCCTTCATCCTCGATCTTTGGTTCACCATACTACGGTCTCCTTTTTCTCCTTTTCGCTTCCGTTCCTGAGATATTTACGGTTTTCTCCCGGATTCGTTCGAAATCCTCTCGATCACGATTAGTGCTCTCCGCGGTCTTTGTCCCGACTTTCTAAAGGTTCTTTCTCTCTCTTTTCTCTTGCTCTCTACAAAAGGTTTCAAAACTCCTTCCAACAGCAACCCTTCAATTTGAACGGAGGCTTTTCAAATTCGTTTCGCTTCCACAAAGAATCTACTGTGTGCCGATAATTTAGATGATGTGGAATTGGATGATAAATCTACGTGCACTGCTGGTTGGCATTCCTTTTCGAACTCGAAGCGGTCGTCGACGGTCGGTGTCGTGTGCTACAGCTACAGCTCCAGTAGTCAATCGTGCTGGGTGCTCTCGACAGACCTCAGGTGAGTCTTGCTAGCTTTTTTTATCAACTGATTTTTTATCGATCGACGATTGAACCCCGTTTCTTATTTTGTTTGCAAGAGCCATGTGATTCGTGCTTTTGACAATCTTCCTTTTCTTCGTTTTAGTAGCTACGTACGGTACGCACACTGCTGCCCGTTTTTTGGTTTTGCGATTGCTGCTGGCTGTTCCCCTTCTTCACTGGCATCAGAATCGATGGCATGCGAATACAAGTAAGCGTTGTTGTTCTTACGTGTTTTCGATATTACTTTTTTCAAATGATTTTGTGCTCATTTCGATGAAATTACACTAAAAACCGGCTGCTAGACCCCCGCTGCGAACGAAAACTTTTTACCTCTTCTCGTGGTTTTGTGCTTAAAGGAAACTGGATTGGCTTTATTGCAATCAAAGTATGAAGAATTGTGGTAGATTTTGCCTGCTGTTTATTCTTGATGCAAGAAAATTTGATTTTCATAGGAAACCCGTTGTAATGCGAATTATGTAATCCCGCCAGCCCCCAGCTTTTTATGCCTATCGGGAATCCTTTGCAGCAACTTTTCCTAACCGCCTTCCTTTTTTGTAGATAAACGATCGGATTCGCTGACTTTTTGGTTCAACAAGTGAGTATTTTTCTATTAAATTTTCACTTTTTGTGAGATTTTCCCACTGACAATGAGATGGGATTTGCCTGCCTCTGGAGTGACAATTATTCTAGAAACCATTTCAAATGACTTTATGCTTATTTGAGTGAAATTACACTAAAAGCCGGTTGCTGAAAGGAGTCACTAGACCCGCCACGAACGCCTTTCTCTTAATGTTTTACCTCTTCGTAGTTTTGTCCTTCAAGGAAGATGGATTTGCTGTATTGCTCGCTTCACAAGAACAAGTTCAAATGATTTTATGCTTACTTTGATGAAATTTCACTAAAAACAGGTCGCATAAAGGGGTGGCTAAACCCTCGGGGCGAACCTTTTTTTCTGAAATTTTTACAAAGCATTATGACTATGGATTTCCTTAAAAAGTGCTTTCATTAACCATGGAATAACATCTTAATTATTTGTGATGTTCTTCATCTAGATCAAAGATCGTTTCGAGCAATAATTATGACCCAGACGTGATTCTTGACTGTGGAGAAAAGGACTAAAGTTATATAGATTAGCTGTTGTCCGTAAATTGTATTTTGTTAATTTGTTGTTGGAGTAAGAATCATATCTGATGCACGAAACTTTGGCTGTTTTCTATCTTTCCATTTCTTAAGTGCTTTGTTGCTGCAGTGTTTCAAAAGCTAATTGTGACGAAGATATGATATGTGGACCTCAAATGTATAGAACTGCGTAATAACTTTATAACTCTTTGGGGTTTAGAAGAGGTGTTTGATTCAGAATAAACAGGGAGCTTTGAGGGTGGCCCGCAATTATGTCTAAAAACAGCATCACAAGTGAACAAAGATTGAACGAAGTGCTTTAAAATGAACATTACAGCTCTAAGAATGACTTTAGAAAATATTTAAAAACGCCCCATAAGTCGACGAAGGCTAAGAGTGTATGATTAGAAAACTTAAAAATTTGATTCTGACTAAATAGGAGAACCTCTAGGAGTAGCCCATGAAAATGTGCCAACGAGCATAAGGAATTGGTGGGACTGGCAGAAGCATGTTGCTGTCAAGTTTAAAGTAGAATTCAGAATAATTAACAAAGCTTTTAGATAAGCCTGCAAGATATTTAAACGACCACCACGATACACCGAGAGATAAAAGAAGATGGAAACTTTGAAAATTGCAATTAGAATAAGCAGGAGAATTAAAGAGAGTAACCCGTGAAAGTATTTAAACGAGGACCCCAACTAGATCGTGGCTTACAAAATATATTGAAGAACTTTTCTGCCTTGCCTCGATATTGCAACCGTTTATGTATCAAATTGGTGTGTACATTTTAATAAACGGAAGAGTAGCTCCCAGTAAATCCCGCTCTGCGGGCACCCTATGGACCCCGGAATGGAATAGTAAGATTAGCCTCTGAAAGTCAAGAGTGCTATTAACCTCGACTTTAAAGGGGTTCAGATGGTGATGAAAGCTATGATATTGCTAATTGGTAATCATAATAATCAAGAAACTACTTATTGGATTGATTCTATTAGGAATTTCGCAAGTATGGGCATCTGGAGCCAGCAAGTAATTAAGTTTGGGTTTACTTTTCTAAAAGGATTTACTGAATTACAATCAAGGTAATAAAGCATTATCTTCCTACACGAAAATAGCTCTTATCTCAATTGGGTTGTTGCTGCAAGTAAATAATACTTTGTCCTCGAGCAATTATTTCCTGCTCTTGCCAATAGTATATGCTACTCACAGTAGGCGTGACTATGGATTAGATTAATTATGTTTGCCTTTTGTCACGTTTAAAGTATCCTTGCCTGCTTGCTGTATGATATTACACTTTTTGCTTGCATTCCTTATTAAATTGAAAGAATGTAGGAGGACATTGTTTTTTTATTCTGATTTTCAAGATAGATTCAACTTTAATTTGATTTGTCAGAGGAGTAAACAGATAAGTAAGGTTGGGAAGTCTTAACATGAAATTTTATGGAAAATTAAAACAGGAGACTTAGGGGGTAACACATTAAAATATTTAAACGAGGAACACGAATAGACCTGGGCTGCAAATGTTTTGAAGCAACTTTCAATTAACGGAAGACTAGCTCCCCTACGAAGCCCGCTACGCGGGCTTGCCAGTGACCCTACGGTAGAGTACATAGATTAGCCTCGGAAAAGACAAGAATTTTCTTAAAACCCCCTGTGAATGATAGTAAAATTAGCCTCGGTAAAGACAAGAATTCTTTCGAAGCCCCTAATGAGTATGCAGATTAGCCTCGGAAAAGACAAGAGGTGTATCAAACTCGATTTGAAAAAAATTGGCTCCGCACAGGTCACGTGATAAAAAAATTACTCGCACTCCTGTGACTATCGCTAGGAAGGGGGGAGCCTCTACCCCTTCTCTATTTCAGGCGACCCCCTGACTAGCGATAGTCACAGGAGTGCGAGTAATTTTTTTATCACGTGACCTGTGCGGAGCCAATTTTTTTCAAATCGAGTTTGATACACCTCTTGTCTTTTCCGAGGCTAATCTGCATACTCATTGGGGGCTTCGAAAGAATTCTTGTCTTTACCGAGGCTAATTTTACTATCATTCACAGGGGGTTTTAAGAAAATTCTTGTCTTTTCCGAGGCTAATCTATGTACTCTACCGTAGGGTCACTGGCAAGCCCGCGTAGCGGGCTTCGTAGGGGAGCTAGTATAATTCTAAATTTCCCATCAGTTAGAGTGTGGACAGGTTCAAAAAACATTTTGCTACCTTGAACTATGGCTCAGTAGTTAGGGTCGCTGAATACAGACGCAAGGGTCGATGGTTCGAGTCCCTGACATGACCAAACTTTCATCCAGAGTGGGGAGAGTCGCTAGCTCTCTGTAATTCCAGGCGTAGGAATCACGGAGTGTGGTCACATCAAGAGGAAGGACCAGGACACTCCTCGATAAGCATAGCTTCTCAGAGTCCTAAAACTTCCTTCGGATGCTAGGTAGAAACAAATCAAATCACAATTGTCTACTGTCCTCCAGATTTTCGTAAAAGCGGCTGTCAACTGCATTAACAGAGATCAAAAGGGTTTTTGTTACTGCATGCAGATCAGATTTTGTTTTCACTTTTAGGGAGGGTTATGCAAAATTTATTTATATTCTGGATGAGAGGTGAGCACTTTTCCGAACCCTGAACTTTAAAACGCTGAGTGAAGACCATAAGCAGAAATCAGCCTTAACCGAAATCTCCATGGATGCGTCCACATTATCTAAAATTGGTATAGAACAAACTGCATTATTGCTGTTTCTACAGCTGTTGTTGTTGAGGCTGTTGTTGTTGAGGCTGTTGTTGTTGAGGCTGCTGTTGTTGAGGCTGTTGTTGTTGAGGCTGTTGTTGTTTGGCACCACCGTTCCACATGGTGCCAGATGAAATTCAAAATTGAGTTCCAGATAAATAAATCAAAGTTCTTAATCTGAATGTTTATGAGCACTAAAAGCTGGAACGGATGCAGAAGAATAGGACAGCTATGACAAGCACGATCCACTCGTCATAACATGAAAAGGCAAGCAAAATCCTTAAAAAAGCGTTACTGATGAAGCTATTCCCTCTATTGTATAAGAAGGCTGAATTTTCAACTCACTAACCAATGTCTAACAAAACGCGCACTTATTAGCGTTATTCATACAAACAAACCACACTAAAAGTTCAAAGAAATCATAATATTATCGATGGGGGTTACCTGAGAAGCAGTCAATTCTTGATGCAATCGAGCACTTGTTAGCAAGATATCTTGAAATGCGGCCTTTGTTCTTTGCTCCGGCGCGTCCAATGAACGAAGAATGGAATATCAGTCCGTACTTTGGAGTCTTGCCACGCGTTTTCAAGGCTCTAGAAAAGAGGCAAGAGTCATAAACTTAATGCGAGGCCCCTATCAGAATTCTTCAAAACCTGTTTAATAGGACAAGCAAAATACAGACATAGGAATCAAGGAAAAAGGGACCCTGGGGCGTGAAGAAATAGTTACAATCAGGGATGGACAACAGGGGGCTTCGGGCACCTGCCAACAGCAATATTTTTCTTCTTGGCTTTCCCAAAGAACTATTTTCAAAAAATTATCTTATAATCAGTCTAACATAAAACAAATTCAAAGATTTCATAAGGCAGTTAATTTACACCAAAAAATGTAAATTTATTTTCATGGAACCAAGGTTTAATCAGATTTTTGAATTCTCTTGAATTTCGGGCTGTTCTGATTCATCTGGAAGTGAGTTCCAGTTTTTCGGCATTTGGAAACTTGGTGATGTAAAACTATGATTTGTAGTTCTAACCTTCGGTATCACTAAAGAATTTTTAATACGAAGGTTACCACTAATTAGTTTTTATGAAAAATAATCCTTTTTGATTATTTTTGAAAAATGAAAATGAAAAAACAGGATTGAATTTTCATACTTAAAGTGCTCAGATTGTGTATGAATAGTAGATGCTTTCGAGTTGGCAATTCGATCCCATAGTCAGAATTCGCTAGTAATAATGCCGTCTCGTTTTTTCCTCTAGTCTAGCTAGTTTAATTTTGCTGGTTTTATTCGTTATCTAGTTCTCTTGTGTAAATAATCCGCACCTTGCCCTTTAGCATACTAAACTCTTTTACAATCTAAATCCCTAAATCCGTAAGAAGCTATTGGCAGACAGTTTTCTATACGTCTCGAAATAAGGTTCTAGGGAACCTTCTCACTTGATTTTAAAAATTTCTTTTCTATGGGCGCTACATCTCGAAGTAACCTTCTAGGGACCTTATCACTTAATTTTGAACATTTACTTTCTATGGGATATCAATTTATCCTATCTTCCAGGTAAAATCAACAATCAATTAAAAAATAAAAAGAATTTGGCATTTCATTATTCTTTAGGGAAAGAAAACAATCTCTGGTGCCTCGGAAAAAAGCCCTTCAAAGTGAATCTGATAATAAAAACAGTTATTCTGCAAGAGAGCCCTTATTCGATTTTCAAATGTATATACTTGCCCTTGAATTTATTTTAATCTTATTCCTAATCCCTAATCTTATCTGCATAAGTTCATTAACAGACAACCCAGATGACTCGAATGCTCCAAAATTAATTTACTCTTCTGACCTTTTGATAAGATCTTTAGTCATGTCGTTTTTTAGTCTCACCAAAAGACAAAGTTTTCCATCGACATGATTAAGAGAATCAAATTACTGCAATGGCTGTCGGCGAGAACAGAACTAGGGAAAACTATCTAAATCCAATGATTCCTAAGTGTTCTAAACGTTGCAAACAAGTGTAATCTTGAGTTGTTCAAAATCAAAACGACGAAATGTTACGACATCCAAATGGCAAAAATATTATAGCTATTTTGTTGACAATAAGCTGGAACCCAGTCTCAAACTGAAATTCAATCTATGCTCAATCCAGAAACAAGGATATTTCTTTATAAAATAAAGTCATTTCATCCTTTAGAATAACAGTAAAAAAATAAACCGTCATGCCTTCAAATTGCTCAGAACCAATTGCCGAAAACCTTTCCTTGCTACTAGAGATTAAAATTATGATGATGATGAGCGATAACAGGCAGTTTTCAACTGCATTAAGACTTGCACAACTTCTTAAGTTTTTTACAGTCAGTAGCACGAATGTCTTCTGAATTTAAAGTAAAAGGTCTTTGAACCTTTTTTATCCTTTGAGAAAACAATTTGGGCAGCCAGAAGGGCTGACTAGAGGAAAAGCTAGTCAGAAACAAGGCGACATGTTGTCACATCATCGACCAACCACGTTGACATATCTGGCTCCTGTGCAACCACAAGCAGAATTTACAAGTTTGATTCGTTTACAATGAATTTCTTCTTGGAAGTCAAATCGGTCGTTACAAAAACACACACGACACTTTTTGCAAGGCTTTGAAAACATTTTATGGTAAACTTCAGAATGCAACTATGTGTGTTTATACATAGTACACGCGATTGCACTTGCTGCTGTCTATCGAAAAAAACTTGAAATAAAAGAAAAAATGAAACTTGAGACGTTAGCACTTGATTCTTTTGACGAAAGCTTGTAACACACAAAATTATTTGCGTTGAACTACAGTACTGTCGAAATCAGTTCTTTGAAGTTCGATGTTTTTAGCTCACATGTTCACATGTCAAAATCATAAAATGGGAAACAAGTCATTTTTTTCATCTCAGTGTTTTTTCTTTGATCGTGACTATATATCTATACTCATCTTCTTTAAAATCTATGATTGTAAGAAAACTTTAGATTGCTAGACCAGACATCTTCGCACACTTGTTTCATCTTTAATCTAGCGACTAGGCTTTCATCTACATTTAATTCCTTACCTTCACGGCATACAATCGTTCTGCAGCCCACTTTTCACAATACAACCCTGTTCACCTAAATGTTAATCCAATCTAGATCGACCCTGCTTTTCCCAAGGCGTTTAGAATTACATCTTGTTTACATTCTAAACTCTACAATGTATTTCCATAATTGAACGAAGTTGGCTCCAATCTACTAGTCAACATTTTCTAACGCTTGCTCCTTGATCTTTTGAAAAAAACCTGGATCATGCTTAAATGCTTCTCTTAAAGGAGAATTTCATGACTTACCTGAACAATGCTTTCTCAGCACCAAGAATTTGCACAGTAGAAGCAGGGTACTTTGCAAGGTTTGTGAGGCTGCCAGCATGTGCAATAAGCCTTGCACCGACCTACAGGAGAAATGTAAATCAATAGCTATTTCATATCACCATGCATTTAAATATATTAAGTAAAAGCCGTTATCAACTAAAAGAACGATGCCTAACTCAAAAAAGCAAAATGCCAAAAATTCAGGTAATTTCAGCTCAGCCATGCCCAAAATTTGCTTTGGCCTACGTCTGTTTACATTTTCTGTAACTGTGTTTGGTTCAGCACCGATAAAGGCCGTGTAATTCACATAGTATCTCAACCAACACAGATTGAGTCGTGCGTTTAACTGCTTCTTCTTAGCCTGGTACGTCTTTGATATAAAATAACCTTGATTGAATCAAACTAGATTTTTGAATTTAGAAGTGAACTGCCCGCAAACAGTTCACGATGTCTTTGACTATATGTTAGGAGCCGAACGATTTCCAGAAATGTTAAAGTAAGTTCGCCTCGCGTGGTCTTTCAATGTTCCTTTGTGACCATCGAGGCAAACAATGTGGCAATTTCTAAAAGGGAGCTAGGCCAACCCCGGTAGCATTTGAATCCAGAAGAGATTCTCAGCGAATGACAAAAGCCAGCATATTGTCTCTTTTTGAAGAAAAAATCAAAAGTGATGCATTTAGCAGTCAAGATTCTCTATCAACAGTTTATCTCTCAATAGTTAGATAAAAGTGCAACCTAAACATTTGGCGAAAAATATAAGCCCTTATATATAAAAATATTTTCTTTTCGAATCTTGAGCCACCCTAGAGAAAACATAAGTGATTGAAAATGTTTGTCAAAAGTCTTGATACGCTACTACGTTGAAATTTGCATAATTGCAGTACCAATGCCCACTATCCCTTATATGTTTAAGTATTTGTAATTACGAACGTGTGTATTTAGTTTTTCTCCCTCTATTTGATGGCCCAGGGGTAGTCAAAGTTGATGCTCCCCGGGTATCTTCTTTATAGTGTTTGTCATGTAGCGTGTGGTTAAAGGTGTTTTAGAAACTTGTTATGTAACTTTTTGGAATGTATAAAAAGCCCATTGAAGCATCGTTGAATAGCAACAATTCTAGAGATGACAATCTGTTCAAAGTAGTTCTATCGGATTTTTTAAGCAACAGGATTCTCAACTAACATTGTTTTATAAAAGGGGCTATTTCGTTCATCAACTGCAGGGTCTTCCAAGAGGTTTATGCAGGAAATGTACAGTATCAAGAAGGCTTCAGAAGTTAGATTTTCAAAAACAGTACATATAAGTTCTATCCAAGAAATGTATTTTTGATCCAAGCAATAAGTTCTATCCAAGAAAAGAGTTTTTGATCCAATTTCGTAGAGGAAGGGGTTTTACTTGCCTAACCTTAAAACTGTATCTACACTTTTCTCGCGCCTCTTTTTGTGCAGATACAGTCTTTGCCAAAGTCCTTCGTACACAATGTTCCTTGATTACTATTTTGAACAAATTGACTGTTTAGAGTCAAAATTATCGACGCCCCATAAACCCCCAAAAAAATCCTTGTTGCAGAGTTAAAGATCACAGCCATCTGGAATGAATCCAATGGACCACATCAAATCTCCTAACTTCGTATAAAACAACATTGCTCGGAGGGGATGCAGTTTAAATATTCAAAAACTTGTTTGGTCAAACGTAAGATAAATCGTAAATGCTTCATACATTATGGGAAGGAGAGCAACTTGTTACCCACAAACAAAGTTTATGGTTTCCCGTCTGCGGTCAATCACCTCCATGATATAACCACTTTCATGATTCTCTTAAAACAATTTCGCTATTATATTTCTTCACTTCTGTGGATAATCAAGAGCACACTTTTATATGGATGATGACCTGGTAGAAGTGTGCTTGTGGCTAAAATCTTAAAAACACGGAGCACAACAACTGCCTTTGAAAATGCAGCTGGAAAATTAGGAAACCAAAATTGAATACTCTGATCCTCCCTCTCGTCAAATTTAATGTTCAAGAAATCTTAGTAAGGCTATTGATGGCGAACATAAGGGGATGACAATGCTAATAAAGTATTTATGATAATAGCACTGGCTGAGGATGGTCACGATAATGATTTTGGTGATGACAATGATGATAATACTGACGAACAGGACTGGCATAAATAAGTAGATGGAAGATTTCAATATTTTTTCGTCAGGTTTAATTAAATCTTCTTATTTCAATACGGAAGAAAATAATAATAAAATGGCTATATTTCTCTTTGGCCCTATATTTCTTCTGTAAGCTGGTTACTTTCAGTCACAAAGCTTGTTACTTTCAGTCAAAAACGTACATGAAAGAAGTGCAAATAAGTGCTTTGATGTGTATAACTCTGAAGTATCAATGCAAACACCCGTCCAAATTTGCAAAAGATACAAGAGGTCAAACACTGCAAGCGTTTTCTGCCCTGTGGATGCTTGCTAACTTGATGGCGACTTAGCTTATTCTTTTTTGCTCAAGTAAACAAAAGCTAGGATGTTGTGATCATAAAATGATTATTTGAAAGGTCTGTTCTATAGTGGTCAATGCCTTGTGGAGAGAGCTGTTTACGCTTTGGTTTATAGAACAGGGTTGTTCTTAGTGGCAACCCCGAGTTTCACACTTAAATGGGTCATCAGAAAACTGCTATTTGTTAAGATGATGTAATATACAATATTGCATTAAGGATAGATTCATTAAAGACACTTACCAGCTCTCCAATAACTTCAGATAAGTTGGGCGCCACCTGTTCCATTTTAGTGCAAAGGTACGCATGCAGTTTTTTGCGGTAATCTGCCAAGTCGATAACTTTGGTTGCAAATGATCCAATATTTATCAGGTCAAGAGGCGCGATATCCATACCTTGATGGAAAAAGGGCATTCAAAATAAATAATTTTTTTGGCAGAGGCTTAAGACCAGTACTTAGGAAGCATTTATAAGGCAAAATCAAGCACGATACGAGTGAAAAAACATCTTTAGTGTCTCTTTCGAACTGAAGTTACTTCGCAGAAAGTCGCAAAAAACTCAAGGTCGTGCGGAGCAGTGCTATCAAAAGAAACAGCTTTTTTGCTTATGATAGTCTCCAGGGTTAGTTAGCATAATGGTTGGAAGTTAGATACTTAAATTTCCAAGATCCAGGTTAGCATTCGTATCCAGGTTAAAATAAAAATGAATCAATAGGGAAAATGACAGGGAAATGACAAGAAAATGACAGGAAAATGACAGCAAAATGACTAGGGAGAGTTCAAGAATTGTATATCTATCAAAGCTGTTTGTCAATAAAAGATTGGCAAAAGTTTCTAGGTTGAGGTACAAGCCTATGCAAAATATTAAGAACTGATTAAAACGACTATCAATATCTTGCTTTGGCCTTTAGAAGATGTGCACAAGTTTTGTGTTCTATGTCATGTGAGAGAAGAAAGTCTGTTTTTTAGTGATTAAAGGTCTCAAACTAATTTTGAGAATGTTTGTTTGCATTGCCATTAAGAGAATGTTGATTAAAAGCACATAAATTGGTACAGCATACCCATTGAAATCTTGGATGCGTCATGGATTGTTTTTACTTTGCTTTCATCCATCACAATCTCTTCAAGTTCTGACAACTTCTCTTCATCAAGACTTTTTCTAGATCCAATACACTTAACCACTCTGGCATACATATAATTGTCATTGACAATCTTTACCAGCTCTGGAAAATGGTACCCATACCATTCCCTAGAATACGAATAATGGCAATAAAGCCCTGACCAAATTTCAACTGTTACATTTTTATGTAAATAAATCCTTGCATGCAATGTTGTTAATGTAATCATTGGGTATTTAATGCGAGTACCACTCTGTATACGTTTTGAAAAGTGCTGATACTTTCAGATTTTGGGCAGTGCAGCTTGATGATAATAAATCGGCAAAATGGCATAAATCAGCAAGATGGCATAAATCAGCAAAATGGCATAAATCAGTAAGATTGCATAAATCAGTAAGATGGCATAAGTCAGTTAGAAGATAGTCAGTTAAGATATAATCAGTCAGACGTTTCAACTCTAACTAGAGTTATCTTCAGTACGTAAAATAAAATAAAATTCTACTATAATTATTATTGTTCACTACTTTCACACCCACAGTCCATCACATGATCTTCGACCCTTATTGTTTCCTCATTTCACATACATAGTATATTACATGTCTGTTGAGCCTCATTGTTCACTTCTTTCATAATTATAGTAGAATTTATTTTATTTTACCACGTACTGAAGATAACTCTAGTTAGAGTCCAAACATCTAACGGATTATGTCCTAACATGTCTAAACTGACTTATATTACAACAAGCAATATATTACAATTAAAATTCATGGCTGTAAACTACATAAACATAACATTATGATATGGTAGCAAAACCTAACGTTGAATCCCCCTCCTTGTCAAAGATAGCAACAAAATGAATAAGTGATAAATAAGAAGAACTTTTCTGACCTTATTCTCATAGAGAATGTATTGATATCTTTGTCAAGTTGATCCAGTATGGCAATTGTCTGGATAATCATGTTGTCAACTCTGTGCACATTGAACTTGACTTTGGCTCTTGAGTAACTGTGCCCTAAACCAAGCTGAGCTTTGCCAGAACCAACAGCAGTGAGGCCTGGTATGAATTTAAAACAATGATTATATGATGATGTTGTGTGATGATCACATTAGGTTTGGATCTCAAAATCCCTATAACTTTATTTGGTGTATAGAACAGGACGGTTCTAAAACAAAAATGAGTGAAAAGTTATCCGTTCTTTTGTGTTGCGTTCTCACTAACCCAATTGAAAAAGCGAAAAGGTTCAAACAAGCAGTTAGAACCTTGGTATCTCTTATAACCCACCTGTAGGTTAATAGGAATAGGAGTATGCAAACCCTTTTCATCCACTTAAAACAACAACAATAGTTATACAGAGAAATTCAAGGACTATTGTTGAAAATACTGATATCTCTTACAACTCTGCATGTTTTGGTTAGTGTTTATAAATATCTAAATCTGGTTTACCTGAGTTGTAGAGAGGTATAGATACATTAAAAGTCTAGATAAATTTTAACCTGGCTAAGTGGAATCGATTGAAAATGGATTAAAACAAGTTTAAAGAAAATTGGCACTTCCATCAACTTACTGTGGATAAATTGTAACCAAGGCTTGTGGAAAGGCTGCCAAAGATGCTACTCCAAGTTTCATACTTAAAGCAACATCCAGCAACTTAGAACCGTCTTGTTTTACACACCAAATAATGTATACAGCTCTGCCTATATGGCATCAAGCAATTTATGACAGATCTGACTGTGCATATCTACATTTATAACAACAATAACATACCATTGAGTTAGTTTGCTTTGAGTTACACTTGATGGTCTTTAATTTAAAGGAGCTTAAGATTAAAAAATATCCCTAAACTAGACCATTAGTGTTATTATGATTAATCAACTCTTACAACTGTTTTCTTAATTTTAATCTCCATAATCATACTGGTATCTCCAGTCCAACATACTGACATACTGCATGCTGAACATGCTAAATCAAACTCATATTCCCACTATTCTTTTCAATAAGCATCGTTCACATAATGCAACAGATTTTATCTCCATAAAAATTATAACAAAACAGTTAAGACAGATTTTAAAAAGAGTAATTGGATCACAATTTAACAACTAACCTTCAACCATCTTATGAAAGTGAAGTCTGACCCCACGAAGCAGCTCAGGAACAGCATCGCCAGTTTCACACTGGATATCAACTTTCTCTTGGATGGAGCCACCAAGTTTGCCGTCAGCCACACCCAAAACAACTTTGCTCTTCTTCTTTCCAGTTGGGATATTATTTTCAAGAAAGGCCTTCAGGTCATCATGAGCAACACCTTGAAGCAAATGGTATACAAAAATGATGATAACAGATCGGTTAGCAAAACAGTGAGACCAACAAGACTCCAGCAAGTAAGCTTTAGAATCTCTAACTAGAACAATATGCTAGACAAAGTACCACAAAGGCACTAGCCCTCATATACACAGGCAATTAGGTAGTAAAATTATGAATTGATTCTTTGATCAGAGTTTTGAGGGACAAATGAATCTTTCAGAGACCTTTCCTTCTATGACTGCCATTTCGCATTTATTATATATAAGGGTTTATAAACATGCCATTGACAAATATGATGCAGATTCAATCATCATTTTAACATCAAAGATGTACAATTGTACAAAATTTGACATTTTTAAAATTTCTCATCTCTAAACTCTAAACTCTAACTTATCTCTAAACTTTCAGATACATATTAGACAAAAAAAGGTCGATATTCTAAGAGAAAGATAGCTAAATGAAATTGTTTAGCACAAAATAGAAGAAAGAGAAGAATATAATCTGCTTAACTCAAAGGATTTTATCACACACAAAATTGATATAATTTAACTCTTTGTCCAGATATACTTAAATATATTTATAAATTATATATATAAAACATTTACTGATGCACAGAAAGGGTTTAAATAATATAATTTACTGTTCATTTTTTATTTCAGTTTGCTTCTTTGAAAGAGAATTGATTTTTTTAAAGCAAAAATTAATTATAAAAGCAAGAATATTCAAATTTTTAGACACAAGCTGATAAGTAATATACCAAATGTATAGAAGTCCTTACATTTGAGAAAATGTTTGTACAAAACAATAACAGCTTACCTTCAGAAACATTGTTGAGGTTTTCCAGAGCATTCACTGCTGATTTGAATGGTGAGAAAGCAACCAGTTTAACTACTTTCCCAAATCTTTCCAAATCCAAAACTGATTCTTGAACTTCAGGCAGCAAAGCTCCAATTTCTTCTTTAGCGATGACTTTAAAGATGGCATAGCCAGAAGCATGCTCAAATAGCACAAACATAGACTGTAAGATAAAATTAATCCCTTGAGTGAATATTGAGATTTCTTGACTGAACTGGTACCAATCTGGCATTTCCATACTTTGAAATGTTGTGAAACATAAAATACACATAGTCATACAAGATTTGAGAGATGTGCTCAAATTAGCTAAAATGCAAAATTTGACATGGTGGAGTCATAATGGAAGCTTCCTGCAGATTCAAGACATTCCTTTTTTATACAGAAAACTTTAAGACTTCTTGGTTTTGAATGTTTCCTATTTTAATAGAATTATATGCTGTGAGTTCCTTAAAAGTATCATATTAAAGTCAAATTCATGCTCAGCACAGGCCAGTGGCCGAGTAGCAAGGAGGATTTTAAGGTTCAATTAGGCATGTGCAAAAGAAGTATAGCAATGCATACAGATATATTTTTAATAGTAAAGGATATGATTTCATAACAAAAAGAATCCTTACTACTGGTTGTAAAATTTAGGATTTTTAAACTTAATTAGCCAGCACTTGATGTATCTTAGCTACTCAGCAGTTTCTTGTAGAAGTATTCTCATTGAAAACTTTATAGAACTTTGGAATGATTGTTAGACCTCATTTCTGCATTTTGTTGGTTTGTCAATTCAGTTAAAGTGGTGTTAAGTATGATGGTGTGTTATAAATATGATGGTGTGAGATACATGACTCAAGTCAAATGTTTAAAATAAAAGACGGACACACAATTGTAGCATCTACACAATATAATCACTAAAACCATATTTGCTTGTATTATCTGACAGTTAAATTAGGAAACCAACCACAGAAAAATCATAAAATAACATAAAGATATCATGTGATTCAATAGAAATAACAGCCCCCATAAGAAATGTCAAATACAGATTGACAACCTTTCCACAGTGTTTGTGAGAAACACTCCATTCAGTATTGTCAGACAATTAGAAAAAAATGTCAAGGTGTCAGTGCGATGGAAAAGTTTACAACAATTACACAATTGTCAATGCTATATCAAAGTACCACTGGCTTTTAAGCAATGCAACAACAAGAGTAGAGAACTTTCTTGCTAAGCTTAAATGAGTGATGAGCCTTTAAATATATACTGTTACCTCAAATTAACACCCTTGGAATTCATAATACTTTTATGAAATTTCTGATATATATATTGGAGGGGGATGTTTAACAGAAGTTGTACATCCTTATACAGTTAAAATGAGCAATAAAAAGAATAAAAATAGAAAAATAATGTACAAAGAATAAGAAGTTTTACAACAGTATCTGTAAAATAAAAAACATCAACAGAAAAACTGAACTCAAAGATTGTTGTTTTCTCTTTCCCAACATGTCAAACAAAAAAAGGGAGCATCAGCCTTATGAATATAGTTAACAGAGTTTCCATGGGCAATAGCAACATGAAAAAGCAAAAAAAGTTTTAAGGTTTTTGGGACCAATATGGGTAAAGAATGCCAAACTTTCCACAAGAAACTTGCTTTGAAACTATCAGCAAAATTGAACAAGAAATATTCCAAAGTGATCAGTGACATCAGGACTCAAGTATCCTTTAGCTTAATAATAGTATCTAGTTTGCAGTGCTTGAGAGGCACAGCTGTTATGCCGCAGAAGTCAGGACAGCATAGGCCTGTTCTCTGACCGTACCAAGAAAATCGATGATATCCCAAAATTTGAGAAAGCTCTAGACGAGCTGTTTTTTGTTTTAAACTCAGCATTAAATTCTGTATATACTTAATTCTGTATAATTTTTTGTTTCCCTGAATCGGCTTCCCGCGAAAATCCTTTAAAAGGATTTGCCTATTGATACCACTGCCAAAACCAACCAAACAAGGATAATTGGCAATATTTTTGTATCAAACACTCTGAAAAGCTAGGGAATATGTGAAAATAGCATTCTGAGTTTTTTCCAACCAAATCAAGTCTATTGTTTGGAAGCGCGTGAGCAAAGTATAAGGAGCACCTTGGCCTAAAATCGCCATTGTGTTGAAAATCACAAAAATGGTTGTCCTTTTGAATTTTTTCCAAGAAACCAGAAAAAATCCTGCAAACAACAAATCTATGGTATAAAGGGAGCAAAAGTTGATTTATCTTTTATGATTATTTGCAATTTTATGGAGTTAGTGTATGATTTATTGAAAATCACTCAGTTTTGGAAAGTGGCGTGTTGAAGTCGGGGTTGCAGTCTGCAAAATGGCAAAATATTCGCTGTCCTCATTTCCCAAAGAACAATAAGCGTAACAGTTGTGGAGGAACAAGGAGTGTTTTTTTAATTATTGTTTAAATAGATTTTTTCTTGTTTGTTTTTTAGGTAGATTAGTCTAAAAAACGTTTATACTGAATGTAGATATGTAAGAATTGAGATTTAAATAATTCTTGGGAATTTGTTTGTAAGTTTAGATGGATGAGATTGAAATGAAATTACTAAAAAAAATTGTAGGTACGCAGAGTCCACACTGGCCATCGAATATACTAATGTTCAATTCTAAAAACTAAAAATTAATCAAGTGGATTACAAAATGCTCAACTCTTCCCTCTTAATATGAAACAAGATGAGCTGAGCAAAATATTGAGATGAGCTAGATTTGATTGAAATGATCAAATCAGAGGCAAATTTGTTGAACATTTTAATTCTCGGGAGGCTCATAAAGAATTGACGATGTCTCAATTAGAGGCTATTTCTGGGAAAATACCTACAATCGCAAGTTATTAATCAACATATGTATACTGAAAACTACTTCTTGTTAACTATTGATAGAATTCTGTCAATACAATTTTCCACCATAAACCGTAATTGACTCTCGCTGTCGTCCCTCAACTTTCATATGACAATGTGGCCTAACGGCAAAGCAAGTAGTCGAGATGAGACAAAAGCACGTGTAATCATGGGTTCTTTTTAACAAGTTAGATCTTTCAAATGAAAACCATAGAGTATTCAGATAATCCAAGCGTATTTGATGAAAACATCTTAAATCCTTACCATGTTGAATCTTGTTTTTTATTCTTTCGGGCAGTTGCGCATCAAATATCAAACCTCATCAACCATGTTCTTTTCACTTCACACATGCTCGTAATCGTGTCCGAGGTCGAAATGAAAGAGAGGTAAGATTGAAATGGCACATTTGTTTACAGAAATTCTCTTCGGTCTCCATGGAAAGAAATCCTGATTAAAATCATCCACACGGATTTCTATAAGATATAAAGCAGCGAAAAACTACAAGGCAATGTAGAATGAAAACAAAAATATCTTATGCCAGCACTTGATGGAAGGAATCTGTTATTTTTATCTCATACAATCTGGAAGGGGACCAGGCAAATTTAGCTGGCCAGTTCCAATCAATATATCATATGTGAAAAATAGGTGCCAAAGAGGTCTTTTAACAGACAAGGATACAAAATGAAAAGGCTAGAGACCAAATCTGATTTACATAGGCGACTGGAGGATGATGTTTTGATGGCTTCGCAAGTTGGGGACGCTGTTTGGCTGCAACAGAGCTTAGAAACTACCAAGTTGTCTCTTGGCGTGGCAAACAATGATGTTAGTATTCCCTGTCGAATTCATACCATCAAGAATCAATAAAGTTCAATTTTATTTGTTTTGAAACATAATGCAGGTTTATGTGTATGGAAATATGAATGATACTTATTGGACAGTAGATTATTTAAGTGACCAGTTCTAGCTGGAAAGGTTTAAAAGAAAAATTGGGATGTTTACACAACAGTATGCCAGTCTGCAAAATATGACATCCCTTGATTACATCTTCAACCACAAATAAATTTTTACCAATAGTATGGCATGCAAACATAAATGTTCTGCAATGCTTAATTTTTTGTGAATTTTCAAGTCTTTAGCAGTTCCATATGCAACAAGGTAATACTGTGAAAACCAATTTAAGGAATTTATTTTTTGTCCAAAGGGGCTGCTGGCTATTCATCTTGCTGCTTTAGAGTGTCAACTGGACTGCCTGAGAATATTGATAGCAAAAATGAATGCTGATGTGAATTCAAGAAGCTTAGATGGTTGGACACCCCTTCATCTTGCAATAAACAACTCATTGCCAAGAAAATCATTTGCTTGTGTTAGCTATCTGCTTTCCCTTGGTGCTGACCCTTCAAGGTATTTTTGTGCCACAAATTCTGTTTAATTTGCTGAATTCAATAGTTTGGGTGTTTTTTCATCAAAGCAGGACCGATTACATAACTTTTTTGCAGTGTTCTGAGATAGAAGTCTTGCTGGTTTTTTTAAGAAGCTTCCTCCAAAGTAAAGGGGCACATTCGCGTCCTTATTCCTGTATTTTTACATGACCCTCCTCAGTGACCTGGTCCTTTATTGTAACAATTGTTCCTTTCCAATGATTAATATAAGATTTTCTTATTTTCCTAAAGAATGATTGAAAATGATTGACTGACTTAAAAACTGTTTAAAATTGAAATAAAACCAGGAAAGTCATGTTGGCACAAAATTGCATTTCTATGGCTGGATTTTAACAGTTTTAAAAAACAGTTGAGTATGGTTTGTTAAAAGACTGTTCAAAAGTCATAACAGATGTCAACTGAATGCAAACATTTCATTAGATGTAAGCCATAAAATGCATGGGTTTGCAATAAATATATACCTATGTTATGGGGTAACAACAGAGAAAGTTTTGCAGGCACCCCATTTGCTTTAATGTACCATGTTTGCTATTGCTGTTATTTTGCTATTGTATGGTTGTCATTTGTATTTATTTCTTTTTCAAAACTGATTATACTGTTGACAGTATTGGCGGATTTTCTGGGGCATTATTTTTTTCTTAGTCTAACGCTTCATGAAATTATATAGCTTCCATGTATATATTTATGATATAGATTATATCAATTTTTCTGCATAGTGAAACAGACTTTGGGATCACCCCAATGCACCAAGCTGCTGCATGTGGTAATGTGCAATGTTTGAAGTCTTTGATAGAAGCCAATGGACTTATTGATAGTACTGACGCAAGAGGACATACTCCGTACAGTTTGGCCGAATTGTGGAGCTATCGAGACTGTGCTAGGATTCTGAAACATTTTCAATGGGAGAAAGATAAGAAGTCTGAAGATAAGCTCAAAAGAAAGATCCTTAAGGACGAGCAGGAACAAGCTAAAGCTGAAGACGAGCAAAAGAAAAAGGAAAAAATAGAGCGGAGACTGAAAGGACAGAAAGCATATCAACTTTGGCTAAGCAAAAACCAGTTCGCTGAAATGCCAATGCTTTTTGGTCAGGAACCTTTAGATGAAACTGACGATGAGAGCAAAGTAACACGCAGAGGGGCATCGCGTCAAAATCTTTTAAGCTCTAAAGGCCAAAAGCCCAAGAAAAGTGTCGTTTCAAAGCCAGAACAGACTTCTAGTGTGCCAAAGGGATCAAGTAAAAAGATCGATTTAATACCCATAGCTGGACCAGGATCACCAACTCCTGGAAGAAGGTTTAATATTGACTTTGACAAAAGATCGCATAATCTTGGCTTAGCAAAATCGAAGACCGTTCAAAAAAGAGGCCCTCTTCAGTTTCCTGTGATATGAGATGGTTTATTGGTACCTCTGGAGCAAAGTTGAAGTATATGGAGATAACACTTCACCAATTTTCAACGAGTCTCTCCTGTATTTGTTCAAGTATCGCGAATTGAAGGGGTTTCATTGAATACCGTCTAAGGCGAGATTTAGCTGTAGATGGATAACAGAAGTGATTGCCAACGTTAAGTTTTTCTGTTTAGGCTTTTCACTATCCTGCTAAAAGTTAACAATAAATTGAAAAGCTATCACCCCAAAATTAACCGGGCTATGACTGGATTGAAAAATCGAAGTTGTTACCATATGACTGCGTCCGTCAAATTTAACATCTTAAGTCGAACGCAACCGAGAGCAAAAATAATTCAAGAGATTCTAATGCCTCCTATTTTCGTTTGATTTTCTTTTTGAAGAGGCTGTCACACTACGCCATCTTAGCTATAACCCTGCTGACATTTCTCATTTGTCATTATAATGAGCAAAAATCGTGATGTTCTTTGTCATGCAGAATAGAGCTGGCTGTGAAGTGTAATTGTGGCTTCATTCAACCCCTTCACTTTCAACCCATTCAGCCCCTACACTAAAGAAGATGTTTGTGCCGAGAAATATTATTGATTTTTTATAAATTTTTCTTATTGCATAATGTATCTTTTTTAAGTAAGAAATAAACAATTATTGGTAATATTTTTAGAATTAATGAGGGACTTAGATTTAAGATTTCGTCTAAATGTTGCTAATGTAACACTAAAGCTATTTTGGTGTCAATAATATTGTACATATTAATTCTTACGGGGCTAGTGTTATCATATTTTTTTAATTCAGTAGATAGACGATAAGTATGATACTCGTTGAATTTTATATTGAACTGCGAAAGCCAATGATTGTAAATAGATTTCCATTTTTCTCCACTCATATTTAGAAGTGTGTCTTATATTATGAAACTTTATTGTTTTTCTTCATTTTCAAGAGGTAGTATTCTCTCACTAAAGAAACCAATATATTTACCATAGGTTAACAGTGGCGTTTCTAAGGGGGGCTAGGGGGCCTTGGCCTCCCAGAATTTTTATCGGCCCCTTCATTTGCCCCCCCCCCCCAATTTTCTAAGAGGATTTTTGGTTATTGGTTAGTGTTTCCGCCCATATGCTTTAAACGTAGCTTTTGATATGACATTTAATTTTATAAAACCATTTTCTCTTATTTGTAACAGATTATTTTCGTTGCTTATAATCTTTGTTGTTGATGAAAAGGACAAGCGTTTTCTGCAAGACTCTCCTTGCCTCTTCTGCAGGTGTCTTTTGCTTGATTCAAATAATATGAATTACTCGGACATTTTCTCAAAACTGCTGCATGCATTAATTCTTCGCTAATTTTTTTGAAACATGAAGATTTAGATCACCTTTAGAGTGAGGCGTTATTTTATAAATACATTGTGTCCGTACACTACTATCCCAGGATTTTCTGAGATGCCCCCCCCCCAGTTTTCTCATGCTAAAATCGCCCCTGTAGGTTAAGCCAAAAAATAACTTATATTTAACCTACTTGGAACCAATACTAAGTCAAAATTTTTAATTTTGGAGTTTAGGATAGATATTGATTGATTTGTTAGTTAGGGCGTTGTCACAGATTCTTCCCAACTAAGTGGACTGGTGGTTTCAGAAACAAGTACTTCTTTGTATCAATGTTTAGAGTTTCAAAACGTGACATTAGATTAAAGAAACATTACTCGAAGAAATCTGACAGTCGGAATCTCAATGCGTTTGTCTCAATACGTCTTGTACAAAATGAAGGAGTAATAGATAAAGTGGCTTATTCCTAATTCTTTTGTGAATAGGAGAGTTACTGGAAAGGGTTCTAATAGAGAGAAAGCTATAAAGAGCTGTCACACTACGTTCAACTAAATTGTTAGTCTTATTCAAACGCTTAGTAATAACTCTACACCAAATTGAAATGAATTAATATGCTTATTGGTTAAACAATAAATATTTAAAGTGATGAAACTGCATTAAAATAAATAGACATTTTGGAATTGAGTTCAATTGATATTTTACTACTACCTTGAATCTGCTTGATAATAAATGTGGAAAAGCTAGTTGAAATTTCAAATTATTTTTTTAGTAGGGAAAAGTATTGTGCTAACATTCGTTTTGAGAACAAAGCTCTAGTTGAATTCAAGTCTTTTGATCCTACATAAGCTGGAGATGTCTGTGAACAGCCTTTGAAATTGATAAAAAGCTAGATCGCTAGACCTATAGAATATTTGGTGAACTTTTCAATTGAAAGTAAAACTAATCAAATCTTTTAAGAGTATTCTTATGTTTTGCCAATTTTTAAGGAAATTTTAAGAATGATGTTGCAAGCTATCGACGAAAATCTTTGTGGCTCATTTTAAACAAAATCTTTGAAAAACCAATGTATCGCCAACTGGTAGCCTAGAAAAAAATTCTGTTTTCATCAATTTGCATTGAAAAAGCATAAGTGAACTTCACTTGCTTTACCTGGCATAATTCATTAATAAGAATCATTAATTAATAACACAGACTTAATTCAAGCCATCTATAATAAGAATTATTATGTTGCATTTTTCTAATCATAAAAATTTATTTAAAGTTGGTAGAGACAATAGCGATTATAAGCTAATTAAGGCCAACTATACAAATTGTATTTAAAAGTCTGATTACAAAAACCTAAATTTGGAATAAAAATTCATACAGTTTACAGTTGCAGTCAAGCGTTTTGATAGACTTAATATTTCTTTTTAAACTCGCTTATGATTGAGGCTCTTTGATTTCTCTTGCCAGAGTCTGCCATAGTTTTTGGCCAACAAACCTAATAGTATCAATGCAATTTATGTTCATCCCAGCGTAAAGCAAAACAAGATTATTAATGCCGCGAAGGTTATATTCCACATCTTTAGTAACAAACACCTTTGCCATAAAAGACAGATTAAAGATGTTTACGGTTTTATAAATCTCAGTCAGGAGCAGCTGTATATTCCTCTGATAAACAGATACTGAGTTGCTTTTCATTAATAGTTCCTTAAAAGTGGAAATACTATATCAGGGCGCCCATGCCAGATGCCACGAAGTTTAACGTGCGAGGGCAAGGCTAACAAAAGGGAGGGAGGGGGCTCAAGGCTTCTTTCACCTTTTATTGCAGCTTTGAAATCATTTGTTTCGGAAAAAATGAGGAGGCCATGGCCAACCCGGCCTCCCCGGTGGTGTTGGCCCTGTATCTTTGTGTGTGATTCTCTGGGCTCTTTCGTGAATCTTGGTGATTTTGTTATTTAATTTCTTGAACATGGAACATCCACACAAGTGAAGAAAAACTGTCATTGTTATTTCTAACTACCGCTTTTCCATATATCTTGACACTCATGCCAGTGCATGCAGCTTTTGGCTTGTTTACTTACAAAGATTATCAACGTGATTTTCTAAATTCAGTCTTTTATCGAGTTCACTCCTAAGGGTTTCTCTTCATCACAAATCGAGATAGAAAAGGTACCATGATATTAAAACTCTTTACCAGTGGCGAATCTAGCCTTAAAAATCTGGGGGGGGGGGCTAGCGGGGGCCAAACTTTCAGTTATAGAGGCCAACGCTAGCCATTACTTTGCGAACTAGTAGAATGTAAAGCAATGACATGGTGGCTCAAAATTAGCTACAATGCACCGATTTTTTGCGCCCCTTCGATAAACATGTCTATGGTACAGCTCTATCAAGGCTGTTATCATTATGCCAAATAGTTTTATTAGTGACGTAAAGAGCAGCTGCTTCCCCTAGGAAAAATAACAAAGAAAAATTGTTGCTGGGGCCCCTAAAGGTTCGGGACCCTTTGTTATGTAATTAAAGGTAAATTTGGTACGAGTATCGAGTAATCTACAGCAATAGTAGATCACCAAGGTATACTGGGATGGTATTGGTATTTCCCTGTGCTGGGTTCCAGAGCGAAAAGGGTTTTCAATGGGATGCGGAGAATCTTGGTTTGGGCTTACCCTGCGCATCCCACCCCAAGAAGGTGTATCTTCGTGATGATATATAACAAATATAGAATTTAAATGATTGTCGAAGATGAATTTTTCTTTGTGACTATAGAAAGGAGCCAGAACTTCATTAATATTCACCTCGCCTCGGTTACAAACCAAAACGCTTATCAGAGCCCCTAGCTTGTTAGAGGTCTGGAACACAGGCTAGTTAGATAAATGCAGTAAAGATTGCATTGAGCAAAATAACCAGAGTAACTCTAAAAAAAATCAAAAAATGATTGAACAGCTTTGGAAGAAAACAGTGAGTTTTAGATGGAAATTTTTGACAAAACTAGCGGAGCAAACAAGGGGCAAAGAAAATTTCCGGGGGGGGGGGGGGGCGGCCCACTCGTAGAAATTCCACTGCTCTCTAGTTCTTTCTCTAAGCGTTCCTTCTGTAGAAGTATTTTGCTAGGTATGCATTAGAAATGTGCAGGATCTGTACCCGGAAGTAGTGCGGCGGCATCATTTATATGGAACAAAACGGAAACGAGGTTGCCTTCCATCAAGTTGCTGCTTCCTGAAGGGAGGAGTTGCCAAGTTGCCAAAATAAGTTTTGATATAGCACTGGATGATTACGTGCGCCTTTCTTGCATTCAATGATGGACGAGGCCGCACAGTTAAAGCTCCTCACAGATCTTTCCAGCAGAGGTATTTTTGTTAATTGATCGATACTTGAGTCCGGCGCAACTCTACGATCTTTCTTTGATTAAGTTGTTTATAATTTGGGTAACTACAACTAGGCAACCCTTTGATGTTTGTCAAATTACATACTTTGGCTCGTTTTACTTTAGTGTAGTAGTAGTTTTAATAAAATCTCTCTCTGGTTGGTCCCACTGTTTTATCAGAGTGTCTTGTTTGCCCGCTAAATTGCTAAGTGTAAAGCAATGTCAAATATTACACCCGAAACATCATTTATGTAAACCGTTGTTTAATTGTGGATATTCTGTTCTTTGGTCAAAGCAGGTTTGCTGTTCATTGAGTAAGCTATTAGCATGTTCAATGTAACAATGATATGATGTGTGTATTGGCAGGTGCCTCCTTTCAGCCGGGGGTGTTGACAGTAATTCGATCTTTAATAACGCTCATTCTTCATTTATCTCGATAATTGACAACTCCATACAGTTTGCAAATTAACCTGCGTGTAATTGTAAAAAAGTATAAAGAGAGCTGATCAGTCATTTGAAAATTGTTTACTATTTCTTAAATTCCTTAGCTGGGCATATATATCATCACAAAATCCTCCTTCCAAACAAGATGGCTGCTCACAGTGATAATATTTCTAGTGATGTTTTGCCACTTTTTGCCCATAACCAGCAAAGCCCTACTTTCAGTTAACAAAGATTTTTACTGCAAACTTGATATAATTTTACATCACCAACCCTAGTATTTAACTTCTTTTTCTTAATCATTAATGATCAATTTTGGTTTTGGATATATTAACACTAGGCTATTATCGACCATCATTTTATCTTGTTGTACCATTGCTAGTCATTAAAAAATGAAAGAAATATGAAGGCCAGTAGCTTGCTCAAGGACATTTTTTTATGAATGATATGAAAATAAAATAATATATGCATGGTCAGTTTTCCATTAAGTTCTGAAAAAGTTTGATTATCCTACACTCTTGTATAGACCATGCTAAGATTTTCCACCCTACTCCCCAACTCGAGTTGACGTATCTGCTATTTAAGTGCAAACACCCCAACTTTGATTAAGGAAGGGGGCAGATGTTGGGCTTTATGTTAACAGCTCTGTCAAATATTGCAAGTTTGATCTACACTTCTGAAAAGGTCCCTGCGTTATAAGTCCCTATATTTCTACTTTTAAAGTATAAAAGCTTATATAGTTCTAATTTCTCCACATTGTAGCTATACATGAATTTGATGAAGCACAGAAAAAATGTAAGGAGTATCACACAAAGGTAAGAGAATGCTAGTTGATTACGATCAGTTATCTTTATCGTTATTATCATCACCATCAGTAATCTTCCACCAAAATCTCAATCATTATTGCCCAGGCACTGTAGATCATTGAGAAATGTGGGGGAGGGGCTAAAAATAAAAAGAAAGAGGAAGGAATATTTCTTTACTATTCATGTTTTTGGCAAACAGTGGGGGTTATAGCCACTAGTCCCCCTCTGCCCTGCTCAGTTGGTCCTGATGCCATCATTATTTTGCTTCTTTTTAATTCCTCTTTTTTCAATTACAGTATTCACAGCAGCATGACAAGAACCAAAAGCTTACAGCTCAGTTTAAACAACTCAAGAGGGGTAAGGTTATTTAACTGATTACAGGGTTTTTATATTTAAACTGATCTCTTGTATGCCAGAGGTCATCTGATTGGTGCTACATTTCTTCTATGTTTCTATGTAGAACCATACCCTATGTTTATGTATTATCTTCACAGAAAATTGTTGATGAAGTGCACAGAGCACAATGTGACACTCTCTAAGATTAGCGCGTCTGGATAACTTTAAAATTCTAAGACAAAAAGAACCTTTTAAGGTAAAAATGGAACACAATTCACTACTAATAGATGACAAACAAAACAGAGCAAATTTTGCAAAAGGATCACTTGGATGTTTGTATTAGGGAAACATTTTTCATTTAATAACAACAAATGTTACATTAACAGCCTACCACTGAAATTTTCACAGCCTGAGAAGCTATCTATTATCATCTCTCATAGATGTGCATTTGTGCTTAAAGATGGCATAGGTCAAAATTGCTTTTCCCTTATATAGAAGGGTAGTTAACATCAAAACATGATTTTTAGAAACCCACCATTGAGATGTCATTTAGACCAATATTTTTGCCATAAATCACATATTTCAAATGTGAAATGTATTGTATATCAACAGACCTGTCCAGCTATAATTTTGAAAACCTGGAGATTTCAGATTTTTGTTGAGAGAAACAGAGAGATTTGGTCCAAGTTGGGAGATCCCTGGAATTTATTGAATTTTTATAAACAACATACCTGTAAAAAAGTCATGCTGGACAAACAGTTAATGGCAATAATTATCATTGAAAGCTTTTTCTAAATGGTTTAACACTAACAAAACTTTGTCGCAAAGAAAGTTAATTCAATAATTGTTGTAAGAAAACCTTTGCTGAAAGACAAGGAAAAACAGGGAGAAAATCATAAGAAACCGGGAGACCGGGAAAAAGCAAGCAAAACCTGAATTCTCCCGGCAAAACCTGAAGTCTCCCGGCAAAACCAGGAGAGTTGACAGGTCTGTATCAATGTTTAGTGTACATGGAATTTTTGTTTCAGTTTCCCTTCTTGCTGTCAGTGAATATGAGAATCTGATGAAACAATATACAGATGCTGTTAAACTTAAAGATGAGTCTTCGAATAAACTCAAAAAGGCAAGTTTTCTCTATATATAAATTATATTTTATATCCTTGTCTATTTTTTGGAAAAGTTGTTAATAGCAGCCAATATTTGGTTTTACAACTTCTTTCATGATTCAAGTTTTTCTTGCTTTGAACAAACATATATTTCTTTTCCAAATTTTAAAAATCACATTATTTGATTAGTCAAACAAATGTTTACTATCTTTTGTGAGTTTAAATCATTTGATATTGGCTGCATAAGGAATTTATTTTCTAGCCATTCAAGACAAGGTCTGTTTTGAAAACCTCACTTCATTCAGAATATTTCATTCATCAACCAGCCTGGCAATTTGAGGAGAGCCATAGCTCTTGCTCTTCTAGATTTCTCTAAAAAGCAAATTTAACTCCTTGAAATCAATTTTCCTTCATTCTATTCATATATATCTACAAAGAGCTCACCAGGAAATTACTAGGAGAGCTGTTTACTGCCCACCTGTTAAAAGTCTTATGGCCAGGCTTGCATCAACCATAGCTTGCTCCAAAACATTTTTTATCATCATTTATTTCCTTAGTTATTCCTTTATCCATCTTAACACATATCAAGATCTTTGTAGGTTGAAGAGGAAAACAAAGAACTTCGAAAGGTGAACAAGATTTCACCCAATGTTGCCATTCTACCACAAACCACAGAAAAGGTAAAATTATCTGAAGTATGGCTAACATGCAAATACATGGAAAAGTAAATGTTTTTTGCAAGTTAATTTCTACATAGTTCATTGAGCTAACATCACAGTTGATTTCCCATTTTGTCCTATTCTTTTTCAAAATCATCTGTAATGAAAATTCCATCTGCTATAAGAAAATCGCATTTATAATGCAATTTAGAATTTTTTTTAGATATGTGCTGATAATTCAGTGTGTCACAAAAGGAAATAGATGACAATAGTATTTTTATGCAATGATTGCTGGTGACGGTAAAAGTTGATTGGCAAAACCACTAAAAGTTAGTAAAACAGAGGTTGAATCATTGAGTGAAGAATTCCCAAAGCCATAATAATTCTTAATCTACAAATGGGGTGATATGAAAGTAAAATATAATTTTCAAGAAAGGGCAAGATTGAGCAATAATATTACACAAGTAAGACAATGCAACGCCATTTTTCTGAATAATTTGCCTACTGTAGAATAGCTAACAAGGCTAAATGAAATTGCATTATTGAGGCGGAAGAGGTAAAACAGCTAATGTCCAGGAAAACTTTATTCATTTCAATATAGCAAATAAAAAAACACCGCAATGCAACGAGAATGAACACTTTTGCTCTGATTAGGCCCTGTATGCTGGGGCGAAATACTAGGCTTCACTAATTTACGTGAATTTATTGTTGTTCATTCTGGTCATATTGCAGTGTTTCTTATTTGCTAAATTTTCATCGATTTTTTGCTGCAAGAACTCCTTGGAGTCCGTCGAGCAGACTGCTATCGTGACCTTTTCTTTATTCACACATTTATTCATTTACTTAATCCAAGAAGTACTCCAATATTAATTGCCAATATGTGGCCAAGATTAATGCAACAGCTGCTAATCCTTGATATATTTTGTTCAATAGGAAGTTGATATTGCACACACATTGAGATAAAGAGGCTTTCAGAGAGTAGTTTGCATTCCTTGTTGTGGTTTGCCCTGACAGCCTGAGAGTTTTTCAGATGCTGGATTATTATTTTTGTTTCTCATAGAGTGGTAGTGATGCAGCAACAAAAGGAGAATTGGAGGGTCTGTTTATTTGTTATCTTAGGTTTATAATATGAGGGGCATCAGGGGCAGCAAAGCCATCTACCCACCCAATTTAAATATAAAGTTAGAATTTGGCTTTTGAGTCGAAAATGCACCAGCATAGGTATTTAAAAAAGACCATTTTATAAAAGATAGTCACAGGAGTGCGAGTGAAATTTTTCACCAACATTTTTTAGCAGAGCAAGCTGCTTTTTATGCTCCTATGGGGCGTGCCCATTCAATTTGAGATAGAGGCTAGACATTTTTGTCTTTCTTTTCAGGGGCAAATTTTCCTATAATTAATCGGGGGCTTCGACAGAATTCTTGTCTTTACCAAGGCTAATTTTCCTAGAGTTGATTGGGGGCTTTAACAGAATTCTTGTCTTTACCCAGGCTAATTTTCCTAGAGTGATTGTGGGTTTCGACAGAATTCTTGTTATTACCAAGGCTAATTTTCCTAGAGTTGATTGGGGGCTTTAACAGAATTCTTGTCTTTACCAAGGCTAATTTTACTATCATTCATTGGGGGTTTTAGAATTCTTGTCTTTGCTGAGGGAAATTTTACTCTCTCGGATGTACCGGGCGTAGCTGGGGCTATTTTATATCATAAAGCTCGTATTCTTGCAGCACAATTTCTTTTTAAATGCTAGTTTTTTTACATGTAAACCTTAATCTATAGTCACCATGTTACGCTCCTTAATTGAGAAGATTTTGATAGCATGAGAATCCAAGAAGGTCTATCAAAAGTAACGAAAACCATAATAGAAGAAACTGGTGTAGAATTTCAAATCCCGTCGTGCAGTGCGAACTAAATGTTACGTCTGCGTCTATAATGTGCCTGGACATAATTATGAACATTCTTCTAACCCTGATTATCTAAATAACTGTGATGAATGAGTTGCTCTGCCTGATTTCTCTTTTAAGCATATTCATATTGAATTTGTGATTATCATGACAAGCAAAGACTACTTTCAATGTAAAGCAAAACAACTTATAAATAGGCCTTGGTAGGATATTATAGTTTTCAGTAAACCAGTAATCTTTTTGTTTTTGCAAAATCAAAGAGTTTTTTGGTTTTGCTGTTATAGTTAAATGTATGTTTTCTTTTGAAGGTCTTAGGTCGTTATTGACTGGTACGAAAGAAGAAATCCGAAGGGCCAAAAGTGCAGTATCAAAACTGGAAGTACAGGTATTTTTGCTTGAATTTATAAGTCTCGTCCTCCTTTTACAGTGTCAACGATTTAAGGTATCTTTAACACGAGATTAGCAAGAATGATGGACACTAGACAGATAAGAGTAACGTAAGGCTTTTCTGCTTACAGCCCCTTTGGTACTTGAGGGCCTTTAGCCAAAATATGATACCCAATTGGAAGGAATTTTTGAGTGCTTATAAATCTCTTTAAAACTCAAAAAGAAACATTTATGAAATTTATATATGCTTTATTTGGTTCTTCTTAGCTTGCAGAAGAAAAGAGGGAACATGAATCGGCCAAAAAGAAGCTTAACACGGCGAATGCCCAAATCCAGCAACTTAATAGAGGTATCTTTACATAGGATTTGAGTCTTTAGTGAATGTTTAGTCTCTGGTTTGGATGTACCCAGCTCAGTTCTGCTCTACTAGTATACAAACCTACTTTTACAATATCTGATAAAGGGTTTTCCTCGTACTTTGAAATTGCATGGGTTTATGAGAAGGAGTTAGCCTCTTTTTTTTGCTCAATTAGGAGTGTTGAAGCTTTTGATGAATCATGATTTGGTTTTAGAACGGGGTAGAGGGCACCCGTATCCCCTAACTCCTCTTTAACTTAGGTCTACGTCATGTTTCACCCTACATTTGAGAATTATTTCAATTCTCTCTTTTTCTTTTAAACTGAAAACAAAATTGTGAATCTGAATCAAAAATTGTGACTGCTGAAAGTAACTTTGGATAACTACATCCCAATTAGCTTGTTAGACTATAATTTTTTGTTGATATAGGTTTGTATGTTACTTCTAATGCAATTGAAGATGACACAAGTAATTTTAAAAGAATATTAGAACTCATGAACGTATTTCTTTCGTCCAGTGTCCTTCATGGCTTTAGATGAATTCCAGGAATTGAAAAAAAGGTACGACGGGGAAATAGAATGCCGGAAGAAGGCCGAAGAATACGCATCTCAGGTTAGAAATACATTAGAAATTTCTTTAAAGATATGAATTCTGTTCCTTTTGATAATGAAGCACTGTAAGAGGACACATTCGAATACTTTATAGGCCTAGGTCTGTAACGCCAAATTTCATTTTACCGATTCGAGTTGATCTCATTTCTATCTAACAGGGATCAATCTCTAAGGTTTTTGGGAAACGTTTAAGAGTAATTTTTGGGAACAGGGGAGATTTTGTGAAAAGCTCTAGGGAACACAGACCCCCCCTTGGGGTGCCATGTTGATGATCTTTGGGGCCAACGTGCGTGATTATCTCAAATCTAGTGAAAACTTCCAGAATTGGATATCACCTAAAATATATTATTATCCCAATTTTTTGTAGTGGCAACTTTTGATTCTTGTTATATTTCGTTGCATAGTTGCTTCATGACAATCAAAGTATGATGCGGAAAAGCAAGGTGGTGAACGAAGGTGCCCCCGGGAACGAGAAACTGGATAATGCATTGAAAGAAATCGACGATTTGAATCAAATGTTGTCCAAAGAGAGAGTAGAACACACACGAAAGGTAACACTGATGACCTGGACGCAGTGCCCAGTATCGTTTGTCAGGGAGGGTTTATTTGGCCACACTGGTGTCATCCACCCCATTTAAAATATAGTCCCATGTTGTGTATGTGTAAAAATATGTTATAAAGACACTAACACCTAGAAGCCGTTTCAAAAGGCTTGGAACACTAACGTCTGTTTTCAAAGTCAAATTCATCCATCTCCCTCTTCCCTAGGAACAATGAACAATGTTGGTTTACTGTAGGAAAGAGAAAAGAGGCTAGAATTACACTTGTATGTTTTTGTGGCTTGTAGGGTTGTAGTTTTTGAGAACTATCAACATTGTTCTGGGGGAGAGGATGGTGGAAGTAGTAGGATTCAGGAAAAGAATTGGAAAAATTGCTTTGAAAAAAGCAATCATTTTGAGTCATACGCTTTTCGTCTGACACTCATCACGGTATAAAACGTCAGAACATAAATCAAAACATTACACTAGGAAGTATATGTACCCATTTTTGGGTCGAAAAACATAACGCTAATTGTTCGGTGTTCCAAGCAATGTTGGCGGGCATTGTACCTAACTTACCAACGCTACTTACTAATTCATTAGCGCTTGTGTTATTAATAACTTTTTATCAAAATCTGAATCTTGAAACCAACCCCTTTTTTAGAATAATCTCATAATTATCTGCACATAGGTTTTGTTTATGAATTGGCCTTGATAACCTATGCTGTAATTATCTATGAAAGGCAATTATCATTAATTCTGAAATCATATTTAGTTGTAATTGATCCATATTTAACTTCAGTTTTGATTTTTCCGTGATTTGGTAGCAGAAAATAGTAAATTTTGCTTAAACTTTTTCTGTTATTGACTGATTTCTTTGAAGTAGTTGAATATTTCATTTAACAGGTAAAAGATATTCAAGAAGAATTAGATTCTTTAAAAGAAACAAATGACGTCAAAGGTACGGCTCCATATGAATCTGCTTAAAAATCAAATGTTTATTTTCTTTTTGTTAACGAACCTTTTTAGCCATAGTTTCCTTTCACTGGAATTGAAGAAGCAGGCCTACAACTTGTTCTGTTTTAAGGACCTGTCCTTGTTAAGTCTAATGTCCTATAGGTGCGAATTTGAAAATAGCTTTGAAAAAAGCATGAGTTTTGAAGTGAGCATACTCAGAGCTTTTTTGTCTGACGCTAATTGAGAATAAAAAATCAAAATCAGAGTCGAAAGATCAAGCTGGAAAATACCTATCGAGTTGTGCATCGAAATAGGCCAATCAGAACAACGCAAACACTTGACCTAATAAGTGCTGCGTGCCTTTAGAAAAATTATCTTTGGAGTCAAAGGGCGAGAACGAATTCCTTCTGTCTACACAGTAGCAGCTTTTTCGTTTTTTGTTGTTGATTAATACCAAAACTACAAGATGGATAGGAGACCGGTCTCTGCCAATTATCCTATATTCCTATGAAATATCCTGTGCAACCTACTTGGAATTTTCCTTTTCCCAAGAACGCAACCAATTTTCCTTCCCTTTGTCCAGAAAAACTTATCTCTATCAAGTTTCGCAAAATGCAAAATTTGAAGCAACTTTCATCTGAACGGGAGAGAGAATATATAAATTTATGTTTATATTTTATTCTAAAATAATCATTGGTAATTGAACAGTAGACAGTAGACTTAGAGGCATTGTATCCCGTAAGTTGACTGTGTCGAGGGACCGTGTCGAGGCACCGTGTTGAGGCACCGTGTCGAGGCACCGTGTCGAGAATAGGCTCTTCGGCACGTTTTTTGATTTAGAGAACGTTGAGAATCTTACGTTGCTGATTGGATACGTAACAATAGGTCTATTGTTTAGCTCATCCAATGGGAATTTAGTCGTCATCAGAACATATTGCCTTTAACGAGTCTGCTTTTGATTGACAGCGCTTGAAGAGAAAATATCAGTTACGTTGGATCAAATAGAATTGCTACAACGACAGCTTCAGGAAAGCGAACAAAGAGCCCATGAAAGTGATAAAAGAGGTACTTAGGTTTTTTTATTTCTATATTAGTGAATTCAGAACTAGTTATAAAAACTAGATGACGACTTATTTGTCTTAGGAATTCACTTTTCCTTATGACAAGGCCGATTAATCTAAAGGAGAAAAATATGTTAAAAACAAGGAAGAGAAATAGAGAAATTTTTCCATCCATACATTGTATGATGTGTTTTAGAACCATGGTTTAAACTTGCCTCACTTTATTGCTTTCTTCTAACAGCAAGAGAACTTTATGACAAACTAATAAGAACAGAAGAGGCTCTGATGGCAAGCCCCAGTCCTTCATCAGTTTCGTTACCGCCACCTGGTCCCCCGCCACCAGCTCCGCCACCCCCACCGATATCAGCCCCGATGATGAGGTATGTCACTTGTTATATTCATAATGAGCCAAAGTGATCAAAAGTTGATGATAGCTGAAGTTTTTTATCATTGGCAATAGGTTTTTATCATACTTGATCAAGTATGTTCATTTTTGATCAAAGTTGGCCAGGTGCATTGAGAATTAATCATAGTGGATCAAGAATGATCATTATTGACTAAAGTCGATCAAAGTCAATCAAAGTCGATCAGAGTCGATGAGAGTCGATCAAAGTCGATCAGAGTCGATCAGAGTCGATCAGAGTCGATCAATATTTATCAAACTGATAGTTGATCAGTCAATAATGGTTAATCAAAGTTAATTATACTTTTTATGAGTTGGCATTGTTTATTCCAGATGATTGCACATATCCAATTTCAAACAATCTTTTGGTGGTACAAAACTTGTAATAGCTTTGAAAAAAGCAAACATTTAGTAAACTAAAGCTTTTCGTCTGACACTCTTCAGAGTTTAAAACGTCAGAACATAGATCGAAAACTCTACGCTAAGAAATATATATACCCAGTTGTGGATCGAAAAAGGCCAATCAGAAACACGAGCACATGACTGTAAAGGTTGACCAATCAGTGCCGCTTGCCTATTAGAATGTTACCAATGGAGTCCTAAGGTGAAAACGAACTCCTTTTGTCTACACAGTAGCGGTTTTTTCGTGCTTATGTAGATAGATTCTAAAACTGCTAGGTGGAACGACGATCGGGCTTTACCAACGGTAGGACGCACCACCCAAAGATTGGAGGATAGGATAAAACAACACGTTCCATCTAATATTAGAAACAAAACACATCCCCAAAGAGAACAGCCACCTCGGTCTTGCAAATCCAAAATTACTAATAAGACCTGCGATTCTGCTATCGGGCAGCATTTGCTAGAAAACCCAGTTTGTGCAAAAAACTATAATGGCGACATGTTTCGGATTATTGGTAAAGCCCGATCGTCGTTCCACCTAGCATTTTTAGAATCTATCTACATAAGCACGAAAAAACCGCTACTGTGTAGACAAAAGGAGTTCGTTTTCACCTTAGGACTCCATTGGTAACATTCTAATAGGCAAGCGGCACTGATTGGTCAACCTTTACAGTCATGTGCTCGTGTTTCTGGATGGCCTATTTCGATCCACAACTGGGTATATATATTTCTTAGCGTAGAGTTTTCGATCTATGTTCTGACGTTTTAAACTCTGAAGAGTGTCAGACGAAAAGCTTTAGTTTACTAAATGTTTGCTTTTTTTAAAGCTATATCCAATTTCGTTAGTTTTCCAATTTTCAGATCGCACTATTTTAAGAGATCGTTTTGTTGTGTCCTTTTGTTATGACTTTAAGGGACAAACGTGCTCAATCAAGAGGATGGTAGGCTGTTTGGTTCTGCATAGAGCACATAAAGAGTGTCCCGAAAAGTTCCTTTTTTATTTACAACCTAGCAGCCATGTGAAAACTAAGAACGTTGCCAATTTATCTTTAAACCACTAATAACAACATTTTCGTCAATATAGAAAATTTATAACGAGAATTGGTGGTGGGAAAAAGAAGAAGAATGTTATTGAAAAAGAGAAAGGTATTAAATATTATTTGTATATATAAAAAGCAATGTAATCATTTTGTTCTGCCATCTAATTTCGCTAAGCTATTGGGAAATTGTTTATGGGCATTTTGAGTGAAATACTTTATCATTGTCACCGGCTAGAAACCTACTTTCTATGACCAATAAGCATATGACATACCAGAGCAATTTTAGCAAAGTCACTAGGCTCAGGCACAGTAATTTCTGTTCGTTCAAAAATTCACTATTAATTCGAACAATTAATACTACCATCCAAAGGTGCAAATCATTCGTTTGGTTGCTTCTTATACCCTTCTTCCCTGTGGCCATCTCTGCGGCCATCCTTGTGGCCATCCCTCCAGCCATCCCTGTTGCCATCCCTGCGGCCATCCCTGTAGCCATCCCTGTTGCCATCCCTGTGGCAATCCTTGCAACCATCCCTGTGGCCATCCCTGTTGCCATCCCTGTGGCAATCCTTGCAGCCATCCCTGCGGCCATCCCTGTTGCCATCCATCCCTGTGGCAATCCTTGCAGCCATCCCTGTAGCCATCCCTGTTGCCATCCCTGTAGCCATCCCTGTTGCCATCCCTGTGGCAATCCTTGCAGCCATCCTGCGGCCATCCCTGTTGCGCATCCTCCTGTGCGCATTTTTGCAGCATCCCTTGCGCCATCCTGTTGGGCATCCATCCCGTGCAATCTTCATCCCTGACTTGCATCCTGTGGCCATCCTCCTGTCTGCGCCATGCCCTGTGCATTCGAGCCATCCTCGCATCCCCTGCGGCCATCTCTGCGCCTCTCTGATTGCCATCACTGTGGCCCTGTCCCTGCGAGCCATTCCTGTGGCGCATCATCTTGGCCATTCCCTGCAGGCCATCCCTGCCGGCCATCTCTGCAGCCATCTCTGTTGCATCACTGTGGCATCCCTAGCGCCATCCTGTGGGCCATTCTTGGCCAATCCACTGCAGCCACCCTCGCCATCTCTGCAGCCCATCCCTGTTGCCCATCACTGTGGCCATTCCTTGCAGCCATCCCTGTGGCCATCCCTGCAGCCATCCCTGCGGCCATCCTGTTCCATCCCTGCAGCCATCACTGGGCATCCCTCCAGCCCATCCCTGTTGCATCCCTGCGGCCATCTCTGCGGCCATCCTGTGCCAGCCCTCCAGCCATCCTGTTGCCATCCCTGCGGCATCCCTGTAGCCATCCCTGTTGCCATCCTGTCCAATCCACTGTGGCAATCCTTGCAGCCATCCCTGTGGCCATCCCTGTTGCCATCCCTGTGGCAATCCTTGCAGCCATCCTGCGGCCATCCCTGTTGCCATCCATCCCTGTGGCAATTCTTGCAGCCATCCCTGTAGCCATCCCTGTTGCCATCCTGGTTGCCATCACTGTGCATCCTTTGCAGCCATCCCTTTGCCATCCTGTTGCCATCCCTGTGGCAATCCTTGCAGCCATCCTGTGCCAATCCCTGTTTGCATCCCTGTTGCCATCCCTGTAGCCATCTCCTGTTGCCATCCCCTGTGGCAATTCTTGCAGCCATCCCTGTAGCCATCCCTGTTGCCTCCTAGCCATCCCTGTTGCCATCCCGTGAATCCTTGCAGCCATCCCTGTTGCCATCCTTGGCAAATCCTTGCGAGCCATCCCTGTGGCCATCCCTGTGGCCATCCCTGCGGCCATCCCTGTTGCCATCCTCCCTGTGCAATCCTCTGCAGCCATCCTGTAGCCATCCCTGTTGTGCCATCCCTGTTGCCATCCCATCTGTAGCCATCCCTGTATGCCATCCCTGTGGCAATCCTTGCAGCCATCCCTGTAGCCATCCCTGCTTGGCCATCCCTGTAGCCATCCCTGTAGCCACCCCTGTTAGCCATCCCTGTTGCCATGGTGGCAATCCTTGCAGCCATCCTTGGCCATCCCTAGTGCCATCCCTGTGGCAATCCTCTGCAACCATCCCTGCGGCCATCCCTGTTGCGCAATCCATCCCTGTGGCATTCTGCAGCCATCCTCTTGACCATCCCTGTTGCCATCCTGTGCCATCCCTGTCAGCCATCCCTGTGTGGCATCCCTTGCAGAAGCCATCCCTGTTGCCATCCCTGTGGCAATCCTTGCAGCCATCCCTGTGGCCATTCCCCTGTGGCCATCCCTGCGGCCATCCTGTCTGCCCATCGTCCATCCCTGTGGGCATCCTGCAGCCATCCCTGTAGCCAATCCCTGTTGCCATCCCTGTAGCCATCCCTGTTGCCATCCCTGTGGCAATCCCTGCAGCCATCCCTGAGCCATCCCTGTTGCGCATCCTGAGCCATCCCTGTTAGCCATCCTGTTGCCATCCCTGCTAGCCATCCCTGTTGCCATCCCTGTGGCAATCCTTGCAGCATTCCCTGTAAGACCATCCCTGCAGCCATCCCTGTGGTCCATGCCCTCTGCAGCCATCCCTGTGTGCCATCCCTGCGGCCAATCCCTGTTACCATCCCTGCGGCCATCCCTGTAGCCATCCCTGTTGCCATCCCTGTGGCAATCCTTGCAGCCATCCATGTGGCCCATTCCCTGCAAGCCATCCTTTGGCCATCCTGTGGCCATTCCCTGCAGCGCATCCCTGTCCGCGGCCATCCCTGCAGCCATCCCTGGCACTGCCATCTCTGTGCCATCCCTGCAGCCATCCCTCGGCACCATTCTCGTGCCACCCATCCCTGTTGCCATCACCTGTGGCCAATCCTCTGCAGCCATCCCCTGTGGCCATCCCTGCAGCCATCCCTGTTGCCATCCCTCGCCATCCTGTGGCCATCCCTGCGGCCATCCCTGTGGCCATCTCTGTGGCCATCCCTGCAGCACTTCCCGCGTGCCATCTCTGCTATCACCCCTTTGCCATCACTGTGCCATCCCTGCAGCCATCCTGTGGCCATCCCTGCAGCCATCCCTAGTGCCATCCCTGCAGCCAATCACTGTGGCCATCCGCAGCCATCCTGAGCCATCCAGTGGCATCCCTCCCCATCCTGCAGCCATCCTGTGGCCATCCTCAGCCATCCCTGTTGCCATCCTTGCGGCCATCCCTGTAGCCATCCCTGTTGCCATCCCTTGTGGTCATCCTGGAGCCATCTCTGTGGCCATCCCTGTGGCATCCTTGCAGCCATCCCTGTGGCCATCCCTGCAGCCATCTCTGTGGCCATCTCCAGCCATCCCTCGGCCATCCCTAACCATCCTGCGGCTCTCTGCAGCCATCCCTGTTGCCATCACTGTGGCCATCTCTGAGCCATCCTGTGCCATCTCTGTGGCCATCCCTCAGCCATCCCTGCGGCCATCTCTGCAGCCATCTCTGTTTGCCATCACTGTGGCCATCCCTGCAGCCATCCTGTGGCCATCTCTGTGGCCATCCCTGCACGCCATCCCTGCGGCCATCCCTGTGGCCATCTCTGTGGCCATCCTGCAGCCATCCCTGCGGCCATCTCTGCAGCCATCCCTGTTGCCATCACTGTGCCATCCCTGCACATCCCATGTGGCTCCCTGCAGCCATCCCTGGTGCCATCCCTGCAGCCATCCTGATGCCATCCTGCAGCCGATCCCTGAGCCATCTCAGTGGCAATCCCTGCAGCCATCCCTGCAGCCATCCCCTGTGGCCATCCCTCCAGCCATCCCTGTTGCCATCCCTGCGGCCCATCCCTGTAGCCATCCCTGTTGCCATCCCTGTGGTCATCCTGGAGCCATCTCTGTGGCCATCCCGTTGGCAATCCTTGCAGCCATCCCTGTGGCCATCCCTGCAGCCATCTGTGGCCATCCCTCGCCATCCCTGCGGCCATCCCTGCAACCATCCCTGCGCCATCTCTGCAGCCATCCCTGTTGCCATCACTGTGGCCATCCCCGCAGCCATCCCTGTGGCATCCCTGTGCCATCCCTGCGGCCATCCCTGTAGCCATCCCTGTTGCCATCCCTGTGGTCATCCCTGGAGCCATCTCTGTGGCCATCCCTGTGGCAATCCTTGCAGCCATCCCTGTGGCCATCCCTGCAGCCATCTCTGTGGCCATCCCTTCCAGCCATCCCTGCGGCCATCCCTGCAACCATCCCTGCGCCATCTCTGCAGCCATCCCTGTTCCATCACTGTGGCCATCCCTGCCAGCCATCCCTGTGGCCATCCCTGCCATCCCTGCGCGCATCCCTCATAGCCATCCCTGTTGCCATCCCTGTGGTCATCCCTGGAGCCATCTCTGTGGCCATCCCTGTGGCAATCCTGTGCAGCCATCCCTGTGCCATACCCTGCAGCCATCTGTGGCCATCCCTCCAGGCCATCCCTTGCGGCCATCCCTGCGGCCATCCCTGCAACCATCCCTGCGGCCATCTCTTGCAGCCATCCCTGTTGCCATCACTGTGGCCATCCTGCAGCCATCCTTTGGCCATCCCTGTGGCCATCCCTGTGGCATCCTGCAGCCATCCCTGTGGCCATCCCTGGGCCACTCCTGTGGCCATCCCCTGCACATCCCTGCGGCCATCCCTGTAGCCATCCCTGTTGCCATCCCTGTGGTCATCCCTGGAGCCATCTCTGTGGCCATCCCTGTGGCAATCCTTGCAGCCATCCCTGTGGCCATCCCTGCAGCCATCACTGTGGCCATCTCTGCAGCCATCCCTGTTGCCATCACTGTGGCCATCCCTGCAGCCATCCCTGTGGCCATCCCTGTGGCCATCCCTGTGGCCATTCCTGCGGCCATCCCTGTGGCCATCTCTGTGGCCATCTCTGCAGCCATCCCTGTTGCCATCACTGTGGCCATCCCTGCAGCCATCCCTGTGGCCATCCCTGTGGCCATCCCTGTGGCCATTCCTGCAGCCATCCCTGTGGCCATCCCTGTGGCCATCTCTGTGGCCATTCCTGCGGCCATCCCTGTGGCCACGTTGCTATTTTGACAAACCAGTGCAATGCAGCATTTTTCATTAATTTATCGCCTTTTTTGCAGATGACCCGGTACAGGACATGATGAAAGAGATGATGTCCCGAATAAAAGGTGGTTTCCATCTTAAATCGTCAGGCAACGTAAGGGCTTCTGGTGTTATCCAACAATATATCCCTCATACTCACATCTGGAGCGTGTAATTGTGCAGCGAAACACCGCATAAGATACATATTGCCAAGTTACGCCGTCGTAATCTTATTCACATTTGTCACTTGATTCGGCCTCAGAAAAGGTCGACCCCTCTGTTTGATTAGGCCTCTGTTTATTGAACTCTGTACTTAGCAATGACCCCTTCCCTGTTTTTCAGCATTCTTTGTTTATTTTCGACTGTTCAGTAAAATATGAAGAAAGTATAAGAAGTTTTTTATATACTTGTTGTATCTCTAAACACGAAAAGAGAGCTTTTTGCAAGACGGTATATTTTACAGCTGATTAAAAGAGAAGAAAGACCACAACAAATTTATGTTTTTTTTTATTCATAATTTTTTTTAACTTCGGTGTCAAAATTTCGGTAAATAAGCCCATCAGGTCGATTCTGGGATAGATGTTCGTCTCGCATATAGGGTAGTACGGCAGATAAATCCAAAAACATAATGCCCCCCCCCCTACTAATATCCTAGTGCGCATGCTCATTTTGCAGTAAATGAGCTGTCTCATGCAATCCTTGAAATTGCTTCATGTTAGTCTTAATTAGTGTATATTTACTATTGTAGAAACTAACATTAAATAATCTACAATACAATACAATACAATACAATATAATACAATGCAATGCAATACAATACAATACAATACAATGCAATGCAATGCAATGCAATGCAATACAATACAATACAATACAATGCAATGCAATACAATACATTTCAATACAATGCAATACAATACAATACAATGCAATGCAATGCAATGCAATGCAATACAATACAATACAATACAATATAATACAATCCTTGGTTGCTATCATATACTTACTCCGCATCTCCGTTAAATGTTCCTGATAGTCATCAACTGTTTTTTAAGTTGTTTCAAATAAAAATTTATTTTCTTGATTCACAATTTTCTCTAAACTAATTGTTTTTTCTCTTTACATGATCTACTTTTGATTTTTCTTTCAGAAAAAAGACGACGGCAGCTCTACCGCTATGAATGAATTGGCTAATCTTTTGGTAAAATTTTGTTTTAACTTCATTCCTCTATAATGAATATTAATTTAATATTTATTTATTGAAAACAATGTGCTAAAGAGCACGGAGGGAATCAATGTAAACAAACCTAAGAAGTTATATTATCACAAACAAGTATTTACTTACACATAATTTGCCTTGTTTGTTGATTCATTTTAACTGAGATATGAGGTATCAATCCCTAGGACATACCTTATAAGGAACAAATTTCGAAAAAGCGGAAACATCTCATACTAAAGAACTTTTTGTCCGACACTCGTCAGTGTATAAACGTCGAAAATTTTATTATTTTCTGATGTTTATACCCTGATGAGTGTAGGACGAAAAGTACTTTAGTGTGATGTTTCCGCTTTTTCGTTATATTAAAGGCAGTCTTTCTCCTCGATGATTGGCTTATATGAACAATAGGTCTTCCCACCTTAACGGTTAACGGATTACGATGCATGCTTTGGCTGGCCTAGCTGCGGTAGTGGACGACATTTGAAACTGCGAGCAAAAAGCTATCGGGAAAATGACAAGAAGATTTAATTACTGGAATTGAATGATGATAATGGAAGCATTTCGTTTCCCTGTTGACTTATCTGTCGCAGAAACCAAACAGGGAGCCATATATTCTAGTCACAGCTTCACTACAACGGGAACACGGGCATTTGATTCAAAAGCTCTGGAATCAAAGTTGTTTCTGATTGGTTTAAATCGTTTAATTATTGATCAAGCTCAACGGTGTGTGAATTTCACTTCCGTGAAAATAAAGTTGAGCATAATAGGGGACAGACTGCCTTTAACATTCGTATATGGGATTTGCTTAAATCATGAAATGTTTGTCAGTGAAGTTTAGTTCTTCGTTTCGCGTGCCTTTTTGTATTTTCAAATAATGTGCTGGTACTGTTAGGTTGTTGTGAACTTCCCCATAGTTTAGTCTCTGATTTATGTAGCGTTGAGAAAATATGTTTACTTTCTTACATGTTACCTGTTTATTATAAGTGGATTCACCATTTAGACAAACCTGAAGCACGGCAAAGGTGGTGTGGAACAAGGTGCTCCAGAGCCAGAAAAGGTCAAGGTGCCGGAATTTCAGAAGTTCAAGCTGAAGAAAGTGAGCGTGGCACATGATCGAACAAAGCCAGAGGACCAGAAAGTCGATGATGAGTTAATGAGGAAGCTTGACAAGCAAAAGAAGGTAGCTGAAAGTGAAGGTAATAATATTGGTTTTACTAGCAATACCCCCTCGTCTCGTTTTTACTGCCCTTATTTTCTTACCTGTTGGTGAATGCAGCATAGGCATCAAATCTTGATTGGCTGCAGAAGGAATCGCCAAAGCGGGAGTCCCCATCGATTTGAACCAATCAAATTGCGAGAAATGAAAAATTTTATAATTTTGACCACCCCTTCTTCAAAAAAGTGAGTGCTATTTGACAAGGGGGCTCTGTTATAATGTCTTCATCTTTTTTTCTTAAAGAATTTAATAGCGATATTAACGAGAATGTTTGAGAGGATATGGCATTCACTAATAATTTTAATGTCCAGACCTTTAGAAGCAAGAAACTTTCTTTGTAGTGCCCAGCAAGGAGGAAGTTTCCACATCAGAGGAGACTTCACATAACACTGAAAATCAGTCTGCCACAGAAACTGATGGAAGTGAAAAGGATGAACAGACTCTGCAGAATGTTAATAAGACGGGCGACGACGAGAAGGATGGGGACAACAAAGAGGGCCTAAACGATTCAAAGCAAGACAGTCCAAAGTCTTCTGAGGATATTTATGAAAATACAGAAAATGTTGCCAGCAAGGAGCAGAATGGAGATATAAGGAAAGAGGGATCTGAAGGGGCCGAGAAGCAAGAATCAACTGCAGGATCATCCGATTCTGAACAAAACGTTCTTGAAGAGGAGCCAGGAATGAATGAAAAGGAGCCCGGAAAGAGTGAAGAGGAGCCAGGAAAGAATGAAGAAGAGCCAGAAAAGAATGAGGAAGAGCCAGGAAAGAATGAAGAAGAGCCAGGAAATGCTACCCAGAGTGGCAACGAGCAGACAATTGTTAATAGTACAGACAGTACTGTGAAGGAGCTAGACAGTATAGTGGACGAAATAAACAAATTTCTTGGTGACTGATTATTTAATACATTGCTTAAACACCGTGTCATTACCAAACATATTGTTAGGATGATTATTCTGTACAAATATTTAAAACCAACAAGCGGACGGCACCTTGACTTCTGTGTAAGGTAACTTATTTGGTATGTAGGTAGATTGATGTCTGTAAAAAAAGGTTCTTTGCGCTCAACATGAGTTGCGGTAGCCTGCGTCGCACGCCATAATGGAGGAGCTATGGTTTATGGCACAGGCTAGAGACAAGGTAGCCAAAACCTATTATAATAGGGTGCGACATTCGTAGAATTTCGAAGCATAGGAGAGCATGGCCGTTCTCTAGAGTTTCATTTTCTAACTCAGGAAAGAAGTTGCAATTCAAGTTTTAAGGCAAATATTGCTCACTAAAACGGACAGAACGAAAAGCACTCTTGTAGTGAGGCTTCACTAAGCAAAGTGAGACCCACGCTATTTCGAGCCCATTAATACCTCTTGTTCGATGAAGAGAATAGAAATTCGATAAAACCACACCCCCTTACCCTTTTACTGTAAACCAATATCCCCAGGAGGACAAAAGATTCACAGCATTGCGCATATTCTTGTAGAAAAACAGGTACAAGAAAAATATGAGAAAACATATCACAAAAGACCATCTCGAATATCAAACAACTACAGCCCAAGGTGAATCAAAGGACAAACGCTCCTCTTGAAATCAAATCTGATTAAATTTTATGTTTAGTTTGAAATATTAAACTACGATGCATTTGTTTTTATGCTGAACAGATGGGATGATTTGCGGGACGTTGGTAGATAACGGCCAAAAATTTATCCCTCACTTCCACCCAACCCCCAACCCCCAATAAGAATGCCCCCGATTCACTTCCAAGCGAACTCAAAGTGTAGTTTTCAATCGAAACTCGTGTGGAGCTTTGGTGCTCGTTGTAAGAGGAAAGCAGAAAACTTTGCAATTTTCACCTAATCAAGCAATTGGCTTTCACTTATTAAGTTTCCTTCATTTTCTTCAAAATTCCTAATTCCCATTAAAAAAGTCAAACTTTCCATTGTTGAGTTTGAACCAGCAAATTTTCAAATTTGTCCACAAATAAAGGATGGTCAACCCTCTTCGCCGGCTAATGGGACCTGGAAACCCCACTCGAGCATAATAGCTAGCGATTATTCAGGAACGCTTCAAACAATCGCGAGACTGTGGGATTGTTTTGTTCAATTAATAAGCAATTAGTATGTAGACGGCCTTGGGTACTTTTTTGTGGAGCTGGTCTTCACCATTATCCTTTTGACAAGTCCCTTTTTTCTTACGTTAAAGTCATTGTAAACCATAGGGTGTCGAAAATTTCTCTGTATTTAAAAACAAGAGCATCAACTGACACATCAAGTTAGCTGTAAAAGAGTCTCTGAGGGAGAAACTAGTGAGTAGCAATTTAGAACCATCCTGTTCGTTAAGTTTCCTAAGGCCTATCCCAAACGCAAAAATCATTTAATAATCTACTAACCTTTATTTAAAACTAAAATCCTGGACAAAAGTTAGGAGACATTCGCTGTTATTATCATTTATTGCAAAAACACCCTACTCCCTGCCCCCAATATCAATGTTGATTTTTTGGGTTTTCTGGCTTCCTTAATCAACTGCCATTACCCACCACCAACATTGACATTGGGGGGAGGGGCATACCACTGGCTTTGAGGGCAATTACACAGAAAATCACTCATAAAAGAATTGTCTCATAACATTTTGTCCAGGATTGTAGGCACTCTTATGAAAATCACTAACCTGGAGGTCTAATTTATTTTCCATGATTTGCCTTCATCTTGCCATGTTGTGGAAACAATGATAAACATTCCAGCTTGAGTCGATTTGCCCTAAAACGTGGTAGTGCGCCGTTAAGCACTTCCCTTGCAGTTTGCCTGCCATCGAACCCAAATCTTCCAGAACACTGGTGTAGCTTTCTCTATTGAATCTGCATTCTGATAAAATGCCTGGCCTTAATGGTTTATTCTGTTCCCTTATTTTGCAAGGTTGGTCAAAATCAGATTCATGTAGTAGACGTTCTTGGCAGAAAGTTTCGTTGGCCACGCATCGTGTATTCCCAGAACAGCGTGCAAATGCATTACTTCACGCCCTTAGGGAATCGTGTTTTTAAATCATTTTGACAATAGAATATTTGGGTGCAACATGCTCCAAATAGCTGGCTAGCGATTAATTTTGCAACTTCGTATTGAAACAAGTTATTTAATTTGTCAAAGCTTTGTTATATAACGCTGCACTACTTGTAATTTTACAAAACTTTAAATCAGACTTTAGTTATTAAAACTTCAAGCGGTTAAAAAGGTTAATTGAAAAAAAAATATTCTATAGTTTGCTTCTTTGCTTCTCGGTTGCCGCGGAGTCCCAAAGGCTGGCCCCCCTAAAAAAAATTAGAATTTAAGCTCCCCTGGGTAATACCCTTGGATGCACTTACGCAGTTTCGGGTTTGCCTGTGGCCTTTTTTTTTGATTACCAGAAAAGGGCAAAGAGTTAAGACACCTCTTCAGTACTTGATAGTGTGAACCTCGATATGAATCCAAATATCGTTTGAAAGAGAGGCAATTTTGCTAGCCCTAAAATTCTGTAACCCTGTAATAATGTTTCCAAGGGTCAAACATTTATCAAGTAAATATTTTGTTAATGTTGCAGCTCTCATAAAGTGCAACAGAATATGTACTTGTCAGAAACTTTGCCGCAACTAGTTTTTGTTGAAGCATTTGCAGGGTCCTAAAGTTTAAAATCTCCAGGCATCTTTTGGAATCGGAAGCGGATCTCAATGATAGACAAGGTTTAAACTTTACTTCTAATGAAAGTGTTCTGTGTCAGAATTGTATAGCCGGGCGTCCATTTATACTAAAAGTTTGTCCAAAAACCTGCACAGTTTTTTTAAAGGAAATCGAGAGTATTTTGCTTCTGGACATTCATCACAAAATATTATATTGAAATATGTATTGACCCGAGAAAAATCAGTTAAAAGACCGAAAAAATCGCGGAAATATATTGTGCAAAATTTTCTTGTCTAAAAAATTTCTTGCTTAGATTTTTGTTACGGCGGTGAATTGAATTATGTTGACATAATTTCCGTTCGATTTTTCTCTGAAAACATTATTCGCGAGTAGTTTGAAACTTTACAACGAAAATTAACATGCTGGGAAAAAATACAATGAGGTGAGGTTTTGAGTGAGTAAAACTTGCATCTTGGTTACAGATGTTACCAATACTTGACGTATAACTGATCCAAAGAAAATAACAATACGCTAACGCGGCTAAGATAAGGTTATAAACAAAACTATATACAGTGAGTGATAATAGCTCAGCGTTGGTCGACTTGCACCAGCGCGGGAAATGTGCGCATTCGTAACCTCTCGACCTCAGCCCGCAGAATTGCGATTTCCTGAGCCTGGGCTTTGGCGAGGTCAACGAGTTTTTTACGTGTTATTATGTCTTGCATACGTTTCTCTGTTGCTGTGTCGTTCCTTTCGTTTTCTGCAAGAAAACATAGATATCTTCTAATCACACTGGTTTTCCAGGTATTCAAAACCGACAATGAAAGCAGTAATTGTGTGGCAAGCCACCCGGTGACAGCATTTTTAAATAGGGGCTGATAAATAAAGAAGTACCTAGTTAGCCTAGACTTTTAAGGGTGCAATCTGCCCACTATCTTTAAATAGAATCTATGATATCGCTTTAATACTTGGCTGCTCAGGTTGTACCTTCAGATAAACAACCTCAATTTGCTTTGGCTAGATGATATATGGTAATAATGAAATCGATAAAGGCCTAAAAAGTATGGACTAGGCTTTAATAATTCCAGAATTTACCCATGGGCCTAACATGGCTCTTGTATTGAAAAGTGACTGTGGACAAGAAAGAGAGCCTAAAGGCAATCGGCAGATGTAAAAGTAGCTTAAATCATCTGCCAATTAATATTAGCCAATCAGTGAGCGTGTGAGTGGAATCACACTCAGCGATTGGTCAATTTTCGATTGAAAGAAGGCTTACGCCCCTTTAGTAAAGGTTTGTAAATATGCTCTTCAACTCCATGACATTCATCATGATCTTGAACATTGTGAATGTAAACATAATATAACGTGAACAGAAATTCAATGGAAGACGTCACACAAAAATATATTTTACATACCATTTGTCTGGCTGACATTTCTTCGCTCTGCAACTGACAATGACAGTTCTTCCAAATTCTGATCCAGTGACGTATTATCAGATTCTTTCGATTTAATCAGTTTCTTCAATTTCTTTAATGCATTTGATCTGTCTAATACATTCCTCTTGTGCATCTAAAAAAGTATTTTCAGCGCTGATAAAATATATCGCTTTCTATCGTGTTCGTGAAAATGAAGTCTAGCCATTGTGTACTACAACAAATCCTCAGCAAGAGAAGAAGGTATGCATAAAGGCTGTTCTCTTATTCCAGCTCCTTGCTCTTACGAAGCTATTTCAAGGTAACCTTTTTACTAAAAAAGGAATCGTCTCCTACACTATTTATAGCCATAAGGCTTTCCCGTCTTGAGGAATCAGTGACATGGGCGTAGCGGAGGCTAAACGTGTAGGGGATTAGTGTGTATTGCCCGAATATTGTTGCGTTATTAAGATGTAATTTCCCGATTTGTATGTTTGGGGGGGGGGCTGCAGCCCCTTAAGCTCCTATGTCTACTACGCAAATGATCACTGACCCCGCTCATGATCAAGATACGCCTTTTAGAAAGGAACCAAACCAAAGAACATCCTGACTCTTAAGGTCCTTATTTGTGGGGCACTCAGGCCCTCCCCTGCCAAGACACTGTTATGGCTATTGATTTGCAGAGACTAATGACTTGTGACTTTGCTTTCAATACCAGACGACTTCCAAACAAGTAGCAACTAAATTGCACGTCGATGTGCTTTCGTCATTTAACAGCCTCGAAACAGTCGCAATAAGAATTCCTCTGTAATGCAGAAAACTCGATTTCATGTTCAATTAATCAGACGTCATAATATACCACGATGCTTATAAAACGCTGATAATTAATCAATGCCAATCAATTCGCGTTTTTACGCTACTAGAGAACATACAAAAATATCGTACAAACACAGACACAGAACATACAAAAAAATTTGAAGCCTACGTTGGTAAACAGTCATCTGAATTCAACACAAGCAAATAAGGTGAGATATTCTTATAAACTTAAACGCTTGGTTTAAGATTTTGCGGTGCATTGAGCAATGGAAAATGATTCTGACTTCAAAGTGTCTTTATTCATGTAAATGTATAAGGGTAAGTGTTCATGGAAATGCAGAAAAACTTTTCCATGGCATTGCCAATACTTCTAAATATTCATAAAATAAATATTCTTGATCAAATCTGCAGGCTGGCAAACTACAACCTTGGCCAAAAATGCTGAGACATTTGCAAAAAAAGAAGCTACTTACAAATCACCCGCCCCCCTTCCCCTAAAATCAATGTTGGGATTGGATTGGTAACCAATGTAGTGATCCCCACTTAACCAACATTGACCCCAGGGGGAAGGGGGTTTAGGTCACCAGCGCGTATAATATGAAGATATAGCAGGCGAATTCCTTTTTCGTTCAAATTTCTCAGCTATTTTTGGCCAGGAGTGTAGGTTTTGGTTGATGGAATTGTTGATATCAGCTTGTTCAGCTCTTTGTTTGTTCTCATGTGAAAGCCCTCGAATATTTTTTAGATCGCTCACCTTTTTATGAAGCTCTAAAGTTTGTTCCAAAGTTGCGATTTCCTGCTGCTGTCGAGCATGTTGGTCTCCTTCCCCAAGATACTACAACAAAACCAATATTTTGTGATTTTTAATGTCGAATAGAAGTAAAAACAGCAAGAAGCCAAATACCCACTCTTAAGCAGATATAATCACCTGTTCATCCATTTGAAAATCTGTAAAAATTTTATTATTTCTTATTTTCAGCACATAAAATAAATTCAAAAATCCTACCAAAGAAATTGAAATTGCATTATCTAAAATTAATTCACTCCCTTTGTGTTTCTATTCCACAATTTCGGGTGGAACTTGAAAACCACGGACTTAATAAAAGCTTTAAATTGAAACTTCTGAAAACACTAAAAACTATATACCCCTTGCAATTCTTTTGTTACGCGAAGCAACTGGATGTCTCTCGCAGCAGTTTGAAGGTCTTCTGCCTGCATTCTCATCTTTTTGTGATCCCTAAGGCAAAGATTTGATATGTTTGTTATTGAATTTTAGAACGTTTATTTTTGTATACTGGAATTTCATTCTTAACACAAGTACAGTTACAAACACAGTGTTAAGTCATTGCCATGAAGAAAGGACCGTCTATGGATTTAAAACAAAGGTCCGGGGGAAATGCCAAAAAATTGGCATAACGATAAATGCTAGACGTAAAGGAAAAATAAACCCTCATCAGATCACTTTGGGCAAATGTTTTTCTGATCAAATAGAGTAAGAATCGTTTTTTTAACTAGCAAGTTTTGTTCAAAATTATTTTTTGAAACTATTTTGGTAATCAAAATACTCGTATAATAAACCCTTCCATTTTAATATGCTTAAACCGTGTAAACTATCATTCATTGTCATAATTTATAAAATCTACATTTTTCCAAAAACGGAATTCAAATAGATATACAGATTACTGAACTGATGTCATAATATGCAGTTTTATCTACTATTGGAGGTAGCTAAATGTGACTGAATGTGAAACGAGAAAACCTTTTAAACATACGAAAGATTCTAGATGCATACTAAGCTCTATTTTGATAGATTTCGCAAATCAACACTAACCATTCGAGCTGATAAATTCCTTTTCTAAATTCTTTGCTGTCTTTCATATTGGCCAGTTTGCGTTCACCTAAGGTCTGAATATCATCAAGGAAGGTTAATAATTATCAAAGTGTATTTTTAAAATAACTACCTGATAGAATGTTTAGTTGACAAAATGTGTTTCTAATCTTCAAAGCTGATATGATTAGAGAGTGAACAAAGCTCTACAATTGCATATGGTTAAAGACATTTTAACATGAATATCACTTTTTGTTAAAAATTACATCAAAACTATATCAATAAATATTGGACATGAGTATCAATTTGAGTTCCGCTAACTTTCAAGATATAAAATGAAGAAGGCCTGGCGCAAAAAGATCACATTCAGCTTGCCTTTAGATTTTAAAACATAAAAAATGAGAAAAAATGAGGTACCTTGATGGTGGCATTCAAATCCTCAACGACAGAGCGATGTATAAGAATACTGTCTGTATAATCCGTTACGAAAGATGAAGATGGAACTTCAACCTGTTAGGAGATAAACTAGTAAATCAGGAGACACTCAGGAATTCGAAGATAATTTTTTTGGGGAGGGAGGTACTAAATTATTCGTGTTTTCACTGTGGTTTATCCTCATAAGAGACACGAATGCTCCCTCCACACAATGGATTGTGCGATGCCACTTCCTCTTTTACAAGCAGTTTGCTAAAATACCGCCATCTACACAACAACTGGGCATGTGCAAAATGATGCAAGAAGTGCTAGTTTGTCTTCCCAACAATAATTGTCACATTTTGATATACAAAATACTGGAAATATGTTGCTTTATTTTAGTTGTTTCCTTTATTGAAATTGGTTTTTACTCATATATGCTAGAGACTTTAGCTCATTGAAGGAAACCATGGCTACATTGCAAGAAAGCTCGCTATAAGACGGACAGAAAAAGCCAAGAAGCGTCTATTGAAGACTTGAGAAAACCAATACACCTTGAAAATGTGAATTAAACATTGGATGATTCAAAAAATGTTTTTTGAATTTCAGATCTGCAGTTAGCAATCTTTCTATGTACCAACATACTTAACTCTTATGAAGAGTTAAAATGTCCTTACCTGTCCCTGTTTAAGAACAAGCTGCACTTCCAAATTCAGATTAAACGTCAATCGGTCATCTCTCAACCTAAATGGTACAATTAACAGTTAAATATGCTTTTGTTGTTTGCTATCTCAGTTATTTGATGTCATCATTAATATTAAATCTATAAAACGTAAAAATTCCCAACTGAGAATTTATAAATAAAAAGTTCCCTAAATCACTTCCGAACCATTCTTAACAAATACTGACTTATATTAAAAGCCAAAGATTTAATGCAAATTTACAACAATAATCTTACATTATAAAAAGATAGACGCAAACCTAGCATGTCTTCAAAATTAGCGCGAACGCTATTTATCAAATGCATTGTTTTCTAACGCAATAAGAGTAATATAAAAATTTTTTGCGCGAGGACATTTTCTTATATTTGTGTTATCAAGCATTTTTGTTCTTCTATATTATAGCAAAAATTATTTACGTCTTATTATGATTCCTGTGATAATTATTTCGCCATTGAAAATCGAGAGTGAAAAATTTAAGAAATATAAGTAAATTTTTTGGAAGTTTTCCTAGAGTAAGATTATTCAACAGTGACGAACGTCATAAAATCTAAGTATGAGTACAACAAAGAAGTTTGACTTTTAGTATTAGTTTAAAAATTAGTTTAGTTTTAGTATTTAATTGGTTAAATATCAACATGATACGTAATACATTACAAATATGCAACATAATAAGGTATTGATGTCATCTTTGCATCTCTGGTATCATAAATTAAATTGCTATACTTTACCTTTGGAGCTCTTTGAAAATGTTTTCCACTTCAAGTTTTAACTGCTCGTCGTCCTCAATGCGCTTTTGATATATTGAGTTCATCTCAGCCAATACCAAAGCTTTTGCTTTTACCTTAAAGTTAAATCGCACAAGTTAAAAATGACTGCACTGACTAGTTCAGTAATAGTTAAGTTACTAAGAATAGTTGAGAATGTTTTACATTAAGGAGATATAATTTCACTATTCACTTTGCCCAGCATATTAAGATTAACCAGAAAATCACGGTCATCCAGCTTTTGTAGACAGAAATACTAATGTTTCTTATTAGGACCATGATTTCTCAAAATCACCCCTACTGGGAGGGGGGGGAGGGGAGGGGTGATTTTGCGACAGACTACTAAGAAAATATCAACAAAAAGTAGATGGTTATGTTTTAAAAAAAATTCCTAAGTGAACGGAGCTCACCTTTCCGAGCCTGGTTGCACTAAATCACTGATTATGAATTTTCAATAACAAAGACGTTTGATGTCACTGGTTGGTGAAAACAATTAGTTTATTTTGACTCGAGTTGAGGTGTAATTAAAAGGATAAAGATATTCAATCTAGACAGTTGACTACACTTCTAGTTTATAGCTTGTTTTTATTGGAAAAAAGCTGTTTAACTGACTTTGGGTTGATTCCATAAATCTACGTTCATGTATGCATAGATCTACGCACAGCCTTATAATAAGCACTTTGAGCACATTCTATATAATGATTTTCAGATAAAACAAAATGATTTCCATCAAAGCTGTGCGAGATTTTCATGTGGTGGTTTTCTTCTTGGCTATAGGCTCGAAAGTTCAGAGCTTTTCGGCACTGTACCTCCATACGCAGTACTAGCAATGCAGCTTTCCCTTTAAATAAACACCAGATAGCTTACTTGTTGTTCTTTTTCCACCTTGAGTCTCCGAACGCCAACTAGTTTCCTCCACGTTTCATAATGCAGGCCATCAGGCATATGCTGATCGTCATCAAGCTCCATCATAGCTTTTTCCAAAGATGCTGCTGCTAATGATGCCGCGCGGGAAGATGATGGCCGCGGTTGGAATGGGTTGCGATTTTCCGCTCCAACATCTGCTTGTGATTCTGCGGCTGCTTTCAATGTCTTCTGGGCCCTAGGCGGTTAAAAGAAATTCAGTTAACAAACACCAGAGAATACAGAGATCTTCCGCGTAGCTTCCATCGAGCGAACCACTTTCCATATCATAACCACCAGATGAAATGGCAAAGAAGTTAGGCATTTTAGGTAGTGACGTAGATTTTTCTGTAGACTACATTTTTTATACATAGCTGGACAGGTAATGAAGAACTGTAATCGGCTAACATCTGGACCCAGCGTAACAAATTTCAAATCTGATATAAAACCTTCTAGACGCCACCAAAAATCATCATTTCTCAGAGTACAAAGAAACTCTAAATCTAAAAATTCAGAATAACTTTAAAGCTGTGAATGATTTGTGAGTACCTGGGCCTTCTTTTAAAGAGACGATACAAAACATCAATGGTGTGTTGATCTTGGTCTGCAAATTCCCTTCTGAAATTCTTGTCCAAGGACTTGTCTTCAGCAACATAAATATCGTACGCATCTTTGCATGCGTCATATTCCCGCTTCGCTTCTGCTGCAAACGATGAGCTATTCTGCTTCAATACCTTCTTTTCTTCAAGCACCTGCAGAAGTTGCTGTTCTCGGGTATCTAGCTCTTCTTCCATAAGTAACGAAGCTGCTAGTCTCAGTATTTTCAATTCCTCCTGAAAATTGACACAGAAAGGGCGTCAGTAGCGTCACTCGCCTTTTCTAAAGGCAAAACAAAAAAACACGAAACACGAAAACTAACATACATTGTACCTACAATAATCGGAATTTTTTATCTTTTATCAATTATCATTTAATAGTAGTTGCCTCAGAGGCTTGTGTCGCTTTCTGCTGTTTAATCGTCTTTCTTATGGTGTCATATTTTTAAGAACAAAAAATTACAAAATTACTAGTTCTAAACATTAACTAGTTCTCAATTATCTAATAATAAGTAACTGAAAATATTAACAATTTCCACCATCCTCGCATAAAGCATTCTAGATTTATTTTACTTTTTTACAAAGAAGTTTGTTTGCATAACTTTTATATCATTCAAACCTCATAATGGTCTGATTCAGTGACTTAATACACTGTCCAGATATCTTGTATGTTCCTGACTTCTAAAGACTACATATCTCCGAGAGATATTTGTTCACTGCTAATATTTTAATAAACAATCGATAATAAGAAATTATGTTTGTTAGAACTGAAACTGAATCGCTTTGAGCCAAAATACATTTGAATCTTATATAAAGCTTGCTTACATTCCTCATTCAAAATTACATTTTGCTGTAAATTTGACTTCTAGTTAGTTAACCCCAAAAATTCCTCAAGAAATTGTATATCATCTTACGATTCTAGCTACCTTATACTCTGAATATACTATGTGATAACAAGATGATTAAAACTATTGTAAACCTGCTTTTGTGAAAAATACACGGTAAATTAGCAAATATCAGCTCACCTGGCATATCACCATTTCCGTTTTAATCTTCCTTTGAAACAGTTGAGACAGTTTTTCATCGAAGTTCGTAGCAGCTTCAGTGATGCTTCCCTGCAATTTTTTCCACTCTGTTTCAAGTGCCTTTCTGAACTTTTCTCTGTCTTCTTTTAGCTAAAAGTAGATTGAATATAAGCAACATTTAAACGATCGAAAACGTAATTATCTGATCCGCTGGTCTATCTTTAAGTTATTTCCTACAGAGATTCGAGTAGCAACTGCCAGTGAAAATTGTAGAGGGACGAAATTGAATTGTTTTGTTGAATTGAATTGAATTGTTGAATTGTTTATGCATGATACGGATAACAGATCAATCTAGAGTAGGACCATAGTAGAGATAACCTTAGGAGGGTTGTCTCAACGATTAAAAGGTACGTTAATTTACACCGCCAATTTTATTTATAGTGTCTATAATATGCTTTCGTTGAGAAATTACTCTTTGTTGGTCCCGACCAGGGTAGGGGGCGACAACGGACAAGCCACTACCCTGGTTGCGGGGAAAGAATGAATGCAAACGTAACACGAAATACCTTTTGCTCTTTCTTTTCAAACTCTTTCGCAGCCTTCTGCTCTTCCTCATTCCACTCAGTCGCGGGCTTAGACATGAATTCAGGTTTTACAAGCTCTTTCTTTAGTTCTTCTTCTGGATTTGCTTCCAGTCTCCCGGCCATCATCATTTCCAAAGCACGCTCCCGTGAATTGTCGGCCTTTTCCGCCTTACGGCGCTCTGATGATGTTAGAGGTGGCGATTTACAACTTTTAATTTACAACACGTAAGAACAGTTGACAAAATATCCTAAGTATTTCAAAGTTGACAAAAACAAAACGAAGGGCACAGTGAGATAGCCAAAGAAGAAGAAGGGGCATAAACAGTGTAGGGTTTTAATCATTAAAATATCGTAATCACCTACTGACTATGATTCTAAGGGGTGATTCGTTTACTTTTGTTCAAGTTAGTGCTGGATAGAAGCTGGATGAAATATTAATTTGCAATAACTGCTGTGACTTGTGAGACATTTATTTCGATCAGAAAATAATGCGAACAGTCAAGATTTCTCAGAAAATTTTAAACTTTTCATAAGTCCGCTACTTAACCGTTATCTCAACGACAAGAAATCAGTGAAAGATAACATTAATAACACTTTCAAAGAATATCAAACAAGGCATTGACTGGCATCAACATGCGAAGAAAACAGTTGGCTGTTATGTTACCTTCATCTTCTTTAGCAACTGCATCCAAACGCTTTTGCTCTTCCTCTGAAATATATTTCTCTACGACAATCTCTTCATCTTTGACCTCAAACAGCATTTCAGGCTGTTCATCAGACGTCCATCGTGGCTCGAATAAATCCTCAGCAGCATCCAAGTCGTTCACGATCTTCCTCACGCGCACGTTCTTCTCTGCAATTCTCTTGATCTCTATTTCTTTGGCCTTGTAAACTTCTTCAAACCGCTTATTGAATTCCAACTTCATTCGATAAATACAGTCCTAAAAAAAGACGAGCGAAGGAATTACGTAATCATGTTATCAAACAAAGAGGATGATAATCGAGAAAAAAAATCCATCATCAACCAAAATGGGGGCTTTAGGCACAAATACTTGAAGAGATGAAACCACTTTCATTTCAAAGCAAGATCCATTTGGATTGACATAACATCGGGTGTAATGAGTTTAAAACCAATTCAAAAGGGCGAGATACGAGCAGATAGAAGATGACAACAAAATGAACATATCTTCATATATTCCCAGAAAATATTACATGGTCCTTTAAACAAACATATAGACGATCCACAAATTCAAAAAAAAAATTTCACAGTCAACCTTTTGAAGATTGTCTCTGAGAAACAAAAGTGTCCCTTTACCGTTTTATCTTTTCCCACAATGTTACAGTTTTGATTTGAAATCTTACCTCTAGAAGAATGATTTGATGGCGTTTTTCTTGACCCGTGTGCAACTCGAACTGGCTTCGAATCAACTCATTCTCCCCTCCATACAAATGACTAAGGCTACCAACGACAGCAGGGCTTTCCTTGCGATTTCTGTCATCTTCTGGCAATTCGTCGTCGTCTGCTGATTGTTCTTCTAAATCAATGAATAACATACTAGATAAGTAATCGAACCATTTATTTTAAATGAACACCAGGATAAAAAAACATACAAAATACGCATTTAATCACAGCGGTGATTTGGAGCGGGGAAGCAGTTAAAAACAGCCTTGAAAATTCTTTGCAATGCTCAAAAAGATAATGGCTGCATAACTACCAAATATTAGATAGGTGTATAAAATAAAAGAATTAACGGTTAACACATACACCCTTAACTTAAAACCCGGGCTACAAGACGCTGGATTGGTTTCACTTTGGTTTGAGAAAGGAGAACCCATGTGAACTACTTTCGATTGCCACACCGTTGTATAACTGTAACCCCTATTCGAGGTAAAACCGATCCGAAATGAGCCCAATGCTGTTCTTTAATTTTCGAGGAGGGACTCTAGAGTTTTGGCTCGGAGGCAATGAAAATTTCCCATGAATCTGTTTTCAATTGTTAATCACTACCAGGGTGGACATCAAGAATCCCCAAAACCCCTTCTTCACAGTTACACAATCCCCATAAACAATTTTTTTCATACAAACCTAGCAGCGCTGGGTTTCCTGCTGTATTTGAATCTAAGATCTCCTTCCTTGCCTGCTCCTCAGAAATCTCAAACTTCCTTTGCTGGCTGACGAAAGCAAGTTTTTCAAGCTCTTGTTTACTGCGCTCTCTCATCGGGTAATTGGTGACGTCAGTCGACGAATAAAACGCTTTTATCGATCGGCCTTTTGTCATCATATCGTCCCAGCATTGACGTTTTATGACACTTCGCACGTACTGCTTCGACAAATTCTTCTCGTCGATTTCAGATCTGAGCTGAAATAAGAGAAAAAACAATTTTCTTAACGAGGATCAAACCACTTTACTTTCATTAACTCACTAAAACGTTCTGTATTCCCGCACTGTTTTATTGATGGCACGCTTTTTACAAAAAAGGAATAAATTTTTTAATGTTTTTTTGATCAAAACTCAACAATCATAAAATGGCTATTTATGACAAAATTATTTTTACTTTATTACCAAGATGCTAAAAGAAGCAAATAATTATCCATTTACTGTGATATTTTCATCAATATCATGCAAATTAAACTATCAGAAAACGCATCGCAAAGCATCATCCAGCTACCTACCTGTTTAATATGCTCCTCTCTTTTCACTAGCAGTTCTGCTCGTTCCTCTAAATCCATGTTAAATTCAAATCGCTCCAATTTCTCAATATCCGGCAATGCGCTGTTGACATCGATCATATCCAAAACGTTTCTTCTAAGTTTCTCAATATCATTTTTCAAATTCACCTTTACATCTTTGTATTTTGCGTCTTCTTCACTGTGGGCCTATGAAAAAATTCGTGTGCAATAAAACCATAAATCAAGAAGCCTAAGCTTTATTTACTACCGGTGGAAAACTTCAAATTGTATTAAGACGATTCGCTCCAAGGCCACAATTACGCAGTAAAAGTGCTTAGGCAACAAAATAAGTTTTTAATGTATGATGCTCATAATGCTGAATTTATGACCAATATGGAGATAAATGAAAATTGTACTATGCAAAAAGTTGCATCGAATGCGATTCGGATCAATTAGGAGGCTGATATTTAAGAAATTAGCAGGCCTATGATTTCAACGACACCAGACTTAATATAAAGTCATCAACCTAAAATAATTTAACCGTTACTAAGGGAACCTGGTGAAGACATTTGCAGGTAAATCTTCAGCAGAGAAAGGTATCGATGACAAGGATGAAAAAGACAGCACTCAAAGCTTACGTTATCTGTATTATAAGTCTTAGCATTACTACCAGAAATGAAGCTGTTGACTTGTAAACTGACTATGAGGAAAGTTTTGTATTTGGAAAAGAAATTACATAATTTTTCTTCGATAAAAATGTGTTTATCTTTGTAATTTCTCTTTCAAAATCTGAGAAAAATATACAAATTTATGTACACTGTTAGGAAAAGTTCTAGTCTTGCTATGGTATAAACTTAGGTGAATGATAATACCTTTGCCAATGCAAGATCAAGCCAGGTCTTAGGCTCCTCTTCAGATTCTTCTGAAGCAAAAACATTTGCTAGGAAGCAAAATAGCTTTATGTTAATAACAAATATCAAAGCATAGCATACTGCAAAATCACCAGTAAAAACAAAAAAGCTTTCATTTTTAGCTTAAAGTTGTTTTCCATCCGAATCTGCAAGCAAAATATACACTCCCAAGCCCTCCAAGTATCAGAGCATAAAATGGATACAAACCTAAATTCTGCTGGCATTACAATTGAAACATGGTATTACATTTGAGTTTCGGAATAACATTTGATGAAATCTTGATAGCTACGGTGATGACAATCACCACTCAACTTAATATACATCAACCATTGAAAGGAAGGCTAAATAAAATTATCAAATCCAGATACATACTTGATTTAGAAACCTCTTTTAATGGTTCCATATCTTTTAAAGCAGCATCTTGCTCTTTTCTAGCGTCGACAATTTGCGACAAACGGGCCCTTGACGCGTCAACTGCAGCAGCCGCGCGATTTTTTCCTTTGTCACTAAAGTTCCAGCCCCAGCAACAAAGCGCTCCATCACCGCCGACTGTCATGACATTTCTGGAATCTGGACTGAAACAGCAGTTCAAAACTCCGCCACAATTCCGATGACTCACAGGAACTGTTACGATGTGATCCTTTGAATACAGAGAAGCGGCATTAGAAGAATGTTCCAGGAAACGAGGAATTTTACGTCATATTAAATAGCTCATATTAGGCAATTTGTGATATCAAATCCTCCTGTCTTATAGTGGTTATGCAGCAAAATTTCTGTGCTATTATTTTTGTTGAATTTTGGCGCAATATTGACAACAGCTATCCAGGATAAGTAACTTAAAATCAGATTTAAATGAATCACTTCCTGAGAAAATTTCTTTCATCTTTGACGTCACTGTAATTAGATGTCAAGTTCATTTGTAAAATGAGCCGGTCATCTTTGGAGTCATAATCTGAATAAAACTTAAGCTTTATCAACCTGAGTTTGGTTCACAAGATAGAAAAGAAAAATTTCTAGAATGGCAGATCCCATGCGAATTGTGCAAATAAAAATCAATCATGACCAAAAACCGTTGCATTGATTGGCTGCAAACTCTTTGTTATAAGATTATATTTTGTTTTCTCTAAAACACTGTCTAAAAACTGTTACTTGTAAAATAGTCAACGCTTGCTTGCCCAAGGGCTTTCAAAAATCATTTCAGGTCTCATACCAAATCTGGGGGTAAAACAGCAATTAAACAAGTATATTTTCTAGTTAAAGAGCATAGCTTCTAGCCCATATTTAAGTTTCAGTGACTCCTTCAGTGGCAAATGTAGTGTCATCATTAAAAGATGACAGTTACCTGATGATTGCATTAAGCGTAAATCTCAGAGTTGCAATTTACAACCGTCCTGTTCTATACACCAAAAAGTGTGCACAACTCTATTTGGCATCGAGTACTTTAAGCTATGCTTAAGCATCTTCAAGGAGGCATAAGTGCGTTCACGGGAACAACTACCAAAATAAATAATTTGTCTACCATTTGATCACGGCTGATTAAATTTTGTAAGACTCACTATTGCACCAGTTGCCCGCATTATCAGCTTCCCATCCGGACCTCCAGTTGCTAACCATTTAAGGTGACCAGAGGGGGCTATACAGCCTCCTTTAAGGCTATGACCTTGTGAACCCATCGAAGGATCCAATACAACATTACCGGTGTTCTCCTGCATGGGAAAAATTGCTAAATTTAACCAGGAATCTAACAAACTCCCAGACCTACCCTACAACGAATTTAAAATATGACTAAATTGAATGTCTTCCTATTTATTTAAACATGAAAAAATTGTCTGAAAATGTTTAGAGATTCTTAGAAATATTTAGAGGTTTTCCAGGCACATTGCACGTTCATCTTAAAATTGACTGACAATACCATGTGCTTTTCTTCAAAGAAATAACGAAATAGCAAAAATCTCTGGTTAAAGTTGAATTGAACAGCTATCCCTTAAAAATGGCCTCTTTCAAAAAGAACCTGTTAGAAGATTAACAACGCACCCGTATCAACACAATTCTTATTCTTAGCGCACCCGTATCAACTACATATTTACTGAAATTATGCCAAATCAAACAATATCAATGTACGATTTTAGCAAGATGAACAAATCATAGTTAATTCTAAATATTTTTTTTGTATAACACAAGGTAGACACGCCACTACGTTTGAAAATCATTTGCAAAAAGAATAGGAAAATTAGAGGTGATTGATGTTATGCAGAGAACAACTTATAACTGGAAGAAAATTGGATCGACTTTGAAAAACTAAAAACATTCAAGAAATGAATAATGCTCTTGAATTTTTGCGACAGATTAGGTCTTAGAGTCTTTGCCAAAAATGATTGGAACACTGCAATCATAGTTTCGATGTTGATGAAATCAAACTTTGAATAGATTTATACTTGTAGCTCAGAATTCTTGAATACATTTATCTTCTTCTAATAAAAACTCATTCACAAATTTAAGCCAGCTTGCACCAATAGTTATGGAATATTTAAATCTGAAAATGTTTTATGGGGCAGAAAAACGTTTAATGGCAGTGCCTAATTTTGTGTAAATTTACCAGCAGTTTTCGTAGGAATCATAGCTAAGGTCTGTTTACCCTTATCAAGGCGAAAACGTCATTGTGATAAAAATAAAAAAGACGGAAAGCTATCCAATCTAGACAGCAATCTGATAATGATGAAATCAAATTTTAAAAAACGAAGATCTAGAAATCAAAGAAAAAGGTGACTAATATTTCACCCCACCATACAAGATATGATCAGAATTAAAACTTCATTTTGGCTTTGAGACTCTATCTACGTTAATTCAAAGCAACTCACCTCTGATACAGTTATTGGGATGTTGACTATCTTTTTGCCATTTGCTTGGATCGCAAATGCATTTTGCTTTGAAACCAAACAAATAGCGTATACAGCATGTCGGAACAAATAATTCCTTTTCTTGACGCTACCATCACGAAACAGGCCTGTCTTGTCAATAAATGCGCTATTCTGGCCTTATAAAGCAAAGAATATAGCTTGATAAGTATGAAAGTAAAACAGGAAACACTTAATGAGAAGGCCTAAAGATTTCTCGTAAATTGACTTTTCACTTTTGATCAATACCTTATGATACAGATATCCTATTGTTTCAATAAGATGACGTCACATTTCCATTGTTTTAGAAGAAAAGACCATTGTCCTCCAAAGTACTGGGTGGCAACCGCCCCCTTTGCCCCCCAGGTGTCCACCACTGTCTCAGACTCTGAATTCTATCACACAAAAACGCTTCAAAGTGAAAAATATTTCGTTTAATACTGCAAAAAACTTATACTTATACTTAGAGAAAATTTCAGCAGTTCCTATGCTAAAAGTCTTGACCCTCCTCCTAAGCAACCAGCGGACCGTATTTGTTCATTAATTTGTTTGACGTCACAAGTAATACTGCTAAAATATGTAAGGTGAAACTAGAAGAAGAGGACTTTTTCAAACTTTCAAAACCCCTAGATTGCTTAGGAAAGAAAGAGCTTTATATATTTTATAATTGCTTTTTAAGGTTAATGATAGAAATCAATCAAATAACACGACAGAAACAGCGTGATCAAACCTTGGTCTGAGTGAGTATCAGGCGATATCATAATTTGCCTATATTACACAAGTTTCCTAAAACTATCTGACCATTTGCATACGAGTCTTTAATAGAAACAATTCAATGTTATGTCAGCAAATTTTGTTAGCATAAATGGCGGCAAAGAAGCTGATTAAAGTAAACTCTTTATCAAATATCAAGTATTTCTTTTGAATTAGAATGAAACCACAATACCTTTAAGAGTATCTGCAGATATGTCCATACCAACAAGGTGATTGAAGGTAGGGTCATCCCCAACATGCCCAGTGCCAATAAGAATTTTCCACGCATTCTTGTCATCCTCATCACGGTAATGTAAACATGAGATCTTGCGAGCATCACCCTCAATTTCTTAAAAAAGGTTTTCGGAAGATAATTTCGGAAGAAAAATTTTAGAAGACAAGCCTCTTTTAAAGAGGCAGATATTGAAAGCTTTAAGTTAGGCTACGGTCATTAGAAAAGGTATTAGAAGGAGGGTAGTAGAAAAACTCGACAAAAGTACATATATAAGGAGAGTGATGTAAACAAATTCAAAAAGGCAACCAAGCTCTACTCGTAAGTTGCAAATCATAGTGGGAAAGGGGTGGTGGACACAAGATCATCGAGTTCCCTCTACGAGTTTCACTCATACGCAATACTTATTTCATTGCGTTGTAGCAGTAGCATAAAGAAAGACAGTTAAAAGAAAAACAAAGTTGCACTTTCGTGTCATTTAGTCACGCCGTTTTTATGCTCGGTTCGAAGAAACTAGCACCTTCCCTTGTGGGTTTATCTCTAGTAAGGAAGGTGCAGAAACTGAAAAATTTTTATCGAAAGTTTCGTTCTTTGCAAACCCCATTTATTTGTTCGATTATCTGGCGATCGATCTACATAGGTGACATAAACAAAGTGGTATCTTACTTGTGTATCCAAAGACATCGAGTCCTGATGTCACTTTTGCATCCAAAATAAAAACATGTCCGTCCGTAGACCCTGTCACTATGATATGGCCAAGATTATCAACACTGCAAAAAATGGTTCAAAGACATTAAAACCTACAAATTTTATGAGGCTATTTTTTTTAACTTCCATATCCTTACATAAAAGAGCTTTATAAAAAATCTTCATATGTCATACAACCTCATCCTATCTGAACTTCTATTTTGTACAAATCAGTCAAGTTATATGTTTATCACATAATAGGATTTTTGCCTGCTACCTGATGATTGAATTAAGCGTGAACTTAGAACTGTTCTGTTCTATACACAAGGCGTGTATATATACGGCATCCAGCACTTTATGACAAACCGGCAAACAGCAATTTTTATTAGAAGGATCTTCAGATCATACAGACATGAATAATTTATCTATGGAAAGCTACAAGATGGAAGCAGATAGCCTTTTCAATATAAATTAGCTTAAAAATCATACACACGAGAAGCTATCATTACAGGTGACTAAATTCGCAAAACCTTTTCGATAAAATGACAAAAATTAATGTGTAAGAAGGAAGAACCGCAGGATGGGCTGTCCGCCGGATTCTGTGAATCTTGCAATGAGTAATAATACGAAAGATATTCAGGAACAAAGAAATACGACGTCGAGAATCCAATGTAACGAGATAAAATTTTCAAAATAAATCAAACTAATATTTCGCCCCAGCATATAGGGCTTCATCATCAAAAAACTAGATTGGTCTAGCATTTTAGATTGGTTGGCAGAGAATATCACCCTGTGCCTAAAAAGTCCAGTTTTCAGACGCATAACTCACCCAAGAGCAGTTATTGGCCCTTTGTGGAGGTAGCGCTGAAGAACAGTTCTCGGTTGTTCTTGTGACGTCAGATCAACAAGAATTAATGAGCCACTAGCAGTTGCAACAACAGCAGAACTTGATGAAGGAATGCAGACAACGCTTTGTGCCTGAAAGAATGTGAATGAAAATTTAGCAATTTAATTATAAATAATATTGTGGCACTGAGGTATAAAATAAAGCATTGTCAAAGAGGCATCAGCATCAGCATAGTTACTTAAGTACCTGATTAAAATGAGCCTTAAAAGCATAACAAATTGAAATGAGTTCTTAAAGCAACCACTTTTCATAAAGCAGAATTGATTAGCTAAAGGTTTAGCTAAGAAATTAAACGACTGTATGTGTTTCTCCGTCCTAGGGTAGTTGAAATGAAAGTTTAGACATTGTAAACTACAAATTGAAACTGACAATAATATCTTATTCGTGAACATAAGAATATTAAAAACCATTGTAGCATTGAAAGCTGTATAAACGTATAATGACTTTTCCTCTCTACTTATATAACTTAATTCATGCCAAGTTACCTGTTTATTTAGTATCGCCTCTTTTCTTTGTCAAGCATAGTTGTAGGAGTAGCAAGAAGATATTTCTTTTTGAATTCAGATTAAAAACTAACACAATATTTTTAATAAAATGTGCCATTTATAGCCAAAAAAAACACATGGTCACCGAGTTCTGGCTATGTATGGCACTTACAATTTACAACATTTAATTTTACTTACTAACGAGAGAAATGAACACAATAGTTTTAGAAAGATTAAAACGTACCAAAGGTGTGTCTTAAGATAGACGTCAGAAACGATAAATTATAATTGAATTGATCAGTGAATTTGATTTATTCCTACAGACCTTTCCAACGTCTAGCCCTAGGCAGACCTTTAAGGAGGAAGATAATTTGAAAATAAAAGGAAAAATAAAATAAGATAGAATAAAGGACATAAAAGAGAGTTAAAGGAATAAATAAACAAGTAGACACGTTCAACTGTCTTCACCTTCTCAATCACAAAGTTACGTGTAATTTTGACTTACATGGCAGTTCAGCTGAACTTCTCCAATGCATTTAGAAGATGACACAGCCCAAAGTTGAAGTAGGCCATCTTCTTTGCACGTCTATAAAGAATTGATAACTTATATATATATATATATATATCTATATGACTAATATAAACAAAACTCTTCAAAAATTTGGTATTTGATATTAGAGACAGAGTTTAGCAAAAACATTTAACGAAACTACCAAACATAATGCTATTTGTAGCCATTTTAAGCTTTATGCATTCCTTTTTTTCCTTGTTTTGTTTTATACGATGCATGCACTCATTCCTTGACGAACAGATCAAATGAATCACTTGCACAGCATTAGCAATCAGATGAAAAACTTCAGATAAAATGTAACGAAACTACATAAGAATTCTATGCTATTAAGATTAATGAACAATAACAATGAAATACCTTAATCACCTATGTATAGAATATTTAGACTTACAACACAACATGAATTTTCTCCGAGTGTAAAATCTACACCAATTATCAACCCAGCGTGGTTTTGAAAAAGGGTTTTTAAGCTGTTAGATTCTTCTGGAGAATAAATCTGGACAGAACCCTAGAAAAGAAAGAATATTTGATGTCAAATGGAGATTAAAAATTCGCTGAACTGGACAGGCTACTGAAACTCGCTTGCAGACACTTAAAGTTAAAACACGTTTTGTATGTGCATTAGTCACTAGGTATTCCTCTCAAACGAGAAACCATTGTTTCACAACTTTTAAGGTTTGATAAACTAAAAACCCTAAGCTGCACAAGTAAAGTGCAAATTTGGAGGTTTAATTTGGAATGGGTACAATCCATGCCAAAAGTTTACGATGCTCGGCTCAAATAGTCTCTGAGAGTTATTCAGTGTTGGTAAGCCAGCGGAAATGACTGGCAACTTCTAAGGACATTTGGCAAACTATTTTGGATTATTTCCTAACCGTATTGATTGTGTATTAATTTTTTGAGGTGAAAAAGGGAAAAGTTTATTACGACATCAAAATTAAATGTATGTATAGCCAAGGCAGATGTAGGCAAAAAAGAATTAAGAGGAGAAGATGAACAGTTGAGCAATTAACTTTCGTAAAGATGCTCCAAACATTTTGGCAAGGTTTACATGTGAGACAGGTATTGGAAAAAATGAAGCTTTAAAAGAGCACAGGAAAAGACATTATTAAGAATTGTATACAATTTTGCAGAGAAGGATGCAAACTACTGGTCACAACTTACAAAAATTATTTCTACGAACTATATCTACAATGATGGGTAGATAGTACCTCAAGGGTCTAAATTATCAAACGAAAAATCTCCAAAACTCTCCATTTGTAAGATTTCCTCAAACTTCAAAAATTAAAAAATCACTTTGCCATCATATAAACGACTCTCGCAAAATATTTCAAATGGAAACAATAAAGCTACTTATATGTTACACAATGGTATAATTGACGTCGTAATGAATTCGGTAAAAAGCACGCATTGAGGACTCAATTATAAACATTTGAAGCAAGCTTAGACCTTAACTAGATTGAATTATTCTTCATACTTGCAAGTAATTGATGCGATAGGCCAACTACATGGTACAAATCTCTCAATACAAAGGATTTAAGTTCGCTACCATCTTTAGAACATTTTAAGGGGCGCTTGTGTCGTAATAGGTCATAAGTATGGTGTTTTAATTCGATGCGATAATTTTGAAAATCTGCGATGATGATTCTTCGATATGGTGATAGACACAAATTTCAACCATTAATAGTTCAACGCGCTTAAAATTACACGTAGACACACCCATTGAGGGCCATTATTCGCTTCAATATCAGCTTATTGCAACAAAATTTCGCACGAACTCAATCGCACAACTCTTCCTTCCTCCCTAAATCTTGTAAACTTTGAAATGCTGTACCCACTTCCTGCTTCCCAGACTCTTATAACCTGTCTTTATTCAAGGCAAAATAAATGAGCTTGATCTTTCCCCCCTCTCTTCTTAATCCCTCCTTCCTTTCCATTTTTAGGGCGTAGCCATAGGCACTTTAGCCTTTCCCTAACATAACCAAAAAAGCAAAAAAAATCACTGCTTGCAATGGGAAGCTGTATGGATTCTTGATCATAATTTCCTTGGTGAGTAATAAAACTTTCTTTAGATTAACACTACCAACATAAATGTGACCTACATCATCACTGCCTAAGGCAAGTTTGTCGTAAGCCGGAGACCACGACAGTGATGTAATCGGGCGGCGAACGTCGATACGATCCACTATTTGCAAGTCACCTGAATCAATTTTCAGACACCTCAGATAACCGTCCTGAAAAAATGCAGAATCAAATGTGAGAAAAATCTTTACATAAAAAGAGCTTATTTAAATTTTAAGGGTAAACAAGGGGTTTAAATATAGAATGACTTGTGTTAAAAGATATGTTTTGTATATTCTAGATTTTTCCCCCGTGATTATCTTCAAAGTTAATTTGTTTAGCTCGGGCTACTTCAAGCCTGTACGGTACGTACAACTATATTTACCTACTGACCAATAAAAATCCTACGAATAGCGATTGGATTCTTAAGTTAAAAGTCAAATTTTAACATTAACTGTTTCGAACGCAACCCAATAATGGAATTAGGGCAAGTCTGTCAATTGTTGAGTATTTGTTATCAATCAATCAAATACAACCAGAAGGTAATATTTCTCTAAGTTAGCTTCATCTTTTTTGAAAAAGCTGATCAAGAATTGGATCAGTTTCGAGAATTCATCATTAAAGCCAATAGGAGACTTTTTCAGTGAGCTCAATATCAAAGCGAATCTGAATTGCATTCTAAAAAGAAGTTCAACAATGAAAAACCGAAAAAGGCAAACGAATTTTTCAACATAAGAAAATGAAATAGTCAGCAAATAATGAGAATGAAAATAATAAGAATAATGTAGATAATTGAAAACTAATATGTTATAATAATAAATGTAAAGTAAAGAACAATAAAATAATAATCGAAGAAATCAGATAATGATCACAATAATATAAAGCACGCAAAAATAATAAAAATATTCTCCCTTTAAATTTTCAGATTTCCAGAAATAGATTAGATGCTGTGAAACTAATACAGCGGGAAACCCCCCAAAGCTGCTTGTAGTGAGCCCTGCAATGTGCCATAGAGGGCAGTTTTGGGGACTGATGCTAAACGCAGGCTACACGATGCCTGTAACTATGCTCAAATAGCCGTATGAAAGAAGACTTCGAATTCAAAATTTAAACCATTCACTGTAAAGATGTGGTAAAGAAGCAAAAGAGAGAGATCTGTATTGTAGTGGTGGGGAGGCAAGAGGGGACGGATGCCCTCCTTCCCTAATGGTACAAAATCTTCTTCGCTCTCATGTCTAATTGGCTACGCTACTGTAAAAGACGATCCGTAGATTACAAATCAGGGGATCGATGCATTCTACAGATGATAATTAGCCCCAAGGCTATCGATAGACTATTCCATTGATTATTCCAAGTTCTCTATTCAATCTGTATAATACAGGAGAAAAATATAGACTAGGATAATTCATTGGATTACCTTTCCAGCGATGAACAATCCTTGTTGATTTAATGCAAAGCATTCAACACTTCCAGCTGTCAGTTCTTGCAGAGCATCTTCAAGACTCTCATCAGGCTGATTTTCAAGTCTTATTCCTTAAGTAAAAAACTTTGTTTAGAATTTTCTTCAGTTTTTATGGTACTATCCATTACAACACCTTGAAACATGTCAATTTTCAAAACATTTTCAAAACCGTTCATTCTTATTCAAGTCTCTTGCTTGTTGCCGTTTACAGAATAAACATAAATAAAGTTTCAGTGCATTAACAAATAGTAAATAAACGTTAATAGAAATACAAGGTAATGACTTATACTTAGCAAAGAGTTTTTTCATTAAATGGATTTTCGAGAGTGACTCAAGGTTATTAAAGAAATTGACAGAAGGTCCTTATAACCATTTCCACAAACTCACACACAGGAAAGGAATCTCCAAAATTGCCTGGGTCGAAATCTAAAAATTTAGTTCTAATATACAGCTACTGTTGGCCACTTTGCTGATCTGAAGCCATTTTGTTCGTAGCAACTTTCTTAAACACGAGAAATAGCCTCTAGAGTAGAGTCTACATGAGTAGAATACACAGCCTCAAAGTACAGCTATTCTCAACAAAATTTTTAAGCGATCACCAATACAAAGAAATGTATATTGTCTACATTCAATAAACAAATACGGATACACCAGTTGCTTCACCACTGAGATTACACGCATTTTTAGGAAAAGAGTACTTTATAAGGAAGGTAATACTCGGATAGGCAAAAACGTAAGGAATTGATGCCAGACTGCTAAGGAATGTGAAAAATTCGAAACTTCAGAAACTACATTTTTTTGAAATCTGAATTGATTCCTGACACTTATATTTCGACTTCAACAATCAAGTTTCGTCCTTAACACTTAAACGACTTGAACATAATTTACCTATATCCTTTACTTGAGAATAAAAAGTTGATAATTTGCTTTGATTGAAGATAAACAATGTCGTCATACCCTCTAAGGCAATATCCTGAACAGCTGGGTTGTGAAACAATAAGACGGAGCGTGAATCAGAGTTGATCACTAAGATTTGGCCACCTGCGCAGCAGCAAAAGATTTGTCCATTTTGGCCCCAAGTATGGCCTTTCGGAGAACACCGTTTTCGTTTGTCACCTGCAAAATAATCAAACAATTCTTAAACTGGGTTAATTTCCAAAAATATCGAAAAACCACCACAAAAAATTTGGCAAATGATTCTTAAAACTTTGATACAAAATAACAATGGGTACAAGTAGTTCTCTAATAATTTAATAGGATGCGTTTGAAAAGTACATCAAGAGAGAATTAGAATGAATTTTAATATTTTACTTTACTGAACTTAGATTGGCTTTAAATCACCAAGTAAAAATCAAACAGCTTCAAAAAAAATTTATACATTCATGTTCTCTTTCACAGAAATTATCTTATTATTTTGTCCGTTTTTGTTGTTTTCTCTCAAATCTCAATTTGAATAAATTTTTTTCGCAACCAAACATTACTCCTGACCTTAGGTCGACGCCGTAAAGTATTAATTGTTCGGAATATTGTCAACTAAAGTAAAAGACGAATTAGCTTCAGATTTACAAAAAGATTTTGGTTACTGAGTATAGCTAATTTTCTATGAAAATAAGGCCACAACCACGTGGATTTTAAGCTACTGTCCATAAATGAAAAGTTCTCGGTAAGTAGTGTTAAAAACAGAGCTTAGTGGGTACGGTTTTAAATTTGTGGTTTAAAGCCTTTAAATGTTTAACAGCCAACAAGACCATTGGAGACTATATCACCAAATACTTAAGGGTAAGGATCTTAATGATTAAATTTAATCAATTAAAAGACAGCAGGAATTTGTATTTCTGCAGAGGGTTTGATCAAGAAAGCCTATCGAGCTATGTTTTTTATGATCACAAAAAACTTCGTTTTACTTTGATGCTTATAAGCTTTTTCTTTCAAATTATTATATATTTTATTTTCTGATTATCAGAGAGTATGAAACTGATTTTCTAAATGCAGAAGCATCCACAATATAATTGAAATGATAATGAAAACGTACACCAGTAAGGAAAACAAAACTTGTTTTTGTATTTTCTCTAAATGCTTTTCTTTTTATTATGATAATTTGCCCTATGCTGAAAACATCTGCTTGAAAGCACCTGATACAGTGAATATGGGATGAACAATAGCTAAAAGTTCAGAGTATGCCTTACCAACATCTAAGTTTCCGAGTTCATCACCAACAATACCGGCAATTGCAGTTTTAGTGATTCTTATGTTTGATGAGATGGGGCTAACTGAGCGACTGATTTGTCTGTCAAGGTCGTCAAATGGATCAAAGTCTCCAGCACCATCAATAATTGGAAGGCGTACTTTGCTACAAGACAAAAAAATTTTTGCCAATTAATATTTGAGGAGATACTGGATTCATCTAACAAAGGTTTTTCCAAGAAATCCTGTCTATCATGTATGTCTGTCTATCTGTCTATCCAAAAAAGATTTCCATACTCAGTAAAAATAAATGAGCTTTTTGTCAATATGCAGGACCCTTTAAGAGGAACAAAATTTTGACCTAAAAAAATTTCCAACAAAACAAAGATTTCTCAAAGTAATCCTCATTTGAGGCAAGCTAGCTTCAGAAATTTCTGGATGAAGGCTAATAAGATGAAAAGGCTGGAATGAAGGGGTTATAAAAATGATACTTTTGAACAACTTTTTTAAAGTTTGCCTTATTTGCCCGTTTTATTCGGGAGGTGAATCATGCCCGTCTTCCGGACGTGCACTAGCCCCTGTTTTAGGGTCATTGCATATGCGCATTATCACTTGAAGCCCTGACAGGAGGTTCAAGAATTGTGTGGTCAAAGACAGAACAGCTGTGTGAATCCTGTTATTAATGCGTATGTGCCATGACCCTGTAACACTGATTGGTTTCAGACCAGTAGCGTAGCGGGGCAGGGGGCACCTTACACAATTCCGAACATAACCATTAGAGGAATTGTGAAGAAAAAAAAAAGTTGTAGAATGGGGTCTGCCATAAAAAGCTACATATGATGGTTATTGTATTTGATTAGCCAACAATTGATGTTTCAAAGAATATCTAATACTTGAAGCAAACTCACTAGATGGTTGGCAAATCAACAAGGTGGGGCCTTTAAGAACATCCAGTTGCATCTTAGGATGTGCTAGCTCATTCTATATATGGAGATGCAGTTTCCAAGGAACGCTTTAAGCAAAATCCTCAAATTCAAATTCAAATAAAGCAACACTTACCTTGTGATCAAGTGATATGTCTCATTTAGTTGCTCTATGTTCCACAAAACCAAGTGCTCACTATTTGTTCCACACATCTGTCTCCAGTTCATTGGATTAAATGAAAGCTGTGTACAAACAAAGTTTGGAACTGTACCAAAACTTATCTTTCTTCTTTCAGGCCAGTTCCTAAAAATAGCATAGAGCATTAAAAAAGTTGTCATTAATAGATATTGTGTCACACTGGTTTATCTATGATCTTGATTACAGAACCAAAACAGATATTGTGGTAGTGGGATGGGTCTTGTTATTGTAACTGACCATTTTGCCGATGGGAGAGATTGTTAGATGTGAGTTTCTATTTAAATACTCATGTTTCCACTCTTCTGATCTACGTTGATGCTCTAAAACTGACCTGAAACATTTTAATCAGCATATCTGTGCCAACTTGATTATCTTTCATGGTCTACATGCCTAATCAGTAAAATTGGCCATTTTGAAACTATTTGAAACTTGATACTTTTTGATCAATATTTTTTCTTTTGCATTATTAAAACTATATTTAATAAGGGCTAGAAAACGTAAGGCCTTTTCTTTGTAAATAAGTTAGTCTATGAAGTTAGTCCTTTTTTATATAATATGATTAACTAAAAACCAATTTAATTCGCTGGCCAATAGATTTGGCTACACCTGTCATTGCAGACCTAAAATTTATCCAAGATTGAAAAATTTTGTTAGTCTACAGATGGTATAGTCCAGCACTTCTGTGATGATCTGCTCAACCAGATTAAAAAGGCTGCACCTTTCTAGATGCTCAATTGTAGGTGTTCAATTACAAGTTGTTAATTGTTTTTTAATTACATATTTTCATGTTTCATTACAAGTTGCTCCCCTCAATCAAACAGAAATGTTGGAGATAGCCCAAGTTATGAAATTGAAATTCATACTTTTTTAGAATAGTTCTGAATCAACTGCTTACTGAATTAACTGGATAGGTAATCAACATTTTATTAGGCTGCATCTGATTTTTCAAAGCATTGGCAGGCTTCACAATAGAAAGGGTTTACATCCAGGCAGCTTGCCAGTGCAAAAAGTAATAACAAAATCACTTGCCACAAAGTAATTGTACAATCTGGAGCATCCCCGTAGCTTGCCAACAAACTCCCATTATTTGCAAATGCTAATGCAGAACAACCAAGTGTCCCAGCTCCTAAAACAAGGTAGCACTTTTTTAAGCAATGTAATATAACTTTTAATCTTAAATAGATTACACAAGGAGAATAATAAAGGCTTTGAATAGCAAGAAGTCCAAACTGAGATTCTGATAACAAACATTGACATAATTTGCAAGCAGGGGCAAAATACTTGAGTAAGAATGGCAGAATATTAAGATACAAACATTTGACTTATTACACAGAACTAAAGAAAACAAAATATTTTGTCAGTGCAAAATGTCTCAGTGGTTTCCAGCCTTGAGGAAGAATTCAGAATGATGTCAACATCTTATATTTTACATTCGAAAAAATAAATTCCAGAAAACAACAGTAAAGAAAACAAGCAATAAGAATTTTAATTCCCACTTTTACCTTAGAGGTACAAGATTGAGCTATCAAATAAAGCTATAGAAAAAAACAAACCTTCAAGGACTGCTGCTGGCTTTGTGAAATCAGAAAGGTCATAGATATAAACATTTGTGTCCATGCATACTTCAGAAAAGGCTATTGTGTGGTAGGTAGAGTTCACTGCAAAAGCTCCAATTCCATTTCCTGGACTGTCTAAGAACTCCTCATCACCAGTTTTTGTGTTAAAAAATCTGATACAGTTGCCAGATATATATGCTATAGTGTGGGCATCAGTGTAAAACAGACGATCTCCTTTATAACCAGCAGACCACCTGATATAATGAAAGTTATATACACAAAATCATGTTACAGATACTCACCATCTATCTGATGTTTAATCAACATTTAGGTATAACAAGGCTGCCAGAAGCATGGGGAGGGGGGATGGGGAGGCTGGCCACCAATAAATGTCAAACTGTAGTATATTTCTTTTATTACAGTGTATTGAATGAGAAGCAATACATAGACAGCCCTCCTCCATTATGAATTTCGTTCTGACAGCATAAGTACAATAGTTAGCATGTTAGTAAAAAAAGATGCGAAGACGGCAAAATTTAGGGTGAATGTAAGCTTTTAATGACATTTGAAGGCCCCTTCAGAGTTACAGATCGTCTAGGTCGTCATTACTTTCACATACGAGGCTGGTTTTTGTACACACATATGCCACATAACAGCAAACACATGAAGGATATTTTTATCATTTCTGGGAGTAAAATACACATCGGACAGGATATTCAAATCTATTACAATACACAAAGTTTTCAAAGTTTGAGCAGATTTTGGTTTACGAAAACTATTTTGATCTGGTTGGTTCCCCCTTATTCTTATTTTTAGGAATTATGAAAGATGATTACCTTTGCTATATTTTTTTATCACCACTAATGATGTTACTAATGTTTTTCTCTGAAATGCATAAACAAAAGCTACATACTGTGTTTTTATGGTAATTAGTCTCAGCCGCACTAAATCTTCATCTGTGCTATTTGCAAATGCGCAATTTTCAAGGACATAAAACAGATCCCCTGCACATCTTTCAAGAATTATAATCTGGAGGTGATCTCATTAAGAGCTTATTAGGATACTTTTCTCAAAGCTGTGATAGAAAGTGTTCTTGTGTCTTTGGATTGACGACCTTATTCTCAAAAAATGGTAGAATTTTACGTTCGTAAAGCATTAAAACTTTTGATCTTTAAAACGAATGACAAGAATAAGCAAAAGTTTTGAGACTATATTAGATAAATTGAAATGATAACTCCACTTATAACCAGGTTATGAGATCAAGAAATGTCTTTAGACATAACAGCTAAATAGCATAGGAAATTCATACTAAATAGAATTGCTACCAATAGGCTATAAGGGAAACACAAGCGAGAAAAAAAGCTCTCCATCATTTTATAGTTTTCACACCCAAAAATTGATCACGAAGACTTTTCATAGAGATGCTGAAAATAATTAATTGCGGTACTTTGGCTGGAAATAAAAACAACATAGGAAGAAATCTAAAACAACATTATTTTTCTACATCACCCCTGACATTCACAAAATGTTCAGTTACAAATGTGTTGGCATTTCACAAAAACTCTGCAAATGAGTCTAAAAACATACCTTAAATGAACTTTTCCAAACTGGTCCATTCTGTTGATAAATAAATTAGAACAATCCCATTGTTTAATTGCCTGCAATCCAATGTCCTTCTGGCCCAGAATGAAGGCCTACTCTTTTGGATTTGCTATCGTTGCTAAGTAACATATAATTTGGTTGGTCTCTTGGCCATAACGAGGTTGACAGTGCAATGGGGCAATGGGGTGATCTTCGACTCTATTTCTTTGGAATAGGAGACCATTATTTTTGCTACAAATAATTTTCATTTCATTTTCATTTTATATTCTTTATACACAAAAATCCCTTCAGCTTAAAACTAAATACCAAATAAGTTATTTTTTAGCCTACAGGAAAGCTGTTTTAAAGAGAGCACGTCCGTTTTGGTATCCAGTTGCACCAGGACGCGTAACTCGCATAGCAAGGTCAGTTTAAACTTGATGGGATAAGAAGAAAGAGTTAAAAGAAACATTCCCTAAAACAAGTTACTTTACCTACTGGCCAGGGGCGTAGCTAGCGGGGGGTAAGGGTGTGACACCCCCAATTATTCATGAGTTTGTCGGTAAATTTTTAGTTAGAGCAAAAAATTCCCTGGTTCGTCGGTAAAATTGTCTATCGGTAGATGAAATAGCACCTAGATTTATCTACGTCTTCGTCAGTAGATTTTACTACCCATGCCCCGCACTCAGGGTGTTTAATCTAAGCAGATAAATAGAATATTGCACGTTCTTCACTTCAACGATGTAGTCAGCCTTATTAAATCTTCTAGTACCCTTAAAAGTTTGCTTAATAATTTTTCAAAATTGGCTTCTAAAAAGTTGTGGGGGTAAAGACCCTCAAACACCAACTCCGACCCCTGACTGCCTTGCAGAAATGAAATAATGTTCTGATTCGTGTGAGGATATTCAACGAAAGTTGATCATGTTGGCCACGTTTAGCAAATGCTTGGGAATTTGGCACAATAAGAGCAGTTCACGACTGGGGCAACAGGAACCGCACTCAGGGTGTTTAATCTAAGCAGATAAATAGAATATTGCACGTTCTTCACTTCAACGATGTAGTCAGCCTTATTAAATCTTCTAGTACCCCTAAAAGTTTGCTTAATAATTTTTCAAAATTGACTTCTAAAAAGTTGTGGGGGTAAAGACCCTCAAACACCAACCCCGACCCCTGACTGCCTTGCAGAAATGAAATAATGTTCTGATTCGTGTGAGGATATTCAACGAAAAATGAACATGTTGGCCACGTTTAGCAAAGGCTTGGGAATTTAGCACAATAAGAGCAGTTCACGACTGGGGCAACAGGAAACGGGTAGAAGTGGAATAAACAAAGGTCTATGACCGAGATATATATATCCCTATATACAGTAAAGCTAAAAATAACTAGCACACTATAATTCAAGTAACTAAAAAAGCATTGACTCGTTATCTTTCATAGGCGCTTCCTCAGGTTAACCGCGATTGTACGCTAAGTATCATTCCTAGGTGTCAGCACGTGTCCCAGTTTCCCAAAGATCATGGTATGCGAATCCATTTTGAGGGACCCCATTTTTATTACATTTTATACTTTTGAAATGATGAATATTAAAAATGCTACATTTTCCTGAAAAATTTCATTCAGCATTCGTGAAGGAACATGCCTCTGAAGCACATACCTAACTGTTTGTTGCATGATGCTGTTTAATGTAGTTGTCAGTGTGCAAGTCTCTGGCCGCCCGAAAACGATTTTTAGAAAGAATTGTTTGTCTGCTGTTGGAAGGTATCCATTGTTAGATGAATGGGCTCCGACATAGGTTGGAAAGTGTGTGGGGGGGGGGTGGTGGTGGTCAGAGGGAAATTTAACATCCATAACAAAAGATTAATTTAACATCCATAATAAAAAAGTCTTCGTCGGAGGCCCCGAGTTGGTCAATGTTGTTTAGTGTTTGTTGTTTGGATATCTCCTGTCATTAGAGGTCTACACTAATTTTTTTAACAAGAAACTGGCTATAAGAAACGAGTACTGGACAGTCAGAAAAAATTAAAAAAACTTCATAGACATGACATATAGCCTAAAAATCTGACATTCAAGCTAATGTTTGCTTTCTCAACGGATTCTTGTAGTAGAGAGTCCAGGCTTTCATAATCTGCCAGGTGACTTTTATGAAAATACCTGGGTGTCACGTGACTGATGACGTCATTTAACGGTAAAAAGTTAGACAAAATCATCGCTAGCTCTTTACTGGAGGGTTATTTTTTGACGCAAGTTACATAATTTGACTCGTCTCGTTGCAAGCTTTCAATTGATGTATTTTTAAGCATGATTTGTCGACATCAGTATTTTCATTATGACGTCATCAAAATTTTGCATGACATCATCAAAGATCTTATTGTCATAAAATGATACGTTGGCATAACTTTGTTTCATTATGACGCTGGATGTCAGCAAAAGCATTTCTTCCATAATCTTTGCAATCAAATAATTAGTATTTAGATCATTTAAATTAAATTTACTTGACAAGAGCATATAAAGCTAGAGAAATTAAATTCTGTATTGGGCTTGAACCTTCTTTTACCTGACAAGGCGTAAAGAACAAACAATAGATGACTTTACATAAAGTGAAACATTTTATCCAGGGGAAGGTTGTGGGGCTTACTGAACACTTCTCAAGTTGTTTGAAGGTGTCCGTTGTTTGTAGGTGAAGGTTGTTTGAAATGTCAGTTGCTTTCAGGTGTCGTTGTCTGGAAGTGTCCGTTGTTTGTAGGAGTCCGTTGTTTTGAAGTATTTGTGTTTTTGGGTGTCCGTTTTCTGGAGGGGTTCATTGTTTGTAGAAAAGCGTTGGCTTGAGGTGTCCGCATTCTGATCCCGGAGGTATTCGTTGTTTACAGTTGTCCGTTGTTTGAAAGTGTCCGTAATGGGAGTAGTTGACATTTCTAGGGATCTTCCCCCAGCCCAGCCGCAAGTTGTTTCTGCTGCGTATATTCCTGAGTGTGATGTACGGTGGATCAACAGACTACACTGTGTTAAGTAAAATTGGTGTAATGTTGTTCTAAACCTGCAATTTCCGCTTTGGTGTACCATATTAAGATTCATATTAAGATGCTAGCGTAGGTTGTAACTCTTACACTAAGAGCTGACGCAGAGTAACAACCAAATGAACACACCCTTCCTGAATCACCAGAGTCTCAGACCCCGTTTACACGGGAGAAACGGGATCGATCCATAAATTTGGCTTGCGTTTACACGAGATCGATCCCAAAACATTGTGTTTACATGGGATCGATCCCAAACCGGACCTTGGGGAGGAACGCATAACGCTTATGTCATTAGCAACACAAAGAAGATATCGTTGATAGCGCCAAATTTTTAGGAAGATTGACAACAAAATGGCAACAAAATCTAAATTCAAAAGTGGTAACAAAATGTTTATTTGGAGCGACAAATAAATGGCCCTACTCCTGAAGATCACGCTGGAGTACAAAACTTCGAAGTTAGCCGATGGCCAGGACTGGGAGCCTATTCGTTCTAAGTATGAGGACATCGATAAAAACTTTATAGCGGCCTATCCAAATGAGGAGGAAGAGGGTGAACCGTTTCCAACAGGCGACGCTGCCTCAATCTCTGTCAAGAATAAATCATTCCCATAAACCATTCAATAAAGTTGTAAAAGAATTCCTCCATATTGTTTTGTTTTTCTCTGCTGGTGGGCGCGAGGCGAGTAGGCGCGCAAAATCTGATAGAAAAAAAGCTCGAAGCACCATGTTCAAAGCACCTCCAATTCCCATCTTTTCGAGCGTTTACACGAGACGGGATCGATCCAGTTTGAGTGCAAACGTTTTTCAAAGCGAACCCAAATTGGCATGGATAGCGGATCGATCCCGAGCGATCCCGTGTAAACGGAAGGCCGGTCCGTACCAGTTTGGGATCGATCCCGTGTAAACGGGGTCTCACATTCTTAACGGTAAACGTCCAAATCCCAGTGATGTTTTCTTACTTTTTACTCAGTTTGCAAGCCCTTTTTGATGATAACATCAGATTTGAAAAACTTGAAGCGTACTGTGTTTCAGAATGATTTGAAGATAAAGATAAAGGTGAGAAACAATGAAAAAATCAAACCGTTGAATTCAATAATCTATTCACAGAACTTTCTGCACATTGACACTGATGAACAAAATGAGAAAAAAGAAAGCTATGGGTTTACCTATAATCAACAACAGACTATCTTACTAACTTTATCGGGGTCCTCTAGGGATACCCCCTGGGGGTGGTGCTTCCATATTTGCCTTGGGGTTCTTCACAGTCTCGTCTACTGACAAAACCAAACAACATGCTTCCGAGGCTGCAGTGATTGCGTTGATCTTTACGACGGCGGGCTCCCACACAAATGCTTCGAAGTTGTCAGAAATGTCCTCTTTGTTCACATCGACACCATACCAGATTCCACCTGAAAAAACCAAAAGAGAAATATTGTAACAAGCTTACTCTCGAAATTTCAGTACCAAGCAAGCTCTACCCACACAGCTTACTGCTTCGCCACGTCACCAACTACCGCGTTCCATAGCCTACTTTTGCGTAATCGTAATGGCTTGTTTCGTGCCAACTTCCCGTTCTACTGCTCCTTTTACAGATTCAAGATCTTCATTCCAAAGCAACAGATTGAAAAAGATTAAAACGGAACACGTTTCAAAACAATTGCAACAGAAAACTTTCTTTTCTTTATGCACTTCAATTTCAAAGCACAACAAGAAACTAAAATCGACAAAAAAAACAAAAATCTGTTGTATTATTTTCAACTTCAGCGGATAAACTCTGAAGTGATAAATTTTCTTATAAAAAATCCTTGAGGCACGTTAGGTTAGTCGATCTTACTAAACATCCCCCGAGTGCGTGAGATATGGGGTACGCACTGCTATCTAAGAAAATGCTTATAAGAAATACTAATACCTCAAGGAATTATATATAATATATATAATACATATATATATATATAATTTATATTTCATATATATATAATTCAAATTCTCCACATACAATTCAAAATTCTACAGTACATACAAATAACTGAACTACATAGATACATGTTATTGAAACATTATGCCCCTCCCTCACTGTGCCCCCATCTCTGAAATTCTACTGACGGTTCGGGTTAAGCTAATAATAGTTTGCTGGAAACTAAAATATAAATGAAATAATGATAACTATTTTTTTCAAATAAACACCCTTTTTTATAAAAGCAACACACATCGATTCTACTGGTTCATGTTACTTTAAATAACCTGCTGTTAAGTTAAGCTTAATATGCTAATTTTCAACTTCACAGGGATTTTGATTATTACTGCTTACTAATTATAGATCATTATTGTCATCAAGCTAAAAATATATCCTTTATACGACCTGGTTATAAGAGCAACCAATAACAAGCTGTTAGAATTTCCTCCTGACCAAACGAAATATTAGCAGCGGGCTGGCCCGGTTGTGAGTGCTGGTCGGGTCAACCAGGCTACAAATTCCTCACAATTATATTGATTACACCAGCCCGGCCTGTAAATTAGCGGTAAAAATTTTGGAGGGAAAATTGATATTAAAAATGGCCGCAAAGCTCGTCAAAAAACCGTTTTCAGCTAAAAGTCTTGGTTGTTCTAATGTCTTTTCTTCGGCTTTATGATTTGATTTATGTTATCACGCCCGATAGCGCATGAGTCGTTCAAATTCGCATCCAGCATTGCCTGGCTGGCCCGGTTTGAATGGATTACATGAGAAAAACATTAAATTGCAGCCCGCTTTGCCGGGCTAAGAGTAAGCAGAAGGCGGGATCCCGGGCTACCCGTTTCCCAAGTAATCGAAAGTTTGCTAAACACAATGCATGCTATTGATACCGGGATTCCACCAAAAATATTCCTTCTCGGTAAACCGGGCCAGCCCGCTATCAACCATCTCAAAGACCAACCAAAATATCATTTTTAATGTCAAACTTTTCAATTGTAGAATAAACGCCCGTTCTATTTAGCGCCGCACCATATTTTATACAACTTTGATAAATGACTATGCGTTTTTTGGAGGAAGTACAGCAAGTCTGCCTTCTTTTGCCAAGTCGACAAGACTTTTTAGCAACATTTGTCGGTGTTGTTATATTAAGCATCCGGTCCTTGTGCTAGCATGCCGGTTAACGGCAACTCTGTCATACCACAAAAACTTCCTGTTAATGTACCTAAGAGAAAATCAAAATGAAACTCGCCAATACGATCTGTTTCTGTTCATAAAACGTACTTTTAAACAATTCTTTTAATTCACTGACAATGTTAAAAACCGCAGACAGCGCTTATACAGACTCGACATCAATTTCTGGGCCAAGTTATGCAATAAAACATTTCCTTTCATGTACATGTAGGGCTGGTTTAACCAAATACAAAGCTACAGGCAACCACAGTAGACATTACTCAGCAACTCCTACATGCTTACAGGACGTTGAGGGGAGATCAACTACCCTATTTTGAGATAAAAATTTCTTTCAAGGGAATTTTTGAAACCATCACTTAAGACGAGAGACCGGGACCCAGACTGTTTATTAACAATTTTCTGATAAAATACAATCCTTATTCGTAAAACCGAATCCCTGTACATAACGCAAATACATGTTTCTGCAAATATCTATATGTTTTCATAGCTGTATGCCGCATTCTGCCATATTTTTCTTTAATATAATACTAGTTGTTGCATCAAAGACAACCTGAATGTTCTCTGTATCTGTTGCACAAGTATAATGAGTATAAATGTCCTTGCCACTCTCACGACTTTTGACGGCAAAGAACTTTGATTTTATAAACTCCCCAGCTTCTTCCTTTTCATCAGCGCCGGCATATTCTGGAAAACAGATACTCAACGGAGATTTGGTGATCTTCTCAGCGAAAAGGTCTTTCTTATTCAGGAAGAGGATCATGGGTGTTTTTATGAACCATTCACTGTTGCATATAACCTCGAAAACCTTGATGCTCTCTATCAGCATATTTGTTTTTTCGTCTTCTGCAAGAGCCTGGTCATAACAACTCAAGGCAGCACAAAAAATAATCGCTGTCACATTTTCAAAGCAATGAATCCACTTTCGTCTCTCAGATCTCTGTCCACCAACATCGAACATATTGAAATGCAACCCTTTGTAGGTAAACCTTGTCTGGACTATCCCAGTAGTTCTTAACCGTGATCTTAAAATGTCTTGTTCAGTCGGAATGTAGTTAGGAGCTCGAATTCTCCCAAGATCAGATAAATAATAGCCAGCAGAATCGTTCAGCTGATATTCCCGGGATCGACTGAAGCAGGCCTTTACTCCTTCGTCAGCCCAAAGATTCTCGAGAGCATTGAAAACTTCCTCTGTCAGGCAACCATCCTCGCAATCATCAAGCAACGATAACAGTTTTTGCTGGTCGTGTTCACGCTCAGAGTCTGTAAATTCGATACCCAGTCGAGGCATGGCTTTCACTATGGCTAACATAGATTGTATAATATTGGCGAAGACAACCGACTTGTAACCAATGCTTTCATCTGGCGTGAAACCGTTATCGTGAATAATTTTCATTTGCTTCACGATCGTGCTTTTGCCAGATGCTCCTGTTCCCAATAACAATAGTTTAATTTCCTTTGATGCCATTTTTCCAGATGCCTTCAACTCTTTAGTAATTGTTCTGTCCCTCTCTTTTGCCAGAGTTTCTTCCTGGCTTGATGTGCACCCCATGATTGCCGATTCTCGAGTACCAAAGAATACAAGTAAACTGCTGATTCTCGTCGCGCACTTTCATGCTAACCCTATCCACAGATACACCAACGTCATTTCTTTCCGAGTACTCCTTACCGGATCCTTTTTCACTTTCCATATATGTCAAAGAATGACATATTGTAACTTCCGTGTCCATGCTACTCCCCCTGGTTTCTACTCCCGTCATGGAAAAAACAAAAGTTTCAGAGCCTCTTGTTGAGCAGGCCTCTATTGCTTCCAAACAAGTTCAAGTTTGGGATTGCGGGACAAGTCGATTGGAAAAACGAGAGATTCCGTCCATTTTCAAGGTTAGCTTAGAGGAAAATTTAGGCCCCTGAAATTCCGACAAAAGTTTCAAAATAAGACTAATACCAACATAGGTGCAGACTTAAGGGGGCTCTAGGACTTTAGCTCCTACTGACGAAAAAACATTTTATGGGAGGGAGGGGGGAGTAGGCTCAAGCCCCCCCCCCTGGGAAATAAGGATGTTGGCTATTGATTTGTTAAACTAACTTTCCATCTTCCTGGTTTCACAGATAAAAACCATCTCACTAAATTACACTCCTTCGGTTAGACACTAATTGGATTTTGATGCCACACCCCTCAGGTCACTTTGAACATGGGCGTTTCCATCATTCAGGTCTATTTCAAGATATAGAGTGAAAATCGTATTTGATTTGCTTTCCAAAAAAATCAAATAGACAAAAAATTTAGTTCTTGATGAAGATTGAACCTTGCATTATTTAGTTATTTTCTAATTTCAGCGATTTTGAGCCTTGATACTCTTATAGACTATATTCTTATATAAAAAGTGTTTATTAGGAAACAGGTAATTTATGTTCTTGTCTTTTTAATTAAATATTAAATTTGAGGTACGGGTTTTCAGCATTGATTATACTTTAAACTGCATACTATAAATTATAAGACCACTTAATAAAACTTCTATGTAAAATCTAAATAATTTCTCGAGATTGTAATTTTTATCAACAGCAGAGTAAATTTTATAAAACATGTCCGTTCGTTGCTCTTGTTTTTCTAGCAAATCGAGCCTAGGCGTGTTCTTGTAAAAAGCGTTCAATCTGATTCATACAAAAATTGACAAAAACTGTTAACACGTAGGCGAAGCGCTGAGTGCCCCCGGATTGACAAACAAAAGAGTGTGGACAGGATCTTGGGCAACCAAAGGCTTCTAAAAATACCGCCCACTCGAACAATTAGCCACTGTGACAAGAATAACAGCTGGAGACCTGGATACTAAATTGACAAAGGGAGGGACAAGTAACGCGGAAGCTAACTCTTGGTGAATTATTTAGTCGGTAGCATGTTGATGTAATGATTAGCATACACTGATCCGTAAGAAAACGGCCAAAATCTTTGCGAAAATATACGGAAAGAACGCAAAGTTTTATGATAAGTGAAAAAGAAACTGAAAAATTGGGCAAGTAAGCCTGTATCGATTGACTGGCGGTTGAATCCCAAAGCTCTAGGCCATGGGGTGCTCACAGAGCCAGGAAGATAAAACTGCTGCCGTGCGAAGTAAAATGATCGACAAGAACTTGAAGCAAGATGGCGTTAAAGCTTCAAGGGAAGTAAAACTGCTGTTGTTAGGAGCTGGTGAGTCGGGGAAAAGTACAATAGTGAAACAAATGAAAATTATTCACGAAAATGGATTCTCCCCAGAAGAATGCATTCAGTTCAAGCCAGTAGTATTTACCAATATCGTACAGTCGATTCAAGCGATAGTGAAAGCAATGGAGCCACTTAAAATAGAATTTGGAGATCCTGCACGAGAAGAAGACCAGAGAAAGTTGCCGTCCTTGGCTGGTTCTGCAGAAGATGGAGTCTTGAGCGAAGAGCTGGTCGCCGTCGTAAAAAGGTTGTGGGCAGACGAGGGCGTGCAGGCTTGTTTTGCGCGAGCAAGGGAATACCAACTGAATGATTCTGCCGGCTATTATTTATCAGAAATAGACAGAATTAGCGCTGCAGATTACACGCCGACGGAGCAGGATATTTTGAGAACACGCGTAAAGACGACTGGCATCGTGGAAACAAACTTCGAGTACAAGAACCTGCAGTTTAAAATGTTCGATGTTGGAGGTCAGAGATCGGAGAGAAAGAAGTGGATTCACTGCTTTGAGGACGTGACAGCAATCATATTTTGCGTAGCCCTGAGTGCCTATGATCTGGTTCTTGCTGAAGATGAAGAAACTAACCGTATGGTTGAAAGCATGAAGCTGTTTGACTCCATCTGCAACAGCAAGTGGTTCCTGAAGACGTCAATTATGCTGTTTTTGAACAAGAAGGACCTTTTTGCTGACAAGATCAACACGTCACCACTGACAATATGCTTTCCGGAGTACACTGGAGCTAATACCGAGCAGGAGGCTGGGGAATTCATCAGGATGCAGTTCATGAATTTGAAAAGCCAGAAAGCTGACAAAGAGATCTACACGCATTTCACTTGTGCCACCGACACCGGTAACATCCAGGTCGTTTTCGACATGGCCACCGACATCATCATTAAGGACAACTTGAGACAAGTAGGCCTGTTCTGAGAAATTCAATATTTTGATTACTGCCAAACCATGCTTCGCTAGCTCCAAGCAGCAAGTCGTCCAGGAGTCTGACCATCAATGGTGAACGTTAATCTACTTTGACCGCAGCTATCTGCAAACGATTCACTTAAAGATACGTTTTCATTGTTAAAATTCCAACAAAATCATCTCACAAAGTTTAAATTACAGACGCTTATAATTGAACAGTATGAAAATCATAATTATCCTAGAGAGAAAATTTGATCAATGCATACCAGCAAGGACAAATTTCATCAAGCGACGTGAAGTCTTCAAGTAGAGACAATTTTGCTGAATTTCATAAAAATATACAAGCATTGTTTATAAATTATAACGAGCATATTGGAGTTGATGTTTAATAGAAAAAGCTGGGATATAGATATAAAGATATTTAATATAGCAAAATTTATGTGTGGATGGACTATTTGTCTCCTAAAGAAGTCTCTCTCAAGTTATGTTCGGACGTCTCCACCCAAAAGTAAACCTTTTTTGACTGTTTATCAGGGTGTAATTGTTCATCAAATTTAAATACGATTGAAGTTTAAAAAATAAGAAACCTTAATCACTGTTTAGTCTTCTTAGCCTGCAAATACGTTTTGTTCTCTTTCTGTGGAAACCCAAGAACCGCGAGTACCACGCATAGCTTCTGTCAAACATGTCCCTTTATTCGATTTAACTGATTAATCAAGGAACATTACCTATGCAAAATCCATTGAGAAAATATGGCAATAAGCACCAGAGTGCAAAAACAAGGACTTTGTTATCACCTGGGAAATACTGAAGGCCCAGAGACAAAACCCGTGGGGCTTGGGGGTTCTCAAGTTGACAGGGGGTGTTTTCAGCCTTCTATCGAGTGGGGGACATGAACATATCTAGATACATGGTAGAGAAAGCTTTAAAAATAACTACAAAGCCGAGAGCAGCCATGTTTGTAAAAGTAGTGAATTGTGACAAAAAGCATACATAAAATCATTGCAAACTGGAATTTTTCAAAGTTGAGAGTTTTGTGATATTCGCCTTGTGAACCTTGTTAGTTTTGTGACATTCATGTTTACTTCATTAGGGGGCGAAGATTTTGCATTGGCTAGCAGCCTTTGGTCCCTTGAATTTTTCCATTTTACAAAGGTCCCTTGAATTTCTCCAAAATATTAAGTATGTTTTTCTCTGGCACACGAACTGTTCCTATATTTGCACAGCAAGGCAGGCGTCACAATATAATGGTTCAGGAAATAACAACAGAAATCTCCTTGGGTTTGGAAATGATCAATGTCACTTGACTTGACAGATACAAGTGAAAGGCACATTGCATGTCCAATGGTGTATATGTAGAATATAGGATGCGGCGAAGACTCTCTCAAGCAAGATATGGGGGGGGGCTTGTCTAATTTCCAGTCCTAGACGGGGGCTTAAAAGAGAGGGGGGGGCTTATTAATTTTCCAATGCAAACAATCTTATAAAAATCCCCTATGCATTTTTTGTTATTCAAATGTCATACAAATGTTCAGGGGCACCGACCCTGGAGGGGCTGCAGGGGCAGCTGCCCCTCCTGCCCTCTTCCAGGAGGTCTTTGATAAAGGAAAAGTACATTTCAGAAAACGATAATAAACTTCAAAAACCAATGGCGTCTTATAAGATACTGACTTTTTTGCCCATGTGTCAGAACGCTTATTTCATGCCTTGATATATACATAGAAACATGCTGACGTAAACAATTATTTGATTTACTTCTGTTTCTTTTGATAATTATTTAAAATTCTACTATTTTCCCACAACACCAACACTGCCCCTCCTGCCTTAGGCCCCGTTCACATTGCTCCGGATTCCAATGAAAACGGATAAAAAAGTATCCGTTTTCACCTTGCGTTCACACTGCTCCACCTTGAAAACGGAGACTTTTGAAAACGCACTTTTAAAACGGAGACTTTTGAAAACGGAGACTTTCGAAAACGCAAAACGCAGTGTGAACACCGAAAACGGATACTTTTGAAAACGATAACAACAACAACAGCACATCAAGATGCTTAGACCACGCTAATTTGGACAATATCTCTTGACATGGTTGATTCACTCGAAGTTAGTACACTACTTCTTGGAGGAATATTATTGGCAGTGAGTTGTTTGAAAAGTTTATTAGCAGTCGCAAGGTCTGTAAACCAGTTCGTGGCGTTTTCCTTTTTATCCAGAGCGGAGCAATGTAAACGCTTCATCGTTTTCACACCGTTATCAAATGTATCCGGAGCATTGTAAACAGGTAAAACGGATCGATATGAAAACGGATAAAAACGAATACGGAGCAATGTGAACATAGCCTTAATCTTGTGCAGGCGTCCCTGCAAATGTCCTCAAAGAACTTTGATAACAGCTTCGAAAGTGAAATTTATCAATTAAAATGTCATCATCTTCTTGTGTCACCAGGATCATTGATAATGAACGATCTTCTCATCATCACACACGTCAAGAGACCCACTAAATGCGTGTGTTTCTTTGTATGGAGAGGGGGGCTTATTTAAAATTTCCTCTTGATAAGGGGGCTTAATAGAGAGGGGGCTTAAATTAATAGAGAGGGGGCTTAATAGAGAGAGGGCGTATTAGAGAGAGAGGGCATAATAGAGAGGGGGCTTAATAGAGAGGGGGTTTAATAGAGAGGGGGTTTAATAGAGAGGGGGCTTAATAGAGAGGGGGCTTAATAGAGAGGGGGCTTAATAGACTGAGGGCTTAATAGAGAGAGGGCTTAATAGAGCTTTTACGGTAAATACAAGATCTCCATACAAATGTGATGGCTGTGTAATAAAGGGGAAAACTATATCATTTTAATAAAAAAAAAATCTAACTGATTCACAACTTGTTCGAAGACAGTAAAATCGGGCAGACATTGTGTTTGGGAGAGCGTAGAGGAAGGGAAAAGAAAAACGGGAAAGTCTTTGAACGAGTGAGCCATCACAATTTTGAAGGTTTTGTAAAAGTGAGAGTGGTTAAGTGGTTTCAATGCTCGCCCCTCTCGCATTACATAAAAAATTATGGACTTTAGTGAAAGTAATGTCGTAAAAAGTATTTCTTAAACGAAAGGGATCAAAAGTCACAGAGTTGAGAGAACCCGTCACCTTTCCTCCCGATAAAATTTCGCCTTATTTGCCCCCCTCAGAAATTTCCTTGTACCTTTTCAATAAAAGTTTCATATTAAGTGAAATTATCTATGGTTAGGACTTTACGCTTTGTTAGGAAAAAAGAAATGCTCAAAGCAAAAACGGTAAATTCCTCTCACTTTATATACTTTTATTAAGTTATGCATTGGCCTTATTGAAAGCAACCACAATGCCTGCCAAGTCTTGGAACACTGACGTCAGTTTCCAAAGTCAAGATCAATCACCCCCTCTCCCCCACGGAACAATGTTTGTTTACTATGAAACAGGTTAGGATTTTAGGAAGCACTGTCTTTTGCGTTTCTTTCATGGTAATTTTCTAATTATCCACATTGCTATTATCCACATTCTCTAATTTTTTTCGGAAAAGGAATCAAAGATATAAAATTCAACGCAAATTGCTGGGTGTTCCAAGTTCTTTTGGCAGGGATTGTACATTTTAACATAACTTTCCTCCGTCCCACAGCCGTGGAGCCGTAATATTTTTTATATTTGATAAAATAGAGGAGAAATCTGTTATTGAGATCAGAAACATTTGTTACTGAGCTTCTTAATCATGAAAGCTTCAGAAAATAACACATTCTAGCACAATGCAAGCTTGACGAGTGTACCGCAAACTTTTGCTTGAAAGTCACGCTTTCTTGTTTGCTCAAAATACCCAGATAAATAAGAAGTCATCAACTGTCGATGAAATTCCAGCTTGGCAATTACTCTTAATAAATTCTCATATTTTACCGATTCCGATCCTTGATATCGTTTTAAAAATTGCTCTTTTAAAGAAAATTGTTGGATTACCAGTAAAGTAGAATTTTTGGACTAACCCTGCAAAAAGGTGTCGATGCTAATGCCCATAGAGTACCGAAGTGTGACGTCACCAAAAATCTATCTTTAGAATTTCTAAAATTTGGCCGCATAAGCTGAAAGAACGGCATAAAATATCTCTTATTGTGCAAAATTAGTTAGATATGTTCCAAGCTGGGCGAGGTATGGCCAATAAAAGATTTCAAGTTTGCTAACGGATTACTGTTGTTCTGGCCTGGTTCATTAACTTATGAACCAAGACCAAATTACAGAGGTTTGATGATGCAAGAGCCTGTCCTTATGTGGCCATATCTAAGCCAAACCGTGATGCCTTTAACTGATTTTGCATGCTAAGAGGTATTTCATGATGCTCTTTTAGGTTCTGAGATCAAAATTCAGAAATTCTTAAAATAGATTTTTATGACGTCATCACGTCGGTACTCTATTGAAATGTTAATGGTTGGTGTTCGAATTATTAAAGTCCTGGACAAAATAAGGCCTGGTATCAAGTGGACGCAACCAAATTATATTGAATCAATATTGAAAAACCATTGATGTTGCTCGTTGGAAGAGCACTGCATTCAAAATTACAAAAATACATTTCCTATCAATAAGATAAAAACTGACCCAAAGGCCAAGCAAAATCTGTGATTTGATCCTTTGAGGCGAAAATTGAGTCAACAATTTAAGTCTCCTGTTGGGTTCTACTTATTGAAGAACAAACAGACTGAGGATAAACATTTGCAAAGTTGATTTGAGAATCAAATACACTTACAGCAAACGTTGATGCAGAAATTGATTTTATGTACAAGGCAGGAGCCATTAACTGAGTTAATGAAAATAGTCGTATAGAATGAAGGCTGTTTACATGGAGTTTTGGGGAAAAAGTGGAAGTCGAATTTGGCAAGGCATTCTTAAGAACATACAAATATTCTTTCTGAGAAAATTTGACAAAGAAACATTGTTGTACCTGATGGGTTTTTTGATAAGTGGGACTTTAGGTAAAACATTCCGCTGAAAAGTTTTAAAATAAATGAACTGATATAAGCAAATAGGCAAACAATAAAAAATCAAGAGGAGCTTATGAGAAAACAATCTTTGCAAAGTTTATCATCACCGATGCAAATCAAGAAAAGAATCATATCTTCAACTCTTCTGGCTTTCATTTGACTAATTGAAATGTTTTTCAACTTTTGTCTGTACATTTGCCTTTCTTTCAAAGTTTCTTTCAAACATGTGCGAAATTTACCAAAATTAGTTTTGCAATAGATGCTAGAATAAAGGTGTTCGCGCTAGTGGTTCAGCTTTTCAAACCCCAAATGAAAATTTGCCAAAAAGGAGCTTTCGAACAAAAAATAAAAAAGATACAACAATTAGATTCATCGATGGGTTTGAGTGTATGCGACGAGTAATTGTATTTGGACAGTTCAAGCGATTATCAATGGAGGCTATTTAAAAGCAACTAAACAAACGGAAAAGTACAAAAAAATCCGCTTTAATTTAAGAAAATATTTTATGAACCACGCTTTTATTCTTTGATATGCAGTAAGTTACTGCGTATAATGCCATTAAGATAGTGCGCCATGATCATGCCATTAAAGCAGCCAAAGAAGTTCGACAAAAAACGCTTCTTAAGAGTCTACAAGCTTTTCTACAAGAGCACTTGGCTCAAGTTTCAGCCTGGCGTTTCTTATTTTTTCGCATAATTCCAATCTCGCGTATTTCTTATTTTTTTTCTTAATCTTGTAATCGAATTTCCTGTACATTGCAGTGTTTGGACGTAAAATGTGCTTGATAAAACGATTACTGCTTTTTTGCTTATCGCTTTCTGCTATTCTGTTGCTATTCCTTTATTCTTCAATTCCTGCTGGTATTTTATTTCTTGAGTTTTGTTGAATTTCAGCCTGCCTTGTTTCTTATGTTGCTCTTATTTCGAACCTCAGCCTGATGTTTCTTATAAGGGTTGTCTTTAAAAAAGCATCGAACAAGTAGCAACTACAACCGCTATTTTTCTACATTTTTCTACATAAGGTTTATTTGCTTAGATATGCAAAACCCTGAAAAGCCCTCGGACAAAGCACTATTCTAACAAAGCACTGGTGAGTAAGAGTAGATGTATGTATACTGAAAGACGAGCCGAACCCGCCAAATCATTTTGATGATGTTCAATATATCTTTCGTTCGCAGCTGTTTTTAGACTTGTTGGATGCCAAGCTTGGTGATAAGAAATCAAAAGTCAAGCAAGGCGCTAAAAGCATTTGCCCATTCGATTCCAAATTCTCGACCGCGTTGCTCCAGATTTTTGTTACTTATATTTGCTTTGGAACAATGCATGCTTTGTAGCTCGGTAAGCTGCTAAAATTTCAAGGTGAATTGTCATTTGATCACTCATTTTGTGGATGCACAGAAACGTTTGTGGTTAGCCAGCTGTCTGACCTGGCCTAAAAGTCTGCTATTGTTATGTCTTTTTACACAAAATTAATTCCTACATTTTCACAAAGGTCAATTTTATGAACGAGCATTCATCACAATTGTGCTTGTGGCAGAGGCACACTGGGTGCTGTGGGGGCAGGTGGATGCAGGGGAGCTACAACTCATTACCCCTAGCGCCATATTTGACGAAACTTTGTGATTCGCCACTATTTTTTTTTAGAAATTTTTCAGGATTTTTCAGATGTTAAGCCTATCGAAATTTCCTACTGGGGAAATTTTGGGAAAAATATTTGTCTTTTCTACTGAAGATATAATCCACAATGGAAACCTGGCTGGTCGCTATTAAGTTTTGCGCTTTCATAGTAAACTTAGGGCAATTTTAACCGCCTCGAGTCAATGCAAAATTTGCTCGTGCCCTTACATCGGAACTGTAACCACGACACATCTATTTCTGCTGTAACCATGCCAACAGGACCAGTTCAAGAAAGCAAACCTATACAAAACTGATCAAGTTCTGCTACGCAGCCTCTACATTGGGACGAGGTGAACGCTGACGGTTGTGGCTTCGTTCTGCCCTGTTGAACCGTTTTATAATTATAGCATAACCCTATCGTTCTAATAGGGGCCCTTTAAAAACTAAGCCACAGAGGCCAACGATAGAAAATCGGTGCTTACCTGACGCGTGCTTTTGACGCAGCTTGTTCAGGACAATAGTCGAATCAAAGCCAGCATTATCGCAAAGCTGCCTTGGAATTACTTCAAATGCCTTAGCCATGGCAGCTATAAGCAATTGCTCCTTGCCAGCAATCGTTCTAGAGTGCTCTCTCAAATATCGACTGAGTTCCATCTCGATGGCACCACCTCCTGCCACCACAGCATCGTTCTAGAATATAACAAATTTATTTTAATAATTTGACACAAAAATTACTTAATGTTTCGACACAAGAATCAATTCTTGTCGGGTAAGTTTAATTAAAGACAGTGAAAACTTTTTTGTTCATGGGGTCATGGGGTCAAGACGTAGGCCTACTCTTTAAAAAAACTAGTAAACTTCGATCAAGGGGCTTAGCCTTTGAGTTGAAATAGCAGAAATTTGAAAAAATTACTCGAGATTTGGTTTTGCAGAAGAATTAATCAGTAATCCTTTAATCACAACTTGTATTGATGAATTGGTCAGTTTTCATTCATTGCAAAGTAACTGATGGCCAAGGATATTTGAAAATCATTAAATTTCTTGAAATATTTTGAATAACCAAAGTATCAAACTTTACATGGCCACAGTGGAGAGTAAGGAGCGCTGGAAGTTTGAAAGAATCCTCATAGATACTATATAAATAGTTAATCTGCCTAATCTAAGTTGAACAATTTCAAGAAAAAGCTTTTAGAATTAGGCAGGTAAAGAAAATGGGCTTAAGAGCAAGTTTCCTTTACAACTGACCTTAAGAGCTCTTCTGACGATCATGATAGCATCGTGAAGGGATCGTTCTGTCTCTTCCATGAACTGTTCTGCTCCACCTCGTAAAATGAACGTGCATGTCTTTGCATTAGGGCATCCTTTGAACATGTTGAACCTAGATCAAAAGCAAGAGAGTTTACAGAACAGAGAAATGCAAAACGGAAATGCTGCGGATTTTCTTACCCGAGTTCATGTTTTTTATAACATCACAAAGAAATATGTGTTATCGCTATTTAACTAGCTATGATGGTTTTTAAGACAGAGATTGTAAATTGAGGATTAAAAGACTAATCAGAAGCAAACACGTGTTTTATAACTAAATCATCCGATTATGACTTACCAGGGTCGGTTGGAAGGATGGACAAGAAGGCATTCAAAAGGTATGTGGCCGTCTCAGAGAACACATCATAATGAGGTTAAGGCGAAAAAAAACTTTTTTTTAACTTTTCTTTGCATCAAAAAGGAATTCGTGCTTGCCGGGGGCTTTTATTCGGAAGTGAGCTTATGTTCCAGAAATGGACAGCTTACATTGTGGGAGAGGGGGGGGGGTTGGGTGGCGAAATTCGGAATATTAAGAAAGTTAACTGCTCAACCTTTAATAATCAATCATTAATACATAACAATTTGGCACAATAAATACTACAACACACCCTTTCCTTTAAACAAACACATTTGGTTCAACCACACACAACTGACATGATGATGTGGCTTCGCCACTTTTTATATTCACTAGATGTTTTGTTAGCCAGAGATGAGTAAAGAAATCCAGTGGATTCGTTGTCATTGATACACTTTTTAGCCCGTTTACTTATGCACTGATGAAGCTCCGTACGCCGGGGCGAAATACTAGCAACAGGTTATTTACGTGTGTTTATTGTTGTTGGCTCTCGGCGCGTTGCGTTGCTAAATTTTTATCGACTTCTCGCTGCAAGGACTCTATTTAAATCTGTCAAGCAGCTTGCTGTTGTGAAAGTGCATTTATTTACATAATATAGATAGGTTTCTTATTTGTTGGTCACCTCGTTGCTTGGCGTGCAGGTGACAGAGTGCGGAGGCTACAGGGGTACTTTTGGATTAGGGGCAGAAAGAGCAATGAACATTTTTGTAGACACTTTTCTACATGTTTCCAACTTCTGAAAAGGAAGTTACATTTGAAAATTTGAACTTCTCTTGCTGGTCTTGGATCCATCAATATTGCTTAACTTAAAACAGAAAGAGAACTATCTTAATATCTTTTTTGCTAAAATAGTTTGTTTCAAATAGAAATGGATAGCTCTTGTGACAATCTCAATCTCAAAGGCGGTCTAGTGTCTTCCTCGTCTTACAGAGATATTGAGACTAAACTTAATGTCAAAGAAAAACGGTTTAAGATTGGTAGAAAGAAAATTATGAATAACAACCCTTGGAAATGTGGTGCACTGTGTCTTCTGTTTTAAGGGTGAAAGGGTAATGATTGAAAATCGGATCGAGAAAATCGCTTAAAACATTTTCATATTTTTAGAGAAGTATATATAAACATAAACTAACATTTTTGAATCAAAAACATTATCAAAATCTTTTGGATGATTATTACTATAATTTTTTTGTAAGATAAATAGGACATGAAATATAATGTATAAGATAATTGATCTCAGATTAATGAAGTGAATCCACAAGAGTTTTCAGAATGTGAACAGCATTTCAAATCATCATTGATCACTCTTGGGTAAAGATTTGTACAAAGATTTACGACGCATGCATTAAGATTTTCTATTTCCGCGAGCTTCTACATCAGAAAAATTATAGACTTTTGAAGTAAACCAGTGTTACTCTCCGATACACAATCCTCTAACTAGCTGTGAAGCCTTGTAAAATCACGTGATTCTTATTGTGAATTAGGCAATCAAAACGGTTTCACACAAGGCTTATCTTAACGGAAAGCAAAAGTTGCTTAATTTTGGCCCGGGACTGTTTCCAGCTCCCTCTGTTCTGAATAGTCCACTGCAACAATAACCTAATAGCCTTATAGAGACTTCAGGGTATTACAGGTTTTAGGGAATCATATATATCACCATCGAATAAAGAGGAGGCTTTCCAAATCTTGGAGAAAAGACCTATATATAAACAAAAAATATCCCACAGAAAACGTTTCTGCTTCGGAAATACAGTCAATGTGAAACCAAACATGAAGGGAAAAGTACTAATGACGGCACTATCTAGAGTCTTATGGGAACGTTAAAGCCTCCACCAACCCCCACCTCCACCCTTTATAAAGCTAACAAAATAGTTTCACATATTGCCATTCGCAATCCAATAGAACTTGAAGAACCTGGTAACATAAAATATTGAGCATGCCTGGCAGAGCTGCGGAATTGAAGCTCACGAAAACAACGAAAAGTTATGATATACTTGGGGCGATTGTTATCTTAGTGCAATTTGCATGGGTGATTCTGCAAGGAAGCAACAAATGACTTAACTTTATATTAACTAACAAACATTAAAAGGGCCATATAGGAAAGCCTGTATGTCTTATCGATTACTCGAGCTGGCCAGGCTAAAGGTGACACAGTTCTCTGGGACTATTAGCCTTTTATCTGTTTTACAACGATCTGATGGAGCAAAAAAATTGAATGAACTAAGCTACCTATCTCCTCCAATTTGCACTTCCTCGAAGTCGCCGCATGTTCCTAGGACACTGTCATTCCAATTTTGGGCAGATGTTTGGATCGATCCACCACACGCTTTCATTGTTCGCTTCAAATCTTCTTCAGTTACTCTTCCTGCACAGAATATGTCCCTGAGATGAAAGATTTTATCATTGACAAAATATTCAACAGTGTAACTCGTAAAGGCCGGGGGGGGGGGGAGCGAGATTGCTGGCTAAGAACCTAACTGTATAAGGGCCTAAGGAAATGATCTGATTTTAGGTCCAAAATGAGTTACGGCTGCAGCAGGTATATGCTACTGCATTATCTTTTGTGAAAAAGACCCATTTTTGGGAGTTTCCAGATCTTGGTACAAAGTCATTTATACAATTGGTCTACCGAGCGAGAAAGTGGCAAGGGCAAGATGTGTGGAAATAAAGAACAAAAATAATAACACAGAGAATGCCAACATTGTTCAGACATGTTCGAAGGTTGGCATTTGTAGTTGGTAGAAAGCAAGAAGATTTGATAAAGCACGAAAGTAACAAAACAGAAGGATATGAAAACTACACATCAAGATCATTCATACAAAGACATTTTTGAACAACCGAAATGCCACATTAACAGCTTGCCTTGTACAAAAAACTACCCACTTTTTATTGATCCGGTTTCATGATATTATGCTGTTATCTTATTGGCAAGTGGTTTGCAACCTAATGCAAATTCACATGAAAATGGGATTTTGATCCACAATTAATTTCAGGTTGCAGTTGATTGCTTATTAAAAGTTGCAACAAGTCGCATGCCCGTTTACACATGCAACTTTTTGGTCTCTTCACGTTGCATGAAGTTGCAGTAAACTGTGTTTAAAGGCAAAGTCATGATTTTGAGACGAGGGTTTCTATTTTAGTTGATAGAACACAAGGCAATGTTTTGAAAATTGTCAACAAAGAAGAGAGGGATGTTTGCTAGTGGTGTGGAGCACCGGAAACCGTTGTTTGAACACAGGCAAAAATAGAAACTTTCGCCTACATACTGACCTTTTTCCCTTTGAAAAAGGAATACAAAAACACGAAAGCGGCCAGGGAAAAGGAACTAGAAACCATACTAAAAAACCATAGAAACACAAAAGTCACAAATTATTACAGATTGTCTTTTTTGGACAACATTCAGTGTTAATTCCGCCGAGAAACGGACTACAAAGAAGAGGAACACCGAGGGGTTTTATCCAAACTTTCTTAGTTCTTCAACTTATCTTGTTTCGTATATAGAATGCGGATAGAAACATAATCCATAATCCATCCAAAGCGGATAGAAACATAATCCAATGCGGATAGAAACATAATCAATGACGTAACACCGAAGTAGAAGGCTACAATAGTTAAAAGAAAAATAGAGTCCTGTATACGTTCGGTACGTTTTGGAAGTGCATGTTTGAAAGTGCACTTGCTTTAGACCGGAGGCCACGACAAGTTAAGTTGATCAATTTTGCCTTGTCAGTCGATTCGAACCTTCAATTTGCAACAACTTAGCCACTACTCCAAGGTCGAGAAAAAATGTCCCCCTCCCAACTCTGGTTATTATTTTGGTACTTTTAAGACCCCGCTCTTTTACTGAACCCCCTGCTTCATTGACAATAACCTTTGACAAAGTATCGTTATTCGAAATGACTTTAACTTCAAATGAGGCCGCGCCCCAGTTCAATAACCCCCTTGTGCATCAAACTGCAGACTTATCCATAGCCCCCTGGTCTATTTCCAACAGTAACAATCCAGTTGGAAGCAATGCTGTCCTATAACGAAGTCGTTAGTTTTGAGTTTAAAAAACGGTATTTTTGTAGTCACTTTCATTGTGCACGCATCTTCGGTTTCACTACGCCTCAACTCAAAGCTACGGTTGCATAAAGAAAGCAACTGACACCACCAATTCTCAAGTGTATTTATCTTTCCATCCTCTTTATTAATGGGTTTCGCCCAAATATCCCGAATTTTAAAACGCTAAAAAAGAAATATATGTTGAGTATCGTATCGAAATATAGACACATAAAAAGAGAAAACAAAGAAATTACCGATCTGCAAAATATTGAGTTGCAACGTCTCCAATCGGTAATTTTGACAAAACTACTTTTGCTCCACTTTTTACTATGTTTTCCAGCTTTTCGTATAGGATTGTCCATTCTGCGTCAACTATTTTTTGATATTCCTTTAACAGAAAAAAACTTCCCGTAAGACCAATATAAAGTGTCATATGACATCTATAACTGTTGAAATAACAAAGCACTGTTAAAGTTAAAGATTTGGTTCCAGCATTTATTTTGAAAACCACAAATTCAAACTTCCTGGTTAAAAAGGAAGTTTTTAACAGGAATGAATGAATGTACAATAAATGTTGATCTTTCTTCCTGCATGGAATTCAGTTGCTAAAAACTACAATTTCATCACTCTACAAACTATAATGTTAACATCATTCCTTTCCCGCTGGTTTTACAAAAGTTAGTGGTGATCTCTAGCGTGCACTGATCTGCATTATACTGTCTTTGTCACAAAATGCGGTGCTTATACTGTGAATTAATAATTATTGAGATACTTTTTCAAACTCTAAAGGCAAAAATATGGACACCTGCTTTTTGCCTTAAATTGAGCATAATATAGAATGTTGGGTAAGAAAGGGGGAGGTGTAAGAAGTGTTGCTCAGGCGTAAGTGTTAAGGAGTTCTCAACAAATTATTAAACCTTGACATGAAATGGCATTTTCATGACATGCAAGAAAAGTAGCTTATTGTGTAACCTGTTGGCTATGGACACTTGTTGAAAATGAATTATAAACAAATAAAATGAAAAGTTATAGAATGAAGGCTTGGAGAAAAATTCATTTCGGAACCAGCAACCTGTCTTTGCGGAAATTTGAACTTTAGTAGGTATAATTTTAGAGCAGGAAAGGTGAGTGAGTGAGTGCCTGAGCATGAATTCTTGATGTATTCTGTAATACCAACAGTACAAAATAGCATTATTTTTTATACAAAGTCTCTGTATCATTGTGAAAGAATCACAAGCCTTTGTCACTTATGCCTTTGAAGACTTTCTTTAACCATAGGTAAGCCCTAGATGTTAACTTAGCAATAGTATCAAAATTGTTCTGAAACTTTGGTGCTGAACTCAACTAAATCTGGAACATTAACAAGTCTTTGATATGCCATTGTGAGACACTGCAATACTTGATGCATAAAACATTAATGATCCTTTAGATGGATGCTAACCACAGCAAAAAAAGAACATTTTTGTACAGTTCACAACTCATTACAAACCTCCACACTGTCAACTCTAACTTCCGCATTTGTCTTTTCTGCCTTCAACTCAAGTTCAATATTCAGCATTGCTATTTTGGGATCTTTGTATTGTTTAGGTTGCATTTCAAACCCAGCATAGGAGAATGTCTTTTTAAATGCCACACCCAAAACCAAAAAGGAATCCTGTACAAAAAATTGAATAAAGTATGTTATTTGCGGTTTGCGGTCAACCCACGTGTTGTTTATAGTACGAAAAAGGCCCTTCTGTCCATTCAAAAGGACTGCTGTCCTGCCACACAAAGAAGTTCTGTTGTATATGAATTTACGTGCCAGTGTGATTCTGACTACGTAGGACGCACCCCCCAAAGATTGGAGGATAGAATAAAACAACATGTTCCATCTAATATTAGAAACAAAACCCATCCCCAAAGAGAACAGCCACCTCGGTCTTGCAAATCCAAAATTACTAATAAGACCTGCGATTCTGCTATCGGGCAGCATTTGCTAGAAAACCCAGTTTGTGCAAAAAACTATAATGGCGACATGTTTCGGATTATTGGTAAAGCCCGATCGTCGTTCCACCTAGCAGTTTTAGAATCTATCTACATAAGCACGAAAAAACCGCTACTGTGTAGACAAAAGGAGTTTGTTTTCACCTTAGGACTCCACTGGTAACATTCTAATAGGCAAGCGGCACTGATTGGTCAACCTTTACAGTCATGTGCTTGTGTTTCTGATTGGCCTATTTCGATCCACAACTGGGTATATATATTTCTTAGCGTAGAGTTTTCGATCTATGTTCTGACGTTTTAAACTCTGAAGAGTGTCCGACGAAAAGCTTTAATTTACTAAATGTTTGCTTTTTTCAAAGCCATTTACAAGTTTTGTACCACCAAAAGATTGTTTGTTAATATAACTTGACAAGACATTTGGAGTATAGAGACAAAGAAATACTAGGATTGTAACAGTTCCTAAAGCCTAAACCTTAATCATTTAACTACAACAAAAACTAAATCAAAGCCAATTCACAGAGATCATGTGATTCTTGCAAAACAAAACCTGTGGCATCATTAGAACTAGAAAACTGAAAATTACCTCTAATGCACCACCTTGGACTTTCTTTGTGCCTATCATGTTTAATGGGAGTAATTCATCTAAATGGACCACTGCATCAACTACCATTTTGCTGAAAAAGTCCTTATGCCTTGCAACTAGTTTTGAGCTCAGAGCAGTTGCAGCACAGTGCTCTAGAAGACTTCGCATTTCTCTGAAAACAATAAAGATAGAGGATTAAGAAGGGAGTTTGGAGGTGCAATACTGTATATTTAGGGGCTTATGGAACAGTAAAATGTTAATACTCAGTAGAAGATTGGATTTCTAGCACATTATAAATTTGTTTGCATTAGAACATAGTAAGGCTGTTTGGCATTCAGCTAGTCTTTTAGGGTATAGAACAGGACAGTGCCAAGTTGCTACTTTGCATTTCAGAAACTTAGAGTTGCCCTGTTCTATACACCAAAACCGTGTACAACTCTAACTTTATGTCATCAAGCAATTTAAGAGTAAACTTTGATTTTATCAGCATTCAGATAAGATGATCAAAGAATGTACAATACTAGCAACTGACTCCTGATTCCAAAAAGTGCTTGAATGCAGACAAACAGCTGCCAAATTACAGTGTTACAAGGTGTCTACATTGAAAAATGAAATAAGCATTGCCTGAAATATGCATTGGCATTAACAGATCCCAGATTCAGATCTCAGAAACAAATGGAGAAAACTCAACATGAATTTTCAGAGTGTGAACAGCAAAACCAAATCATCATAGATCTGAATATATTTATGGCTGCCAAAAAATACACAGAAAAAAACACAAAACATGGTAAGATGTTTACTCACTTCTCATCATCTTTTTTTATCTTCACTGCAATCTCTTTTATCCTAGAGATAGCCTAGTGTTGAAAAAATATTATTTCATTAAGGCTTTGATAACCCAATAAGGTGTAATTGTTAAAACATGACTAAAATTCATTCTTGCTCTAGCAATAACACTTTAACAATCTACATATTTCAGAAGTTATTCCTAATTTTTCCTTTCACTTATTAGGCGTGCAACATTTTTTATGGAAAAAACTATGATGCAAAATCTGTTGCAAAAGGCAAATGCAACCTTTTTATATATACACACTGAGGAGTCTTGCATTTGCTGGCAGATTTCTATGAGGATTGCTGTAAGCAGACACAACATTTCGCATAATTATAATATATATTTAGGAGTAGAGGTAACACATGATTAGAAATTTGCCTGTTGATATTTCAGGAGCACAGTGCTCAATATGTCTGCATGTAGAATGTGATATAGCATAGAGTTGAAGAAAATAAAGCTACATGTTTTATCTCTACAAGCCTGTTTTGTGATTAACTCACTCTTTCACTCTTCAGGAGATGATTAGATAATTAGTTTTATTTTCTTTAACTCTAGGCTATACAGGGGATACTTGTATATATATAGTTTGAAATTTCTAATAAAAGGGGGATTGGAAAATTTAACAGAAACTAATAAACAGGAAGGGTTTGAATAATGGAGGTTGGAAACTAGTTTGAGTATGAGAAAATCAGATTGGTTCTACTTGACAAGATGGAAAATGGACAAGAATTTATACAAAAACAATTTGGGTGAGTATCAATCCCTGCATGTCCTGGGGGAGAAAAATACATAAAATAAACAAGCAGAGGGTTGGAGAAAAGATTAAAAAAATTATTAAAGAATTGAGGGCATTTTTACAACAAAACCTTTCTTCAAAAATAATTTTTATACAATACAATTAGTTTTTTAAAAGAAAAGGCAACCTTTAAAGACGAATTCACTATTGAAAATTACAATCCTATGCATAAAGGTTGCAGAATTTGATTAACTCATACGCTCTGTGAGCATTATCAAATTACTTTGCTTTGATTCCCAGTGTCTATTGTTCAAATTTCAGTCCTGCATCTCGGTGAAAATGGCTTCAACCTCAAAATATTTACCTGTTCTTTCAAAATTACTTATAGCTCCGATTCTGCTCTTTTAGGTTATTCAGCTTTGATTGACACAAGCCCTAACAATTTGTGGCCATTTCCAGTCAAAGTCTGAGGCCAAGAAAGATGAGCAGAAAAAAATCAGACTCAGTTTTCTTAACATAAAGATATGGAACCATACAAAGAAAAAACATTCTAATAATTAGCAGATTAATAAGAAATAAGAAGAACATAAAAAACAAGTTACATACACATCAAATTATGTGAAAGTCATGAAAGCAACCATTATTGAGAACGCAAAAGGAACATGGAGCTGGAAAACTCGTTGCTAGAAAGGTCACTTTCCCCTGAAATTCTCTTTAAATTTTCAAAGTTTATTTCTTCTGGCAAAAACCCAAAAAAATCACTTTCTTCGTCGCTACTCGAACTAAAATAATTGCATGTGACCATTTTGTATTGAAAGATGAACAAACTAAACCTCTGAACTTTCAATTGTTGTTTTCTTCAGATTTCTGACCGTGACCTACCCAAACATTTAACCATGTGAATCTATATTGTTCAAACTACAACATGGTATTGTCTGAATAAACAATTAGAGAGAAAAATTACTACATTAGCCAATCAGAACTCATGTTGTCGCATAGCAACAGTGCGGACACGGAACACAATTAAATATATTGTCGTGTGGCAACATTCGGGATACAAAGCATGAAAAGGAATGTTGTCACACAGCAACAATCCGAGTATATGAGTTAAGTAAAACGGCAAGAAGGCAAATGCTTAATGCAAGATTTGCTTTCCATATTTTACATGAAGAATATCACTTTAGTGTTCACCAAAATTAGTGGAATCGATTGATGTATAAATCTATTTAGCTGAAAGACCTTGTGAAATAAAAACCCTTTTGAAACCAACATACCATATTTGTTGCCTTCCTGTAAGCTTTGATGACAGCCTGTGGGTGTACACCATCCTCAACAATTTGTTTAATTTGTTTCATAAATTCTACAGCAAGCAATACTACACTTGTAGTGCCATCACCAACCTAAATAAGACACAAAAGATATTAAATGCCAAAAGGAAATAACTATTGACAACATAAATAGCACTAGATAAGTATATCAAGGGAGACATTTTTTCTCTCAACTGCAAATATCCTATCACTAGCTCTCTTAATTTCTTTGCATAACTTCAGCCTCACATGTTTCTTGTTTTGTTGTTTTGCAAGTGAATTTCTTGTGCATAGTAGTGTCCGGATATAACATTAACTTGATAAAGTAATTAAAGCTTCTGTCTGGGATATTGCACTTGTGCTGCAGTTTTATTTTCAGCAAAGAAAAATTATTTGATATATATTACAATGTCAATCCTGATAACTTGTTATTGTAACTGTTCTTTCAATGCTATTTTGCTCATTGCTTTCTGTTGTTCTATATAGCTATTGTTTTTTTCTTCAATTTTTACTGGTATTTCATTGCTCGAGTTTTGTTGAATTTCAGTCTGCCTTGTTTCTTCTGCTGTTCTTATTTCTTGGGCAAATCTCAGCCTGATGTTTCTTATAAGGGTTGTTCTTAAAAAAATGTGTAAATCAATCAAGGGATCTTATAACATGTCATTCTAATACTCAATATGTAACAAAAACTATAAAACAACACAAAATACGCAAAATGCAAAATGTCAGGTCTTAAAAAATAAGCAAGAAAATGACTATGATGCATGAAAAAGCACTTTTCTTTTGTGATCAATCTTTGTTAATAGCCAGAATACTATTGAAATGAAAAAAATTTGTAAAACACAATAGCCTTTTCATTCTAAATCAGTTGCACACTGATCCTCTGTATCTTAGAATTGTCATATGTGCAACAAAAAGTTTTCACTGAAGATATTAAAGCTTTATAAAGATTACAAACTTTGTTATTACAAAAACTTTGGAATACTCTACCCTCTTCCAGTTACCTAGACTCTTAAATCTGTCTTTATTCAAAACATATTTAAACAACCTTGATATTTCTTCCCTCTCTACCAAAAACTTTCTCCTTTTCTCTTGTTAGGGCTTAGCTACCTTCATATATTAGGTAACTTCATACAGAAAGATTAAGGCAAGAAAGTGTAATTTGTCAAGATAAAGGCAGCATCACATTAAAAAAAACCTCTAATTGTCACTATGTAATTAATTTCAACCAATACCTCAGCATCTTGAGATTTTGCAATGTCTACTAATGTCTTTGCAGCTGGATGAACAATATCCATAAGTTTAATAATTGTTGCACCATCATTTGATATTGTTGCTTTGCCTGTGAAAAAATACCTTTGTTATCATGCACTGCTTTTTAAATGTATACTTTAAAAAAATAGATTGAATCTCCAATATATGAAGTGGCCTCTACCTTGAAGGCCAAATCACATTTTAAAGTCTCAATAATTTTTTTAAAACAGAGATTTGACCAGAGGGCATCACAAATTTGATACAGTCATTTTAGTTTGAATATTCAAGCACTTAAACACGGGGTAAAATGATGGGTTAATCAATTTGTAAAGATATGAAGTCAAAAAAGAAGTTGATTGTAGATCTTTAGATATTTGTATTGAAATCACTGATGCTAAATGTTAGAATGATTTGTTTGCTGAGTGGGTAGGAAAAAATCACATCATAACTGAAGCATTAAATATGGAGTTAGCATCTAGAAATTGATGTAATGCAGTATGTTGGAGTTAATGTCTAGAAAAATATATTAATTTCAACCAAGCTTGAAAGCTTGCATATTCTCTCAGGTATGATTTAGATTGACATCAGTATATGTAGCAGCAAGGATTTATGTTGGTTGCAGCTAGGGGTAGTCAAAATGATGCATTCTATCCAAAATGAATCATAACTAGGAAATTATTGTGATTTATATAGGAATGCATAATTTTTGTTGTCAATTCCATGCCAATTTGACACCAATAAAGTAGAATGTATTTCATAAGAGAGTTTAGTAAAACAGAAAACCAGCTCTCTTTTGCACTTGCAGCAGGTGAAACGCTTCCTCTATTTAACATACTTGAAGAGTATTTGTTCTGAAAATATTTATTATTCTAAGTGAGTTGCTCTTCAATTATAGAGAATACATCAAGAATACGTGAATTTCCCTGCTCACCTCTTCTAGGCAAAGAAGATGCAAAACCAATAAGAATTAGCTGGTATTTTTAGTTATCTTATGTATGGTAAATGAAATATTTAGGGGAGTGGTTGGGCGGAGTTGCATCGGACATATAAAAAGGCATACCTTGGGCATCCACTACCATCTTGTCCATTCCTCTTGGACCAAGAGTTGTTCGAAGCGCGTCACCAACAACTTCACATGCATTGATATTGCTCACAAGTTGCGGAATGCCTTGTGATGTATCTGTCCCCTCTTTTAGCAGAATTATCTGCGGACGCTAGCAAGATAAAGAGGAGAGAAATAAGCCAATTTTGAAGAAAAGAGTTTAAAAGACCAGCTTTACACATCGATAATGTGAAAAAATGGCATTTTTCTTTTCAGAAATAACCGATTAGCTAGATTCAAATGGATTTAATAGGAACTTACCGCGCCTCTTGGTACCATCATCTGCGCCATTTTGTGATTGAGTAAAGTGAATGTTCGAGAAACTGCCGCTATAGCCTCCCGCTCCTACGCAGGGGTTGCCTCGTACACCTGCTCTTCCAAAACAGAATGGATTAAACATTTTCAGTGAATATTTGAAAATGAAATCAATCCCAAAATAGATAAACCATGAAAAATTTTGGATAATTTCTTTCCGTTTGATTCATCAAAAGGAGCCCTTTGGTATAGAACATAATTACAAGTTTGAGCCTTTAACTAACCTCGAGTCCAACACCAAATCTGGCGGGAAAAACAAACCGGGCCTAGTCAGCCACTGCCAGGGATAGTTTGTGGCCACGGTGTTTCACAGTAGAAGAAGTCGATTAAAGTTCGCTGATCGTAGTATTGCTGCAGAGCCGGTGTAATTGAAATAATGGCCGCCCTTTCCAGTGTCTCCCTTTCAGATGTATCGAAAGATTTGCTGAGATCTTTAAAAGAGTGTAATGCGCGCGGTCTTATTCACTCGGCAAATTGGTAAGAAAATTCATAATGCTTTAACTGTTTTGGCTGAAGGCCCTGAATGGAAGGGTATTGTTCTTTACCTCAGGAAATTAAAGATGCTAGAGATATCTTCTGATGAGTGGAGTTCTCAGAAAATCAGAAATCTGATCTAGTAATGGTTGCAAGCAGGGGCTTTTCAGAAAAGATCGTCGATTGTATGAGAAACTAATGAAGGATTGACTTTGATTTCTTTGATTTCAAGGATAAGCTTTTATAGAATTTATTGTACAGGGAAAAATGTGCATGTCTTAAAATTTAATTGGACATTCCACTTGTCTTTGCTCCATGACCTCATGACATAAAACTATCATTTTCATAAGCAAGGAGTCTCAGCCCATCTTATTTTTTGTTAAACCCGATCTTGAAGTATCAATATTTTCAGCTATTTTATTTTAGGGCAATTGAATTGGTTTCTTCGCTTCCTCCTTTAAAGACCCTACCAACATTTGAAGAAGAAGCAACAGAGGAATTCAAAGATGATTTTTATTCATACAACTTGGCCAAAGGCTATTTTGATTTAAAGGAATTTGAAAGAGCTTCACATGTTTCAAGAAACTGCAGGAGTCACAAAGGATATTTTTTGCACCTGTATTCACTGTATATGGTACTTTAAATCGAGTTCTTGATTTTATAAGCAGATGAATTTCTACAAGAGCCATTTTGTTAGAACACTGGCTTCAAACTTGATCACTAATTGACAAAAAGTTAAGAACAAGCTGAGAATTTGGTACTGTAAATGTGAAAAAATTGTTTTTAAGTATATATCTTTTATAACTTATAAAAAGCTCAAGTTCTTATAAAAAGAGTGTATTTATATCAGCAGTAATTACAGAGAGTTTTGCAGTATCTTCTAAAAATAAATTTTTTAAAACTTAAAAATTTAGTGATAATTTCTTTAAAATTTCTTAATAGAAAACAGCAGCTCACATTGGCCAAGGGCTTTCTAGATGAATTTACAAAAGCAAGTTTTGCTAGATTTCTATATTTTCACAATTTTTGATGCATCCCTGTAATTAACATCAATCAGAAAATTTGAAGATTTGCAAGATACCAGTATTCTCCTTACTTCCCTAGAGTGGTGAAAAGAAGAAAAGATACCAAATGGTAGATGTTCTTGGTAGGTATAATTGTTCACAGAATAACTTGCCTATATCAAGATTGGAGGACATTTTGTCACTACAGATTAAACAACTAGCATTGAACTGGCAATTTTTATTTGCATTTATTCACATGATAGAATGAACTTATCCGTTAAAGTTGATGATGATAACCTATTGACCACTGAGTACAGTATATCATTAATCTTCAGCCAACAACACAAAAAATATTTGGTATAAAGTTAGTTTCAAAAGACAGATTTCGAAAATATGGGAACACCAATACTCATGCCTTTTGAAAAATTGACATTTTTAACTAATCAAGCTACACCATTGGAATCCTATTTAAAGTATTAAAAACCAAAGTTCTAGCAACCCTCGGACTGGTCATTTATGCCAAATTGTTTTTGGGGTAAGGAACTCTGTCGTTCTTGTTGCCTTGGTTTTAAATCTTTTGCTAACATCTGGTTCATGATGTGTTTTTCAAATATATTTTTTAGAACCCAGTAGCAAAGCAGTTGAAAATGAAGAGTTGAGAGGACTTAGGGCAGAACTACAGAACAATATTGATAAATTGGATGGATACTGTTTTTATTTGTAAGTTGAAAGATATACACTTATATTGCTATGCATTATATTTTTATTTTGCTGAACAACATTTCTCCTGCCACATCTTATACATAATACAAGGATAACAGGGGATAACTGGTAACTGTGCTCGTAAGATATGCATTGCTGTGCTGACACAGAAACAGTTAT